ATAAAATCCCGTTCTGATCAGAGCTTTTTCAGCTTATGAAACAAAAGTCATTGATTGTATTGTATTATACCAACTTTTTGGATGTCTTGACTCTTCTCTGTACTGGTGACTGACTAAAGCTTAATTTTCACCACCTGTGACAGCTGAACAAGTACACCTCATAAAACTACGTTTTTATACTACATAGCGATGAAGTAACTGAACAAATTTGTCTTTTTTTTCAAACCGTTCCTCTTGTGTAATAGACCCACCAACTAAGCATTGTTGACGTAAGGTCTCCAAGGTTATCTGGTTAGTGTTACAGTCTGAGCTGAGTTAGATAGTGGGATAGTGCTGCTAACTCCGACGCGTTTTATGAATAAATATGAACTCAGAAACAACAGTTGATTTATGTAACTTTATCTTCGCTTCTATGTAAAAACACTCATAATCTACAGCTTAACCTTTTTTTCTTATTTATAAGGAGTTCGCAAAAAGGTCGGTACTTGTATCCATCGCCGGTGGTTATGATCTACAGCTTCGTCTTCGGTCAGTTGCTGAAACAGATTTCTCACTTTGTTCAGGTATATACCCATAATCTAACCTAGGTTTTCTATGTTTATTTTTAACTAGATCATGCTTTTTGTTCAATATACGTTCAGTAAATAGAGACGGAAATCGGTACTTACAAAAGTTTCAAAATTTGTTTGGCTTTCCGGACTTCCTTCAATACATTCATAACAGTTGTACTTTCTAACTCTATAATAATATGAGGTTTCAAATACTATATATCCCAACTTTTCACTACCGAGTATTATCACAGTTCCGAATTCATTATTTACTTTAGTAAAGCAGTAAAGTCGTATCATCACATAAATACTGTCCATATCCTGATACGAAAACATAGAATTCTAACTTCCTTGTTCTTAACTGATAACGATGTTTGCAATTCAGTGAATTGAAACTGATATTACATGAAGTGATTGATATCATTGGAAGCAGTGGCACCCAGATAAAATGAAGTTTCTCATGTCTCACTTGTTTTCTGGAGTTTGAGCAGTAAATAGTTGTATCCCTACTACATCCCATATAGAAAATATTAAGAAACGTTAGCAGTCAATCATAAAAATTGGTAAAAACGGGTCAGCAATGCCAAATAGACGTAATGTATGAATAAAAAGTGAAATAGGCTAGGGTTTTGGAATTTGTGGTTATGTATCACTGACTAAAATTTATTTATCTCGGAAAATTTTTTATACTTTTCCTAAACGATATGTATCAATATATGTGTGAATTCCGCCAATTTCCATCATATTCAGGTGTAGTAATTGATGGTGTACTTCGAGATTTGCCTGTATCTTCAGTTGAAGTCAAAAACTATAGCGATGAAAACAAAGGTTTACACGAATTCCTAACCACTACTTTGCCCAAAGTATTCGCTCACATTCCACCTCATCTCCCACGTTTTATTACTCAAATATGGCAACCATGTGATATTGCCCTGGCAGCTAGTTCAGGATGTGACATATTTGATGGTAGTTTGCCATACCGACTCAGTCGCAGTGGGATTGGTTGGATTTACAAAGACTGGGATGAAAATAACCTCTCTAGCATGGTTTCGGATCCAAAATTCTTAGAGTTTCCCTTTGAAGAGTCCTATAATTTGGATGCAGAGGAGTGGCACTTACCGATTCAACCTGGATGTAATTGTTTCACATGTTTACACCACACACGGATATACATATCTCATTTGCATATTGCTCAAGAAATGTTGGCTCCTATGTTACTAATGATGTGAGTTCTCTTTTTTTCTTTTTTTATTTAATAATCGTTTACGCCATTGATTATTTACATATTTCGTGAGTGTGAATTGTCTGTTGCAGTTAACTTTGAATAATTGTTCCTGTCAATTCACTAACTTTGCATATAACGTTGGAACTTGATGTTTTCAAGAAAACCTGACGGATTAGCAATCAATTCTACTCAGTATTCAGGGTACGGTGTTGTACAAACTCCACAGAAGCCAGTTGCGATGTGATCAATCTTGGTCGAGGGTTGAATCACAAACAGGACACCAGGTATCATGTCGTCTATAACTATGCAAGAAGTTAATGTTAGTTGGAAACAGACTGGTCTACGCATCTACATTAGATGGTCACCGTTATTAGACCCGCAAACAACGAATTCTCGAAGACAGAGCTAAAAGTGTTTGTTGTTCAATGTGTATCAAAGTTCTGACGTTGAAACAGACCAGTACAAATGGCATACGTAATTACGAAAGAGTTGTATCAAGTATCGTATCCTATCACAACACCCATAAGTCAACTATTCAAAGACGAGACCGTTTAAACAAGACAAAACCCTCGCTATAGACAAATTGTTGATTGTCGAAGGAGTAGAAGTGTACATAAACTGGAAATAAAGAAGTAAATAAAGTTAAAACAGAGGAGTTTGTGCAGTGTCTGGGGTGCTGGTTAGTCGCTGAGGCAAAAGTAGTTGGTTTTCTTAAGAGGTCACTCCCTGAACCCTCGACATGGAGGTATAGTCCGTTGTGCAACGTCAGGACCTTTAGTGCCATGGTAACTAGTGACACTGTTCGTCCTCACGAAGCATGGAGATAATGTATACAGTCAGTTTTAAGTCTGGATCTCTCAAATCCTACAATTAGGTCCTCCTCTCGTAAAACACTTCAGCCGCTAGAAAACAGTAATTAGGACTTCCTTGTCAAAAGTTATAAACATATGGCCACATAAGGGCATTTCAAGAGAGAGCATGAGCTCACCGCCGACCGTACTAAGACATTCAGGGGCGTTGAAGCTGTAATCTTCGGCATACATTTAAGACCAGCAAGTATCAATAGTACTACACAACTTCATTTAATCCGACCTGATAATCGGTATGCCGTGATATTGAAATATATAGTTTCAGTTTTAATTTTGATACAATCGCCAACAGGACTCTGAATTAAAACAGACTTCAGACCACATACACTCCCGACTAAACGTCTATTTTACTTAGTTGTATCTGGCAAGCTTAACAGCCGTCTGACTGGTAATTTTATCTAACTTTGGAACAGCGAACGCTAATGGCATCGTTGTTCTAATACTCTAGTACCTTTAACCCCAAACAAATAAAACGACTGACATCTAGGTGTCAACAGGACAGATTGAATTGAAGCACGCTCTGTGCAGGATTGTGTTGGAGCGCACTGTCTGACCATTTCTTAGCCAATGCGCTAGCGAGTAATTAAGTAGGACGGGAGCCTTCTTGTATAAAATTATATATATATATATATATATATATATATATATATATATATATATATATATATATATAATTACGTTCCTGTTCAACTGTGTTTTGATTTGGGGACTTGTCGAGTGAAATAGTAACATCCAAAGAATAAGCAGTTAGAGTAGCTTGGTCGCAATAAAATAGATCAGAACATTAGATTGGTTTATTTTCATACAAAACAAAGTCTGCTCAGTATTACTGTATACAATATTAGAATGTTGAAATCTTGTCTAATGACAATAGATGATAGATTATTCTCATTAAAAAGTCCATAGATAAGACAAATTAACGGATTTTCTGTTGTATAGTAAAGGTGGTTGTGAACTTTTCGATCATATTTCAACTCCTGTCAGTTTTTGAAAGGTAATAATTGTAAAGCTTAACAATACCCCCCCCCCGACTATTTGAATATCATACCATACCATTCGAACGTTTTACACAATTTATTTTTCAGTTTACTTTGAAAACCGAAATCCATGAGTTTAATTTGTTTCTTTCTTTACAATTTTAGTCACAATTCCCACCAATATTATCGTTTTTTCTCTGATCTCCGTCGATCTATATCACTGAACAAAATTGACTCATTTATTACTCATGCCTTTAATTGGCGTTTTCCTATTCACATTCTAACTGTTGATAAAACAAATGAGTTCAAAGGTGCAGTAAATACAGATTATGATGATGTATAAATCTATGTTATTTTTACTATTACATATTCTCCTCACTTCAATAACATACCCTTAAGTTTCGTTTCAAATTATACAGAGCAGTATTGATTGAATATGGTGTATTTGTTCTATACACCTGCATGTAGGAACTAAATTTAGTTTATTAGTACCATGTTTTGTTCTATGGCCTAATATTCTACGACACTTCACCTCATCCGACCTGCTTTCAGATCGAAACAAGGCTTTTAATAAAACGTGAATATACCTCAAGGAAAAAAGTTATGTATAAGATTAAACTGGTCCTAATTTTTATAGACTGGTTTGAATTATTTTTTCTGGTTAGCGTTTTTTTGGTGAGTTTTCTACGGGATGGGGTCGCTAACCCTATGCCCAACCCCCTCCTTTACTCTGACTTGAGACCGGCAGTAACTCTAGAAGAGCTACAGGCGGACGGTGCTGGTGGGCGGCCTATGCTCCTCCACGAGGAGTAACAGGCGTAAGTAAGTAGTGCCCCCAAATGCCCTGGTGCGGCCGAGAGTGGGGAGAGTCCGCTCTCCCTCTTAAAGTGCTCTCAAATGGCCACGTGTGTACATAGCTTCTGCCAGGGAAATCCTACTCACTGCCTTCTCGTAGCGGGTGTTTTATTTACAAAATTGAGAGGACGAAAAGCGAATACCCGATGCTATAACCGGGTCGGTGGATATGGAGGATCCATCTAGTGGAGTTAGAAAGCCTTGATTGCAAGCCAATTGTGCACATGGGCTCCAGTATCCTGAAGGAACAAATGGCGTATGAACCAATCGTTGGTTACCGGCTACCATGGGACTGCATCTCCTTACGATGCTCCACCACCTTGTGGATCAGACCTTTAGGTTGAAGACTCTGGTTGTGGCCCCCTAAGAAAACCACCTGCCTCGGTTTGGGCACCTAGGCAGTATCACAACCTTCACACATATCAAATGAGATCTGTGTGGCGCATATGTATTTGGTGTCTCATTGTATCAATATTATAATAAATAATCATTAGTTGTCAGCGAATACAAGACTCAACACATTAAATAGTACAATCAATTTATATTGAAAACAAGGTAATAAATTTCACACGGAATAGTACGATACGTGTGAAAATACAATCGAAAGTTGATGAACCAAGTTTATTTAAAAAGAAAAAAAATTTTTGTAAGTTATATTGAAACTAATTCAAGCAGCTTATAAATCATAATTATGACACAGGGATGAATGAAATGGTGAATGGCATTTTATGTTAATAAAGTTAAAATCATTCTGAAACCATTAAAAATAAAAGTTAACAAGACAAAACTAATAAAATGTTAACATTAAATTACAGTAAAAGTTGTTTCTCATTACTAATCATTTCAAGCATTACTTCAAATATAATGTATATATATATATATCTATTAGGACATTCAATCGCGATTATGATAGAGTATTGTTCTTTGAGCTGGTGGATGATTTGGTCATGAAGATTTCATCGTTCTTTTCAACGATAATCATCAACACAATTCGAACACTTCACTTGTACTTGAAGTTTGTGTTGTTGATGATGTTGTTTAGAAGAACAATGAATACTCCACAATCAAATCATCTATCTCAGAAAAACAAAGATACTCCATCAAAATCATCCATCTGAGTTATAAATCTTCTCCAACATGTCAAAATTGCGATTCTATCAAATTTCTTTAAATATTATTGACGATGAATTACCATGAAGTACAGAACGTAGAATTTTCTAAAATAAAAAAAGTTTCAACAAACATACACATAATTAAAAAAACTCAATAGACAGATAAATAATTATATAAGATGGTGGTTGGCGGTAGTCAACAGTAAACCCTAAAACCGGGTTCCGTGCTACTTGGCACTCGTCACTAAAGTGTACGTGTAATCCTGGGGAAATTGATGCTCCCTGACATAGTGCACTCAATGTCGAGTCACCTAGACTAGTGACCGTACTGTAACTTGGTCAGTAGGATTCGATCTGCACTAAGAAGAATCTGACATACATAACATTGATCACCACCCAGTGATCAATCAATTGTGATTACATCTCACTCCTACAAGAGGTCAGTCGCGGCCCGGATAGCTCAATAGTAACATCTCTGAATGTGGAGCTGGATGACACGGAATCGAATCCATCAGGAAGCATCAATTCCCTCAAGGTTACAGGTATACCTTGCTGATGGGTGCCTGGTACCATGAAACCCGGGTCCAGGGTTTCCTGTTAACTACCTCCAATCACCATCTTGACGCAATTTCGAGTCACCTAGACTAGTGGCCACATTGCAAATTAGTCAATAGGATTCGATCGGCACTAAGAATGACCTGACATACATGATATTGATCATCACCTAGTGATCAATGAATTGTAAATAATTATAGAATCTAAAGTGTAATTAATAAACAAATAGAATTACTTACTTCACTGTATATTTTCATTCGGAGTCGATTAACACGTAATTGGGCCAATTTAATTTTTTGTTGATTAACTTGGTTCTGTATAGAATTATGATATAATCTATATTAAATAAGAAGAAAAGAGCAGAAAATAATTCATATACTCTGATAGGGACGAAAAAACAGTCTGTCAATCTAACCTACAAACTGACATCTTTTAGATGGTAACTTACTGATGACAATAGTGGACTGTGGCGCAACTTCTTGGATAGGTTGGATTTAGAAATTAACACCGTTAAATACCGGCTCAGCGGTCTAGAGGTTCAGCAATCACGCGCGAAACTGATAGGTTCTGGTGTAGTGAACAGAACACGGGTGGAGACAATCGAATGCACTTAACACAATATTACAGGACTTGTTAATAAAATCTAACAATCATAAAGCAAATGCTTAATTTGCAAAATGTCCACCAATTGTCTCAAAATGACTCATACTTCATTGTTCTTGCATTTTCATACAAATTGCATTGTGTTTCCATTCTTTACTGTTCGATCCTCTTGTCTCTCTACTGCCAGACGTTCTGTTCACGACCAACATCATATACTACTTATGTCAATATAAGTAGCACACCACACTCGGTTCTAATCTCGCGAAGTGGGGTCGTGAATGCGCACTGTTGAGGAGTCCTGTACTAGGATGAAACGGCCATCCACTGCTTCCATGTTTTCCATGGTGATCTAGTTTCAATTGACTTACGAATTCAACTATTAAAAATTACTAGAGTATTTACAAAAAACCTCTGATTATAATAAAGAAAAAGTTTGGTGTTCCTTAGAATTCTATCATTCATTAAGTTCAATGATGGTTAACTATTCACATATTATCCATATTTTGCTAGCAACTATAAGTAAGTAACTAGTTAATGTTATTTTAAAGCCTTAGCAATAAGTATATCACAAGTATAGAATAGATCATAACAGAATAATGATGTAATCATAATAGTAACAACTGTAAACATCCACATTTGATTCAACTATTTACGAAATGTCTTGCTCAATGAGTAATCCTTATTTATTTATTTAAACATTGGTACAAGCAGGCACCAAATAGATATGTACCACATAAATCATTCGATTTATGTGAGGTCTGGGACACTTCCCGGGTACCCAAACCGAAACAGGTGGTTTACATAGGGGGGAAAACTCGGAGACGTCAACCTAAATGTTTGATCCACAAGGCAGTGGAGCAACGTAAGGAGATGCAGTCTCATGGTAGCCGATCACCAACGATTGGTTCATACGCCATTTGTTCCTTCAGGATTCTAGATTCCATGTGCACCATTGATTTGGAATGAGGGTTTTCCACCTCCCCTAGGTGGATCCTCCTTATCCATCAACCCAGTTAAGGCTTTGGACATTCGTCTTTTGTCATCTCAATTTCGTAAAAAACACCCCAGCTGCGAGATGGCAGTGAGTTTTAGTTCACTGTCAGTGGCTGTACACGCGTCGCCATGTGAGAGCAGTTCGAGAGGGAAAGATGACTCTCCTCACTCTTGGCCGTACCAGGGCATTTGGGTGCTCAATAAGGAATAACAAACTAAGCAGTAGTTACCATGTTCATAATAATGAGTTAATTCAATGGAAATAATGAAATCTTCACGAAAGGGTTTATTTACTAATGTCAATAGAGAATGATGTGATTATTTTATTTATACCTGACTTGCGATGTAATTCAATAGGTCGGTAGTTTGTCTTTTTGCATTTCTTGATTCTACCAGAATTAGGACCCTGTGCATGAATCTGTAAGTTCAAGATGTGGCTTATAACATTAATTTGACGACTGTGATCAATTTCAAAGAAAAGTTTTTATTGTATTTAGGCTTTGTGTTATATCTAGAGCTTAGATTCTTAATATACCACGTATAACTCGAACTCTAGAACCCTCCCAAGTCGCAAATGAGATGATAGAAGAAGACTGAAGAAAGTGGTTGTTGGGAAAGAATCAAAATATACAGAAAATCATGGGTACTTATAGATATTGGCGTTTGTTAAATCAACATTATAATTCAACCAATCCGCAAAGAGGCATGTTACTCTACTGATCAATGATAGTATACCACGTTGACATTCTAGAAAGCTTCATTGAGTTCTGATTAGATGGGACTTTTCGGATCTTCTAAGGCCTCTGAAGGCTCCGTCGTAGTTCTCGGAAGCCGTTCCTACATTGATAAAATATATGCATTATGTGTTGCTAGTAAGATCATTGACAAATACTTACCTAGGTCGATGTTCTTCTTGTACTAACTGTTTTCGATCATATCTAACACCAAGTTGCGATTTTCGACTGGGATCTAAATGATTGTTTAGTTACCAATAGAATAAAATCAAAATTTGTGAAGACCAATAAGTTAACTAATTTAGTCAAAATGCAATTACAAGGTAACATTTAAACTGATCTACTAATAAAACAAAAGTGACCATGTAAGAACAAAGAGTACATTATTCGATGGAAAGCTTCTTTAGAAAAAAGTGAGATAGAGAGGGAAAGAGGAAAAGTCGATAAGAACAATTCGGTCACATGTTCATGTGAACCCATAAAAATCATGGCTATAATCTTAATAAGTTTTCGTCTCTTCAAAGTTATTTTGTTGAACAGATTTCGTCCCGTAAAACTTCCAAGTCAACAGGTTTACTGAGTAGATAGTATGCTTTTCTGCTGCCTAACTATGTGCCCTCTTTACATCCATTCACTGATACGGTTTTCACGATCTATCTCTCACTCAACGTTAATTCAGGCAATCGATCACATAGCCGAAAACATAGTGTTTATCTTCTATAACAATGCAGGCAGGGATAGGATTGAAGTTGATCGTTGGAAGTTTCAATTAGCACGACTCAGTGGGAATTCAATGATGAAGGAGGGAAATATTCGAACCATAGTGGGACGTTGCTCCTTGGGTTTCCCAGTGATCGTCGTATGGGCATCTTTTGCATAAATTCGTGTGGTTAATAGACATAACTGGTGAATTAAAACAAATCTAAGGTGTAAACATTCGAAAATAAATGTTAATCCAGAAGTTTAAACATACCATTGTACATCTAATTTGGTAGATGTCAAATGGTGTATTGATTTATTGTCAGCTTTTTATTTTAACGGAGATATCATCAATACTACTTAGGTATTTTGAAGCAAAGATGGATAGTGACTAGTGGTGGAATCTAGTTCGACGCGCGTTTCGACCTATTTGGGACTCGTCAGCTGGGTGTACCTGCATCTCAAAGTTGATGTTCACTCTGGAACTCGAACTCAGTACCGTTCACTTCAAACGCCATCGCATTTATCCACTATGAATCCTATCATAGATAACTGCAAAATGACTTAAGCAAAACATTTTATCACATAGAAATGAAATTCAATCATTACAGACTTACTTTTCATGAAATTACGTTTAAGAACCTTGTCAGAATTAGCTGTTTTAATATAATTATTACTATTATTTCTGTTTGTTAGTACAGATTGAACAATTGAACAATCTGAACGATCAATGCAACAAATTCCACTATCACCATTTGAATGAATTCTATTACCGTAGTGATTTTTATATGACTGATCCAAGTGAGATATAGATGGTCGTTTTGAAAAATTATTTGATACAACTGAATGTAAGACTTCAGTTCGTTTCATATCTCCTTCTTTTCGATAACGACGTTCCTGAATAATAAAACGTAGACGTCTTTGACGTTCTTCACTTCGTGATATCCATGATGACATTTTTTTTCGAAATATATCCTGAATATCTGTACAACCATCAAGATTATCGCTAATTTCATAAGTTATTTTTGGATTTGACAAGCTATTAGATTTCTCTTCGTGTGCCGACTTGTCCACGGTATGTAGTAGTGGTGTTGTATTCTCCATATGGTGAAGTTCAGTACATTGTATATCTACCAGTGATTTCGATGTTACAGTTTGTTCTGAAATAAAACAAAACAACCGGTAATTTCGTTGAGATTATGTGATCTTCTACTATAAAACAAAAAATCACACAACAAATCACATTTAAACATAAAAGTATCAATGTTAGACCACCATCGAATACTCGGAAGCACTGGATGACCGTTTCGTCCCAGAATGGGACTGTTCAATAGTGCGCATCCACGATTCTGCACAAGGGATCAATTTATGATCTAAATAAAAACTCAACAATCTCCACAGCACTATACTGATAAAAGTATCACTTTACCTGTATTCGATGAGGGAAATTATACAACTGGAAATTAATTTTTATTTTATCTTTAGACTATTTGGCAATTTTCGCTGATGAACTGCGAAATAGTAGATTCTGCAGAAAAATAGTTAATCAATGAGTTGCAATATAAATGTCACTATCTTTTAATAAAATTTATTTAGGTTCATCTACTGTTGCTGCTACCTTGAAGTGATGATCGGGATGGCCTATGGCAATCAACCAATCGAACTATACTGGTCGGAACAGTCGTTCTTCAAGTATTTGCCGTGCCAGGTAGGTCGGTTGAAGAGCGGTAAGACTAAAAGCAGCAAACTCAAGGTCCGAGAGTGAAGTTGTATTGCTGACTGTACAGAGGTGTTACAGCAGTAAGGTGTTTACTTCAGACAACCAGCATGACAGCGATGCTGTCTTCTCACAAAGGAAGTTTGGAGTTAAAAAATGTTAACCCTAAAAATGCACACCTCACCTTATCTCACGGATATCCGTCTCTGGCGGTAAGGTCTCAACAAGTGCGGACCTAACACGAAAATTACTCGCAAAATGTTCGTGTGTGACCAACCTCAAATAGTTGTCCCTTGGGCATTGCGGTCACACTTTCAGGTCACTAAGACCACCTCTAACCCGATTTCCTTTTCAGGTACCTTCAGAAGAACCCTTCTACGGTGTGGGCAACCGGTAAGTGATAACCGCTCTCATACCTCTAACAGCACTCAAGACCAGCGAGTGGCTGATTCAATGTATATATACATGGAGTTCTAGTAGATCAAATATTCCATTAGTTATTTAATAAGTGAGATAACTTTTACTGTATACCAGTATTCTATAAATATTTTTCCTTTTTACTTGAATAACTGAAGAAAAAAGTCTGAATAGTCAAAACTCAAGTTCAATTATTTTCTTTTGCTCGTTGTTATGCTGGTTGTCTGAGGGAACCGCCTTACTGCTGTCATACCTCTGTACAATCAGCAGTACAACTTCGCCTTAGAGTTTTGTATTTGCTACTCTTATTCTTACAACTCATCAACGGACCTACTTAGTATGATAAATCAGTCAGTCAGCTACAACGTAGGACCAGGCACATATATGCATCGGTCCAAGTTGTCACACCTCACTCATCAGCACAACAAGATCAACACCGCATTCATAGAAGTAGTTACTTCAGTGGTGGTAATATATAGAAGAAAGAAATATTTCATAGAAAGAAAGATATGAAGCGATTTTAATCCCACAGTTTGAGGGAAGATAGAGAGTGTATACACTGACGCCATTGTGATCGATTCTGAGCCAGTCACCCACAGTCTCCAACCATTGGTTACGATAGTCACATGGACCCTAACCAAGTAGTCTGCATTTATCAATATGATTAATACTAGAAGCTAGTGACTTTAAGGACGGATGCCACGTTTCAGTTTGGCTACCCCTAACTTTCTTCCAACAGTCTCCAACACTAGTCAGCATTGTGCATCGTGGTAATCGGTGTTCAGACATACGTCACACGTGACCCAACCATCTTAGTCGATGAAGATTCACCACTCCATCAATTGATTTGATGGTAGGACCTTTAGGAACGATTATTCTAGCCAATATAACCTGATTAGTTCATCACGATTGGCAAGTCAGACTATCACATCAAGGTAACACGTACGTTCGGGATATATATATATATATATATATATATATATATATCAAAATCATGTGCACAATGAAACAATTGAGTTAACATAATATCAATTTTACCTTGATTTTTATCATTTATTATATCAGGAGATTCTTCCATATAACATTGACATGAACAAATATCATTCACTTCATTATGATCAGTTTTTAGATCTTTGTTATTAGTTGCCATACTATATGAGATCTTAGAAGTATGTACATTGTTAGGTTTGTTTAAAATATGTAAACGTTTACTATTCAAATGAAATTCCTTGAATGATTTTGGATTATGTTTCAAATCAAAATGATCATTTAATTTGGTATGTCTGATCACTGAATGGTTTCTTATTGGTTGATGTTTTTCTTTATTTATATAATTATCATTGAAAGGTTGAAACCAAGATATACCACCTGATAATGTGGTTGTTTATAAGAAATATAAGAGAAAAGTTAGGTGAATGAAGTATTTATTGATAGTATGAATACAAATATGAAGAAGTTCAAGAGTTAAATAGACTATATTTCGATCTTAATAATGGTTGTTGGAGGCAGTCAACAGGAAACCTTGGACCCGGTTTTCGTGCTATATGGTACTTGGTCGATAGCATTCGATCTGCACTAAGAAGAATCTGACATATATAACATTGATCACCACCCAATGATCAATCAATTGTGAATACATCTCACTCCTACAGGAGGTCACTCACGGCCCAGTTAACTCAGTATTAACATCTCTGACTGTGAAGCCCGGTGACACGGAATCGAATCCGTCAGGGAGAACCAGTCCCCTCAAGATTTCAGGTACACCTTGCTGATGAGTGGCAAGTAGCACGAAACCTAGGTTCAGGGTTTTCTGTTGACTACCTCCAACCAACATCTAATCTCAACATGGTGCACGCAATTTCGAGTCACCTAGACTAGTGGCCACATTGCAAATTAGTTAATAGGATTCGATCTGCACTAAGAATGATTTGATACACATGACATTGATCACCACCTAGTGATCAATCAATTGTAATCTTATTAATGTTTAGAGTGAAACCAAACATATCAAATGATTAGTGAGTGAGATGATGGTAAGAAAAGTCAAAATTCGATTGATTTACTCTTTATGGGTTTTATTCAATATTATTTCCGTTTTGATTCAATGTACTGATTACTCAGTGTAGTAGTTGTTTTGTTTTCCCGGTATGATCTTTTATTCTGTATAATATACGATACTCTTGTATTCCATTGACATGAACTATGCTCAGTCTGTGATATGTTATAACTCTAAGTATGTTTCATATATGTGAATTACATTCTAATTATTAATCAAAATGGGTGTACAATCAATATATAAATGTGTGCTTTCGACTAGGTCGTCGTCGTGTTTTTGGGTTAATAAATCGTCACTTAACCAGTCTTTGTGTTCTTACTTTCGAGTTGCGGGAATTCCGGAGGTCCCTCGTTCCGAGTAAGCGACGACCAGACAAAACAAGTAAGTATTCGGATCACAAGTTATAATAGTGAGATTGATAGTAGGTTGAAAGAAAGCTAGGGGCGGCCAGACTAAAACATGGAATAAATCCATGAAGTCATTGACAAGTGGGTTGAACCATATTGGCAGGTGTAGACTATCGGATTGGGATCCACGAGATGATAGCAACTGATAGTTACAGAGCTTTGAATGACATAGCTCAAAGTCGTTTGAAATGGCGCAGATGCATCCACTCTGTGTTCTCCCGAATTTCTAATCTTTTGAATTCTTCTTGTCCCTTATTATTTCTCTTTCCAAATTTATTTCACTGGATTATTATACTTCTTGAATAACATCTTTAAATCCTAATGTTTCCCATTACTGATTATACTCTTACTACCTTTACCATTATGGGATATGAATAAACAATTGTACCTGTGTGCTTATCTGGCATGGCAACTCGAACTGATGTACGTACGTACGTATGGAGTTCTGCGTTGTCTCTGACTGACTAACTTATAAATACTCGTTTAAGCTTTTTACGTACATGTTGCCTTCTCTGTACAGATAGATTGGTTGATCTTCGTCAGTTTAGCTTACTATAATTTGTCTTCAATTCATTGAATAATTAACAAGTGTTTACTTGCTTTTGTGAATCTATTTGAAACATATGCTCATCGGATAAGAGTAGACTCAAATATAGATTTATTTTATCTATGAAAAAAAGAGTTTCTTTGAAATCCAAGATATTAAGATTCTGTTATGGAGTTCTTCAAACTATTATTTAGAGCTTAGAACCCAGGACCTATCAGTTTCAAGCACGAAACCTTAAACTTTAGACCACTGAGCCGGCCGGCATCTAACGATGTTATTGTCTAATTTCATCTAAACCACATATCGTCTAGGCCTTTTTTATATTCAATAAATATTTATTCGCTCTGTTTTACATTCATTTGATGTTTTAAGTAATAACTGTAGAATCTAAGCTAATTAGATGTTTATATTCTACCAATTGGTGATGAGAGTTAATTTAATTTTTAAGTTTCACTTGTCACCCCCAAATGCCTTGATACAGCCGAGAGTGGGGTAAGCCAGCTCTCCCTCTAGAAATGCTCTCAAGTGGCCACATGCATACAACCACTGACAGGGAAGTCTTACTCATTGCCTTCTCTTGACATTATTATTGTTTACGAAATTGAGAGGATGAAAAGTGAATGTCCGACTCTTTAACTGGATTGGGGTATACGGAGGATTCACGTAGGGGAGTTGGAAAACCCTCATTCCAAACCAATGGTGCACATAGGCTGAAGAATCCTATGGAAATAAATGGTATATGAACCAATTGTTGGTCACCGGCTACCATGGGACTGCATTTGCTGATGTTGCTCCACTCCCTTATTATTGGATTAGACTTTTACGTCTAAGGCTGCAGATGTGGCCTCCTAAGAAAACCACCTACATAGCTTTGGGCACCCGGGTAGAATCCTAGCCCTCACACAAGTCGAATGATTTATGTGAAGCATATCTATTTAGTACCTCTGTTAAGTTTATCTTACATTGTTCCTACTCACTCTCTTTCCCCTCTTTTGTATATTGTTTTATACTACTTATTCATATTCAGTAAGCAGGTGTGTCCTTAACAATTTTCACACATTGTAACGCAAGTTGTACTGTAACATTCTGAAACGTTCACATATATTTATAATGTTTATTGTACTTATCATTGTATTTGTCATTATAATCACTGTACTTTAATTACTGTAACGGTTATCCACAGTTGTGTATTTGTTTAAACTCAACAGTTTCCATATTGTTTGCTCTTTGTTCGAGTTTCGATTACTCATAAACTGTTGTCCCATTTACACACAGCTATCGGATGTCTTTGTACTATCATATGTTATAATCATTCTTTATGTTACTCTTACGGGAAGCCTTTGTTATTTTCATTCTTGAAGGACGCGTTTAAACGCCTAGACACCTCACAAGTTGAGGTTTGTAATTAAATTTTGTGTTTTATTTAATAAAGGACCGCTTTTGTAGACAAATCGTTGTTTTGGAACTTCGATTTTGTGCGTATGTCAATCGGGGTTACTTGAACGTTTCGATAGAATTGCCAACCTCCTTATACCATTGTTTATGTGTTTAAATAAATAAATGCTAGTAAAGATATTCATTTCTGAAAAACATTTTACATTTCAATAATGGATATAATAATGTGATTGTATATGTTATTCAACCTATATAAAGGAACATATCAGTCTTATTCAATGAATGAATATCCTATTTAATTATAGTTTCCACCACTTTGTTTCTCTATCTGTTTTATTCATATCAATAATCAAATAATGATGAATCAATTTTAATGAAAAGTAAATACATATATATTCTTTACTTTTATATCATCATCCCTAAAGCAAATCTCATTTCAGTAGTTTTGTAAAGTCTAAAAATATAACATTTTTATATAGTTTATCTTCTGTTCATTCAATTTAGGTGTATTCTCAAAAGTGTCAGCAATATTCCTTAATTAATAGTTTATTTATTTATTTTAACACATAGATATTGGTACAAAGCGGCACCAAATACATATACGTATACATATACATATATGTGTGAGGGCTGAGATATTGCCCCGGGTTATCGAATCGAAGTGGGTGGTTCTCATAGGGAGCCACATTCGGAGCCTTTGACCTAAAGGTCTGATCCACGAGGCAGTGGAGCAACGTTAGGAGATGCAGTCCCATGGTACCCGGTAACCAACGATTGGTTTATACGCCATTTGTTCCCGCAGGATACTGGATCCAATGTGTACCATTGGTTTGGAATGAGGGTTTTCCAACTCCCCTAGGTGAACTCTCCATGTCCATCAACCCGGTTAAAGCGCTAGAGTTTCACTTTCGTCCTCTCAATTTCGTAAACAACACCCCTGCCACGAGAAGGCAATGAGTAGGACTTCCCCGGCAGAGGCTATATACGCGTGGCCATGTGAGAGTATTTCTAGAGGGAGAGCGAACACTCCCCAATCTCGGCTGTACCAGGGCAGTTGTGGTTAATTTAATAATTCTCTAATTATTTTGTTTTTGTTTTTTTAAACTGTTGAATTGTTGAATACATTAAGATGATATGCTATTACTTATGTTATATTATTATTCAGTTTATTTAACGGTTAATATGATTTCATTTATGAAAGCACTGGACGACCATTTCATCCTAATATCGAACTTCTCAGCAGTACGCGTTCATGATCCCGCACGAGGGATTCGAATCCAAAACCTTCGGTATCGCATGCGAATATTTAATCTTTAGATCACTCGATACGCACTGATGAGGAGTGCTGTAATAGGACAAAATGGCTTTTCAGTGCTTTCAGGTTTTCCAGGGTGATCTAGCTTGAATTTATATTTACACTATCATTCTTTATTCTTTTTTCTGTTTTAACATTTGTCTATTTAATACTATATCCCTGTTGTACACATATTGATCATTTCGTGATAACACAAATACCTACACTGATATTAAAACGTCATAATAAACTTTTATATTCTTTGAATACTGATATGAACAGAGAAACAAGAAACCTTGACAAACTACGAAAACTATTTTTCGGGACGTTATTTCATTTAATTCAAAGCTTGTAAAACACTGACATTTATTTTTGTCCCTAATCTATTCTACAGATCATAAGCTTTCGTTTGATGTATGATTCACTGCTATAACCCTTTTTATTTTGAAAGCTATTGTAATTTAAACGTATTAGTTTGTACTTCATTTTTTGCGTTAATTCCCAGTTTGGGACATTGTGGTGGGTTAATCATCTATTTATTCATGTATCTTTTTACACTGATCTGATATCGGGAAATCGGGAAATCAGATCGGAATTGAGAATACATCGACTAGTGTTCTAGTTGACTTATCTTCTTTCACTCACATGCTTGTCAGCCAATCAAGTGTAGAATAGTTTTCTTCTCTTTATCCCAATTCGAACTCACGCATACTGACCACAAGTTTAAGCTGGTCAGCCTATGGGGTCAAACTGTTAGTCTCTAGATTAGACAAGTTATCCTCAGCATCAAAAGTGGGTAGACAGATCAAGGACGTAACAAATACATTAAACAGTAAAACAACTTACCTAATGCTGCACATACGCCATTCACTATATCATCTGAGGATGGATATAATCGAATGTTTGTATTTAAGGAACAATGATCTTTGAATGATTTTTCACCTTTAACATGATGATCACGATGAATGAACCTTGATAAAGTTTCGTTCAAATTCTTACATATTGATAAAGATGAAGGTTGATTGACATGTACATTCATAACCATTTTACTTAATTGATTCTCTGCTTGTTTCTTAATATCAGTGAATTGTTTATCATTATCTTTACATTCAGTCTTATCTACAATTGAAATACTTGACAGTTTTTGTTTGTTGTCTATTCCAAAAGAAAATATTAATCTATCAATTGACTTATCACAACTATTGAAATTACTACTATCTCCACAAAATCTCATTTCTGATACTAATCAACATATGCTCACTAGTGACTAGCTTCAAGTGGTATTTTCTGGAGTTCTAGTGAGAAGCAATGACCAGTGGAGTTCAACCAGGTCAGTTGTGAGATAGTAACTCACTGAAGGCAATGGTAGATGTGTCACTCGATTTCGTGTATTAGTTGAAGTTAGACATTAACATCACTGGATGCCGGTCATCTCAGTGGTCTAGAGGATAGGCGCTTGCGCACGAGACTGTTAGGTCTTGGGCTCGAATCCCGTGAGATGGGGTCGTAAATGCTCACTTCTGAGGGGTCCCGAAATAGAACGAAACTGCCATCCAGTACATCCAAGTTTTCCATGATAGTATAGCTCCGAATGGCTCATGATCTTAACTACTGAAATTAAAATAACAGTCAACTTTTTATGCTATTATAATAACTGAATTCACTTGGTGTTGTTCTACTCGAATCTTCTCATTGATGATTAAGACTGTAATTGATCAGTCTTTTATTGGAGTAGGTGCATCCTGTGCAGATTGCCTCGATATTGCCTTCATTCACAAGCATTCTAAGCAAAGATGGATAGTGGCTAGTAGTGGAATCCAGTCCGACTCGCGTCTCGACCTATTTGGCACTCGTCAGTTAGATGTACCTGCATCTCAGAGTTGATGTTCTCTCTGGGACTCAAACTCAGTACCACTCGATTCAAACGCCATTGAGTCTATCAGGACTCAGTAGCTAAGTGGACATGATAAACATTGTAAACAAATACTAACAGCGCTAGTTTTAAGAACTCGTACTATTACTAATAAGTAGTAACTCATAAAAATTAAAAAAACAGAGTTTACAATTAGGATTTTGTGAAAATTTCATAGAACAGTTGGTTTTGATGAATATCTCTAAAAAATATACAAATTAATTCAACAAAGAATAACTATTACAGTTTTGTAGTTTTCAGTCCCTTATTCCTAACTATCTAACAAATGATTTTGTTTTAATTGAGATCATGAATTGATCAATATCAAACCCCCATTAAAAACTTGGAAGTACTGGACAGAAATGTCGTCCTAGTGTAGTGAATGAGAACATCAATGGGGACAATCTAATGTATTTGAACACAAAGTTATATAGGGAGAGCTGACTCTCCACATTCTCGGTCATACCAGGGTATTTTGAGGCCATCAAAACAATAGAACCGATTATAAATGTAGTGATGTTTCTAAGATGATTTAAGAAGAAACAACTGTAAGTGCAAAATTTGAACTATAAAAATCTATTTAATTAAACTATTTGTATAACTTTTTATCGTATCCTAAATTCTAATTCATGTTAGCTGGCATACTGACTATCCTGTCCAACAGAGGAGTGAGTTGGACATTAGATCACAACATAACAACGGTTGGTCGTGCTGAATTGAACGAATGAAGACAGATGAATGTATTTGAACACATAAATCATAGAACATCTCAGTAAAATCTGACATCCATACAGTAAATACTTCATTTGCAAAATGTCAATCCACTGTCTCAAATTTGACTGTTCCTTTGCAAATATCAGTCCATTGTTTCGGATTTCATTGTTCATGCATTTTCATACCAATTGTGTTCCGTTCCCGTTCTTTCCTTCTTCATCTTCTCAATCTTCTGCTGCCAAACATTACATTCCTGACTAGCGTTATATACTACTTATGTCAATATAAGTAACCCACACCACACTACTTATATCTGTCGACATCAGTAGCACACACTGAACTAGTATGAGACTCCTAGAACGAAACGGTCATCGAATGCTTCCAGATTTTCAATCGTCGTCTGACATTGATCAGTTCATGATCTCAATTAAAATGCAACAATCTTCACAACTCCCATAATCATAATTATTTTGTTATTAAGTTTTCCAAACATTAATTTAGATTCAAAAAGATCTTGATCTTCACACTGTTGTTGGTATATATTTTTGACAAGCAATAAAATATAATAGCCATCAACGAAATCATTGACACACTAAACAGATAATACGAATTCCTTAGTTAGTTTTCGGTAAATTGTTTATTCATCAATCAACTCTAGTTGTAAATATTCAATGTTTTACTAATATTCCTTCGAAATAAATGTACAGTAATGATATATACCAGACAAATGCCCTGGTACGGCCGAGAGATAGGAGAGGCAGCTCCCCTCTCCAAATGCTATCACACGACCACGTGTATACAACTACTGCCACACAAGTTCTACTCACTGCCTTCTCGCGGCGGGGGTATTGTTTAAGAAATTGAGCGAACGAAGAGTGAATGTCCGTTGCTTTAATCGGGTTGGTAGGCTCAAAGGATCCACCTAAGGGAGTAGGAAAACCCTCATTCCATATTAATGGTGCACATGGGCTCTAATATCCTGATTGAACAAATGGCATATGAACGAATTGTTGGTCACCGACTACCATGTGACTGCATCTCCTAACATTGCTCCACTGCCTTGAGGATCAAACTTTTAGGTCAAAGGCTTGGGGTGTGGCCCCCTAAGAGAACCACTTGTTTTAGTTTGGGGAGCCAGGCAGTATCCTAGCCCTCACACAAGTCGAATGATTTGTGTGGCGCATATCTATTTGGTACCTCCTTGTTCCAATGTTTATGTGTTTAAATAAATAAATAAACAGACAAATAATAAAATGTAGTAAGGTACTTTAATATGAAAATGTTCTATTTACTTGTGTTGTCAGCCTGTTGAACATCTTTTTGAGCTTCCTCAAAGTGAGCTTTTCTATTACATATTTCTCTATCATATGAAGACGATGATCGTTTGTTTAACATTTTCTTATTGATTTGTTCATTTTCTCCATGTTCATCAGTTAATAATTTACACTGTTGTGTTGATGGTTTTAATTTTGGACTATTTCCAGTATTTAACTCATTCGATATAGGATCGTTATCTTTTTCAAATAAATCCGATAATAAAGACTCAGTATCTGTATCCCAATCATCCGGTACAGAATTTGATAAAGGCTAAAACAATAAAAAATCATAGGAACACATTATAAACGGGAAGTACAACTATGTAGTCGTTGAATGATTCAGTTAATATGATTACCAAAATGCAAATTCTGCTATAACGATGAGTATAATATACTACATAAAAACTAATATAACATTGAGCGAGAAAAACTGATATGTAAACTAAATGTGAATTATTGAGTTCATGAGTCAACTGATGCTAGACTATCATGGAAAACTTGAAAGCATTGGATAGCCGTTTGGTCCGGTTGTGGGACTAATACTCATCAACAGTGTGTATCCACGATCCAAAGTCGCGGGATTCAAACCTAGGATTTATCGGACGCTTAACCTCTAAATCACTGAGATGACCGGCATCCAACGGTGTTAATATCAAACTTCAACTAATCGACGAAATTTAGCGACACATCTACCATTGCCTTCAGTTAGTTACTATCTCACAACGGACCCGGTTGAACTCTACTTGTCACTGCTTCTCACCAGAACTCCAGAAAATACCTCTTGAAGCTAGTCACTTGTGATCATATGTCTTTGTTGTTTTGATCAGAGAAAATAATTTAGGCCACAGAAATATAAAGTTACCATTAACATAAAACGAAGGATTAAGTTCCCCTTAAATGTTGAATTGTAAAACTATTGATTTTTCAAAACATTTTAAACAACTTATGAGAAATATGTTACCTCATTCATGAAAAGTAATTAAGGTTACTTATCCACGGGAATAAACTGGTTAGTAATTAGAAACAACAATATAGATGTTTTCTTTGCTCTATTTAAATATGTATTTATTTAATTTGGTTGTTTATCGACTCTGAAGAAGTAGCTTACATTAAGTCACGAAACGTCAGACAAACAATATTCTACAGATGAAATGTGTTTTCAATAGCGGTGAAATAAAATGACAAAAAAGTAATAAAGAACAATTATAAATCATCTGTTTATACCGAGAAGCATTGAACAATGAATGATCTCACGGGGTGAGATCGTAGATGCGTACTGCTGAGGAGTTCGATAATAGAATGAAATAGCCATTCAATGCTTTCAAGTTTCCAATAGTGGTCTAACACTGATCCTTTCATGATTTCAACTAAAAACTCAACAATCTTTACAATCCTATACTAATAAATTCGCTTTCCTTTAAAATATTAAACCTATGAAGACAAGTAAATTGTCAAATTTCATACCCTGAGCCATACAAGGTAGCTTCAGCTTGAATCAGACAAACCTAGTATTTAGTGGATAATTGTAAATATCATTCTATTCAGTCTTCAAAACTGATCAAACAACTTATTAATGAAGTCCCCTACTGGCATGAACGGTGAGACTATGATTTATGAACAAGCCAATGAGAAGTGTTTGAGAGATTTCAAGATCATGGCGCTAACTATGTAATAATTTCTTACAAACTCACGAAGTCTATTGTTATTATTCGTATTACGTAACTTATTGTTATAATCTTTTCATTACGTCATCTTGGTTATTCGTGTCCACATTTACTGACGAAACTAGTACTTTAACAAAACAATTTTCATATATATATATATACGATTTTACAGCTTGATAATATATTCATTGAATTGTGAGTGATTCATTGAATTAATCCTTCAAATGCAACCGAGATGTATACTTCAATGAAGAGAAAATTCTCTTTGTTATGTATATAAATCATAAGGTTTGAGTTCTTATGAAAATATATTGACTACATTTCAAATAGGCTAGGTTGCTATGTAAAGTTGAAGGTCTCTTATGAGACTGGAGGTTCGCCATTGATACTGTGGATGGTTCAGCATTACTTTGGCAAGTTTTGCTGACTGTTCATGTGCTTTTCAGGGTTTTCAAGTGCCATTGTCATTGGAACATTGTCAGACGTGTTACCATTGCTAACATTAATGAGTTTAACTGTCATGTAAACGGAATAGGTCAACTTTGGCCTCAATCAATGATTGAAATAATTATACATGTGACGGGGATGTGTATATGAATGGTGCGAATGGTCCACCAGGTTACTCGATACCTGTGTGGTTTCGCCACAGGATTGAGCTGTACTATTCAGATTGTAGTGATAAAGCCTACATGGTGTCTGGTTTTCCTGTGAAGCGAGATTGAGCTGTATTATTATTATTATTATTGTTATTAATATTGATATTATTATTTGAACACATAAATATTGGTTCAAGCGGCACTAGATACATATGCGCCACATAAACCATTCGATTTATGTTAGGGCTGGGATACTGCCTGGGTGCCCAAACCGAAACAGGTAGTTTTCTTAGGGGACCACACCCGGGGACTTCTACCTAAATGTCTGATCTACAAGGCAATGGAGCAACGTCAGTAGATGCAGTCCCGTGGTAGCCGGTAACCAACGATTGGTTCATAAGCCATTTGTTCCTTCGGGATACTGGAGCCCATGTGCACCATTGGTTTGGGATCAGGTTAAAGCGCCGGATATTCGCTTTTCGTCCTCTCAATTTCATAAACAACACCCCCGCGCACGAGAACTCAGTGAGTAGGATTTCCCTGGCAGACGCTATATACGCGTGGCCATGTGAAAGAATTTTGAAAGGGAAAGCGGACTTTCCTCACGCTCGGCCGTACCAGGGCATTTGGGGACGAGAGATTGAGCTGTACTGTTTGGGTTATAAAGTTTAAACCTGGCTGGTGTCTGGCTCTCCTGTTAAACGGGATTGAGTTGTACTATTTGGATTATCACGTGAAAGTCTGAATGATATCTGGTTCTCCTGAAAACCATTATAGAATTACCCTGGCCCAAAAAGGTATATCCTATAATATAACATTACAAATAAACATAGACAATAACATTTATATATTTAACTTTTCACTTACTAATGTATTTGATGAAATTATTTGATCTAAAAACTTTTCAAGATGATTTACAATACGCTTTCTTAAATAATAAGCATCTCGTGTATGTAATAATTTAAGTTTTTGCTTTAATAGTATATATCTCAATTGAGCTATAAGAGTTGATCTTGGTGTCATATAAACAGATTGTGTAATTTTATGTTTCTTATATTCTTGAGAAGATTTCTGATTATTGTCAAGTTTTGTATTATAGGTAAGTAGTTGTTCAATCCATTCAGGATTTAATGTCGACTCATTTATTCCTGGTTGAATTCTATAAGTGTGATAACATGTACATTCATTTTGATCGTTAAAATCTATGGTCTGAACTGAAAATGGATAGATTAAAAACAATGAAATAGTTTAAATTACATCAGTATCAATTTTTGTTTTGTTTTACTCTTCATAGTTATGGTTATTTCTTTAAGATTTAAAATATTGTTTTCATTATCATTCCCTTTATGTACTACACAACTCCGCCTGGAGTTGTTACAAGTGTTTAATAACAATCGCCTATGCAAAATACTTTTCATCACGAACTGACATCAGCTATCATGCCAGAAATCTATTTAGCCAAATGGGTGAAAGGCTTTCGTGCCCAAAATCCGAGATCTATTATCTTATACCTGATTGATTCGTCCGCAAATTATAGTCTCGCCATTTTATTTGTTATAGCTGCTCAATTATCACGTTTTGTACAAAATTCCCTATGAACCGATCGCACGTCAGCACTAAGCACTGAAGTTGGCGCCGCGACCTTGAAACCTCTTTAACGCCTCTGATTGGCTCGTCTATAAATTAAAGTCTTACCAAAAAACGAATAATTAATGTTAATATATCAACCATATTTCAGAATATGATGAAGCTGTAGATCTTACCTAACTTAGTATCGAACTTCTTAACATTGTCTTTTGAATGATTACATGAATGTGTAGGAACACAATTCACTTTGTATACATTAACATCATTTTGAACTATTCGATCATTATAATCTGTTATAGGTTGACTAGTACAGATAGGACTTAATATAATTGAATTTGATTCAAAATCATTTTTAGATAAATAATTTTTACATGTTAAATATTCATTTGGCTTGTTATTTTCATGATGTTGAACTTTCATATTTTGAGTTAATAATGGACAAGTAGTAATTCCTGTATTACATGATGATGTAACAGTTGATCTAATATGATGATGGTAGTATATTGAAGATAAATCTTTGATCTGTTTATTCACATTCAAAGAAGATAAATCAATCGTTTGACTCTGAAATACAAGTATTACACACAAAGATAAAATTATTTTTTATTATGAAAAGGTATTTTTAAGATATACTGAAACTTCAACTGGAGCCATTCTAAGATTATTCCCGGTCTCAAACCTAGGAAAGGATGGTTGGATATGGGGGTTACCAACTCGACCCCATAAAAATAGCTCTGCTAAAAAGACGTAAAACATAAAAGTTCATTTAAATCATTTAAAATCAGTCCTTAGAGTTGAACGATATTTACGTAGAAGAGTTATGGCACCTCATAATGAAAGCCAAGATTCTTTTGTATAACAAGGCAGTTGTCCCTTTTAACAACTAAAGCAACAAATTATTTAGGTACAGTGAGTGTCTGGACAGGTTACGTGGCCGGAAGGATCATTCGAATAGCACTGAAGACCAGTAAACGAAACCCACAAGATACAAAATGAACAAAAAAAGATTGGAGTTGCTGCTGTACTCTGGTCACAAAGTACAGGAAAGTTTGCATGGATACTTTCCAAAGAAATGCAGATTGTTCTTAACGAATGAGAATCTTGTAGCTTCGGGATCAATAAAGCATCCTTAAAAATAAAAGAAGGTAGCTATCGTACTGAATGTTATTAATTACTACTCACCCACCAATGACAGTAACAAAGAGAGAGTGCAATTTATCGTAGAGAACATCCAAAGAAAATACCTGACCACAGCATATAGATCTTAACATTCATGAAGGAAAAAGCGAGATCCTCGAATAGTGAAAGGATATAATCAACCAACGAATACTTTGTAAAACATTATTAATAAATAAAGATCACTTATTTTTATCTTTAACTTACCGTAGAAGTTTTAGGTATATGGAACATTCTATGTATACCAGTATTTTCTCTACTGACTATCTCGGTTTCATTAAATTTATTTCGGGGAACTTTATTTTCAACAGAACTTAATGAAAGACAATGTTCTTGTTTCATTGAAGTTGTGTCAGTCTGACTGAAAACAGTGACACAGGTTGGCATGTTTTCTGAAGAAGAAATAAACAACGTTTAATGATAGAAAGAAAGGAAAGATTCTTTCTATCATGAAATTAAGCATTTGAGTATGATGTAGAAATATCAACAGCCTCATTTGAAGGTAAACATAATTCAAATCTAACAGTCAATGGTAAGAGGCTACTCATTATGGAATTGAGTAGTTATTCAATATAAACAAGCGGTTTTCAATTTCTTTTGTCATACAAGAGAAACAATCTATCAAAGATTATTTCTATCTGTTTCTAGGTGAAATTAACAAGAGTTCATCGAAAACCTGGAAGTCACGTGCGCGAGACTGCCAGGCCTTGGGTTCGAATCTCGCGGGGGGTGGGATCGTGAATACACACTGCTGAGGAGTCCCATGCTAGGACGAAACGGCCGTCCAGAGCTTTCAGAATTTCCATGGTGGTCTAGCTTCAATTGACTCATGATTTCAACTAATGAAATTACTAAAATCTCCACAAAACCCCTTTTGATACATATTTTTTAGTAATTGTACTAATAGTGATCAAAAAGTAGTATAACCCAACTGACAAAAATTTAGGCCTCAGCCACATACAACACAATGATAATCCTGCTTTGTTATCATTCTTTACTCTATAAATCAATTGTTTACATTTTTTCTCGACATCCAAACTACTTGGGATTCGTAATGACATTTCTCTTTGAATGGTTAAGCCAAGACAGTGTCAGGTAGTACTGATTCATTACACGTTTTCTAAATTAATATTCAGCTTCTATTCACTTGGTGTTGCTTTACTTGTATCTTCCCATTGTTATTTAGGATTGCAATTAATCAATCTCTTATTGGCATATGTGCATTCTGTGCGGATTGCCTCGATACTGCCTTAAGTCACAAGCTTTTTAAGCAAAGATGGATAGCGCGTGCTGAATTCCACTGCTAGCCACTACCATCTTTGCTTAAATATATAGTTTCTGTCCAGAAAAAAAAGGCATTATAAACAACATAGGACCTAGTGAGTTAGTTACCATATCAATTAGCCTACCTCATAAAGACGGAAATAAAGATGAGGAAAAAGAAGAAAATGTGGGGGGGGGGTGAGGAGAAACAGAAAATTGCATATGAAAATATAAAATAAATCAAATAGTTGGGTAGTAAAAATTAAACCAAAGAATAACTGATGAACACGCCTGTACTAGTGAAATTAATTATAGATCACATCACTTATAGTAGTCACACTACGTCAATTTTGACAATCGGAATACTTACTAATCTAAAACATTTGATTTCTATGATCACTACTTTATTGATTATTTATTTAAACACATAAACATTGGTACAAAGAGGCACCAAATAGATACGCGTCACATAAACCATACGACTTATGTTAGGGCTAGGATACTGCCCGGGTGCCCAAACCTAAGCATGTGGTTTTCTTATGGGATCTAAAGATTTAATCCACTTGGCAGTGGAGCAACGCAAGGAGATACAGTCACGTGGTAGCCGGTAACCAACAATTGGTTTATACACCATTGGTTCCCTCAGGATCCTGGTTTCCATATGCATCATTGATTTGGAATGAGGATTTTCCAACTCGCCCAAGTGTAACCAATGGTTGAAGAATGTGTGTGACATGGGTGAGAATCGATCACAATAGTGTAGGTGTATACACTCTCTGTCTTCCTTTAAACTATGAGATTAAAATCGCTTTATATATCTCTACGAACTAATTCTTTCTTCCTGTACAATATCCTTATGTGTAATCTTTCTTTTATATATTATCACCATTAAATTAACTACTTTTATGAATTCGGTGCTCACTTTTTGTGCTAATGAGTGAGGTGTGGCAACTTGTACCAATGCATATATGTGTCTGGTCCTATGGTGTAACTGACTAACTGACTGAACTCTCCCAGGTGGATCCTCCATGTCCACCAACCCGGTTAAAGCGCTGGACACTCGCTTTCCATCCTCTGATTTTTGTTAACAACATCCCCGCCACGAGAAGGCAGTGAGTATGACTTCCCTGTCGGTGGCTGTATACGCCTGGTCATGTGATAGCAATTCGTGAGGGAAAGGCGGACTTTCCCCACCCTTGGTCATACCAGGGCATTTGTTGGCAATTTTCATTGATTCATTCATGATATCACTCTAAACTCAACAATCTCCATAACCTTATACTACTAAAATGTAGGTCCTAAAAACACTTAAATTCATATATTTTCCTATATGTGTACATAAAGTAGAGTTTATATTGAGCAGAAATAATATGCACAATTTTCAATTCATGTTAAATTGAATCGTTTTATTCAACTTACGTATTACATGATTAGAATGATATCCAGTCATAGATAAATTGCTATATTGTGAAGGAATATATTCAGGTAGATTGTTTGAATTGATTTTAGAAGCAGTATAATTTATATATGGTGAATTATGAGTAGTATATTGAGTAACTAATTGTATTCCATTAGAGAAGATTGTAGGATAAACGTTAGATAATGTTATATTCATATTATGAGATAACCATTTACATTCAGTAGTTAACATATCATTCTGAGTCTTTAAAGAAACAATAAGATAGAAATGGATAGAATTATAATGAAACAATTATAACATTTAAAATCTATCTCAATCGAAGTGAATGTCAGATGAATCTTGATTGTATGAAATGAACTACTTCATAGCCATGACAACAGCACATAATGAATATCGTCGTGGCGTATAAGGATACGTTTTCCCTTCTAGATAAATAATTATAGTGAATACAGATTAATTTAACATCGTGATGTTGAGTCTAATCTGTTAATATTCAAGATTGCTTGAAACTACTTTAGTGAGACTAAAATATATGAACGACCTTTGAGCGACGGTAAATCAACCTTGAGAGTGTCTACCTAGTAACTAGGACCAAATAAGGTTTATAAACCAGGGTAAGGAACTAGAATTATTATTTATAATTGATGATTAAGGTTAGAAATTCAGTTGTCCTTTACATAATGTATCATTCCTTTGATTCTATTGTTATTCCAATTTCTCTCCGTTTTCTTACCTGTTCTCTTCATATCAATCTAGTGCTGATAAGCATTCCATTTCCTATTCCTATTATATACTACTTATATCTGTTCACATTAGAAGTAACACACTACAATATAATTAATGCTAATGTGAGGACTGTCCCCGAATGAACTTAAGGAAGCCCTAAGAAGTTCAGAAAGAACCGAAGATATTCCATTCAATCATCGTTTGGAAGAATATTCTAGAATCCCTATGTGGAGCTACACTATTGGACAAATGCTAAAAAATCCTCTTTATGCTGATTGGATCATTAGAAAATGATGATTTCATTCTTATTAAAAACTATAAATACCTGACTGTTTTGTATCATAATTGATACTGTTTTAGAATAGCATTCCTTTCAATTATCTTCTCTCTTCTCATTTGTAACTAAGGAGGGTTCTATCGTTCGAGTGCTGAAGTTATACGCGGTACATTAAGAATCTAAGCTTTAGATATAACAGCTAACAATTAGTCAAATGTTATATTGACGAAAGGAGCAATTAGTCCATTTAACTAACTATTTTCAGAAATCTTTCTTAATGTATGTTACTTATAATGAAGTAATTCTTTAAAGAGAAGTATTCATACATTAAACTAGAATTCAATTAGTGAAAAGAGGATAATAAGTGATTTAAACAAATCATAATACAACATTAACGAAGGGTGCTTCCAGGTTTTCCATGGTGGTCTAGCTTCAACTGACTCATGATCTTAACCATTGAGACCAATGAGATATAAGATAACAAAACTTGAATTTTTGGCGCGAAATTCATTCATTAATTTAGCTGAATAGCATCTTGATATTTTAGTTAATGTTAGTTTGTGATGAAAACACTAAACCTAGTTTCCAACCGTAACGATTAACTGTAAATCAAAAATTCTAATTGTTCACACGGCTTTATAATTGTCATTTAGTCCCAGATAATAGGTGAATATTCTCAGGGTTACTTTAGCATCTCTCGAAAGTTGTCGATCATTTATAGTCTCAACGAGTTAACTAATTTATTATGCCCATAAATAACTACACAGAAAGCTTAGAGATCTACGAAAGTCATCATCCAGAAGATACAGGTGTTTATTAACACTTGTCTACTTCGGATCCGTTGGCCTGACACTATCAGCAACAATCTACTGTAGGAGAGAACAAACAAGATCCCAGTGGAGAGAGAAGCACTGGAAGTGGATAGGACACACATTGAGGAAAGCACACAACTACGTCACAAGGCAAGCCCTCACATAGAATCCTCAAGGTCAAAGGAGAAGAGGAAGACCAAAGAATACATTACGCCGACAAAATGGAGACAGATATGAGAAGAATGAACAACAATTGGATAGAAATAGAAAAGAAGGCCCAGGACAAATGGCGTCGGAGAATGCTGGTCGGCGACCTATGCTCCACTACGAGTAACAGGCGTAAGCAAGTAATCATCCACTATCTACGTGGAATTCGGGACAAATCTGTATGGGTCAACGGTACAGCAATACATATTAACACGAAAGACAGTGGCAATTAAAAAGATGAAGAGCAGAGAATGAGAGATATTGCTCCCTACCCTAGTGGAAACTAAACATACGTGATATAGTTCAAAATGGACGAATGAGATCCAGTTATAAAGTGTGGACTCAAGATTTAAGGGAAGATAGGGAACAAATTCATATGCTTTATTACCACTATCAAACCCTAACCATGGTAATCAAGATCTACAGACATAAATTAGGACCATTACTCGCAGTTCGAATAAAAAATCTGAATATATCGACAAAAGACAGAGTACTAATCGTTGATGAAGTGTCTTGACTTTTGACGCAAAATTCATTCACCCATATGGCTAAACAGAACTCTTGGATTATATAGCTGATGTCAACTTGTGATGAAAATAGTAAATGTAGTTACTGAACTTAACTTCTAGTCCTAGGTTCTAGTTCTAATTTCTCAGACTGATTCATAAACCTATTTTAAGCCTAAGAAGAAGAGTTTTTCAGGAATGAACAACATATGAATAGAACTAAAAAGGAAACTTAAAAAGAAAGGCTTAGGACAGAGTGAGTTGGAGAATGCTGATCGGCGATCTATGCTCCATTTGGGAGGGGGTAGGGTAACAGGTAAAAAAAAACTGCTGAAAACAAAGAGAAAAGAAATCAATAAATTGAAAACTTACACTTTTACAAATACTTATCCCGTTTGCTGTTGTTGGTGTTGTTGTTATCATTGACACTTTATCATTTTGAATAGATGGTGTAAATGATTTGGAAATTTCATCGATTTTTATATCAGTATTTTTAATCAATAAATGTTCAAGTTCATTATGGGCATCATAATAATTAGGGGTAATTTCTTTCTCTAAAATGATATATAAAATTTACTTAAATATAAATTTATAGAATTCACAGGTAGTTGAAATAAATGAGATAACAACTGAGTTCCCCAGGTATTGTTTGCTTATATCTTCCCACTGTTGTTTAGGACTGTAATTGATCAGTCTCTTATTGGTATATGTACATCCTGTGCGAACTGCCACGATATTACCTCAAGTCCTAAGCTTTATAAGTAATGATGAATGGTGGTTAGCAGTGGAATCCAGTTTAACACGCGTTTCGTCCCATTTTGGACTCGTCAGTTGGATGTACCTGTATCCCAGAGTTTCTCAGGCTTGTTTCTATCTAACTAAGCCCAGTAGATAAAAAAATCATCGAAAAACATACAAAATGAATAGACATAAGACTGATGATAGTGAATGTTCAGAAGAATTCTCTACTATTAAAACTACAGTTTAAAAACGACATATGTCATGAAATATGAAGACAGGAGTTGGGAAATCGATTACAGAAAACGTTCACTACAACCCAACTACATGGATTATCATAAACTCGTCCAATCATTACAACCATAAACATAGGCGGACTGTTTGCATTTGTCAAATGTAAGTGTAACTATCAAATTTACTGCTCTTGTGAAGCCAGTTATATAAAGAGCAGAATTAGAAAAATCTGTCATCACATCTGCGGATGCCATACTGCTTAGTTGAAGAAAGTGCATTTAAAGCCAATTAAAAGTTCTCTTCATACTCACTTGATTGATACAGAACATCCAGTTGACTTGAATAAAGCTTCTCGAGTTATTTACTGTGTTCCATCAAATACACAATAATTATCTAGATGTATATTAGAATCTAAGTTTACTGTACACACTGTTATCAAACACGGCTAAGGGATATGACTGCTAGAGACAAATAATGTAACAGAATGCAATTATTCTATGACAAATATTTCAGAACCATTGATTAGAAGTGTTGAAACTACCTACTGCTGATAAATGCTAGTACTAATCATATACAAGACTAATTAGTTAACAAGATAGGAACCTTAAATAAACTGAAACAGTAAAGTTGTGGTACTAATTTCGAACAGTTACATATTCTAATAAATGAACCCTTAGAAATAACAAGCGCCCTAATTCCCTGGTACCGTCGACAGTGAGGAAAGTTTACTACCCCCTCTAAATGCTCTCATATAGCTACATGTATGCAGCCACTACCACGGAAGTCCTACTCATTGCCTTCTCACGGTAGGGGTGCTGGTTATGAAAATGAGAAGATGAAACGCGAGTGTCTAAAGCTTTAGCCGGGTTGGTGGATATGGAGGATCCATCTAGGAGAACTAAGTGTATGAAAAAACCATCTAGGGGAGTTAGAAAACTCACATTCTAAACAAATGGTGCACATCCTGAGGGAACAATTAGCGTATAAACCAATCGTCGGTCACCAGCTACTATGGGACTGAATCTCCTGACGTCGCCCCACTGTCTTTTGGATCAGACCTCTAGGTCGAAGGCTCCGGGTATGTCTCCTCTAAGAAAACCACCTGCTTCGGTTTGGTCACCCTGACAGTATTTAACTCCATAAGCAGATCGGATGACGAATTGTGAGCACTTATATTTGGCGCTTCCTTGTACCAATATTGATGTGTGGGCGAGGATGATGGTGATTGCTTATTTGTTTAGTCAGACATGCAGATCATCTGTCAGGTGTTAGATGAGTTATATATTTCCCTTTCATTATTTATTATGATTTATTGTTCATTGTTGTTGGATTGTGTCGGGTTTCGATGAGGAAATATATTTACGCTCTAGTCAGGCTAATTACGTACTCTTGATCTGAGTTGTATTGACGTCCTTTAGAATAGACACTGGGAGGGAGTCTAGAGTAGATATTCGTCTAAGATAAATTAGGATCCCACTAGTGTAGACGGGGAAAACTGAGTGTTACAACAAATATTTATATCAATGGTTAAGATCATGAGTCAGTTCAAGCTAGACCACTATGGAAAACTTGGAAGCACTGGACGGCCGTTTCGTCCCATTGTGGAATCCTCAGCAATGAGCATCCACGATCCTGCCAGCGAGATTCGAACCCAGGGCCTTCAGACTCGCACTCGAACGCTTAACCTCTAGACCACTGAGTCGGCATCCAACGATATTAATGTCTAACCTCAAACATTCCACGAAATTGCGTGACCATCTCCCATTGTAGTGAGGTAGATATGTCTCTACCCGACACGGATTAGCTCCACTGGTCAAGGCTTCTCAATAGAACTACAAGAATTTCCTCGCGAAGCTAATCACTAGTGAGCACATCGTAATTATCAGTATAGAGTTGTGGAGATTATGATCTAATTATCTCAATCAAAAACTTAATAATCTCCACAACCCTATACTGATAATTTGTGTTTTTATGAATTACTATGTAAACTAGTAACATATTGCATTTATGTATTGCAATGGACTGTTAATCTGTTACATTTTTATTTTTATATGAAGTTTTACTCTGTTTCATTACTCATTATACCATTTTTCACTTTTTCATTATTTAGTTTCTATTCTGTATGTTAATCATTGAAACATTGTTTATTCTGAACAGTTTCTATGTTCCCAGTGAATAATAATGGATTACTTTCGTTAATTGCTATAAGGTGTTTCAGACAAGCTTGCGATGGACTCCAGTCTATAGTTGTTTAATCGGTTTTACATTCTGTCCTTACTCACTTCCCTTCCATTCTATGCGTATTGTTTTAGACTACTTATTTACAATCAGTAAATAGTTGTATTTCCAGAAATTTTTAAACTTATGTTGTAACGCAACTTTGTCGTGTAATATTCTGAAATATTTACATATACTTACAACATTTATTGTACTCATTATGATAACTACTTTATATCAATCACTCTATAAGTTATCTACAGTTCTGTGCATTTGTTTAAACCCAATGGTTTTCATAATGTATGCTCTTGGTTCAGGTTTTGCTCGTTGATAAACTGTTACCAAGTTTAGACACAGCTATCAGCTGTCTTTTGCATTATCGCAGACTTTTTTTATTTCATACAAAAAGACGCATTAAACGCCACAGACACCTCACAAGTTGAGGTTTGTAAATAAATTTTGTATATTATTCAATAAAGAACCGTTATTTTAGACAAATCGTTGTTTTGCGAACTTCGATCATGAACGTATCTCAATTGGGTGACTTGGACGCTTCGATAAACTTAATAATAGTACACGTTATCCTTTTAATCTATTTCAATTTATTACAAAACGGAATTTGTTTTCGGTTGTGCCATTAAGAGAGTTTATGACACATAGACATCTTATGATTCCAGGTCGGTAAATTCTATTGCTAGTGGTGTTGTCTACAGTAATGCAATTTTCCAGACAAATTAGAAACTTCACACATCACGTGAATTTTGAGTTAATACTCTTGAAAGGATCCTGTATAGGGACTAATGTATGATCGGAACAACAATTCTTAAATCTGATTAAACTCAATTTTATGTAATCCGAACGTGATCTTGTGTCTCTAACAAGCTTTCCACAGTAAGTCAAAGGTATGTATTTAACAATATATAATACCCAGAAAGGGGTTTTGTGGATATTATAGTGATTTAATACTTGAATTCATGAACCAATTAAAGCTAAACTATCACGGAAAACCTGGAAACATTGGACGGCTTCAAGAGGTATTTCCTGGAATTCTAGTGATTAGCTGTGACCAGTGGAGTTCAGCCGGGTCTATTGTAAGATAATAACTCACTGAAGACAATGATGGACTGTGGTGCAATTCTATGGATTGGTTGAAGTTAGACAGTATCAGCGTCAAATGCCGGCTCAGTGTCCCATAGGGTTTAGCATTCGAGGGTCCTAGGTTCGGATTTCACGAGTAGGGTCGTGGATATGCATTGCTGAGGAGTCCCATACTAGGAAGGAATGCTCTTCCAGTGCTTCTAGGTTCCACATAAATTCAACTATTATATAAATAATACACATCAATAAATAGTTTCTCATTAAAAACAAAGTGCATTTTATAAGAAACAAAAAACAACAAATTACCACAATTTTCATCCATTATAACACTACTTCTACAACCTTCCGATTCTGCATCAAAACCATTTTGATAATATATATTTTCATTTAATGGTGTTACTGTTGTAATAGCTGAGTAATTATTTGTATCTATAATGAAAAAAAATAAACCATGACTAACTATAAAATGAGGTCTAATATACTTCAAAAGGCAGTCAACAACAAAAAACTGATGAGCACTATTGATTGATTGATTGATGAAATTTATAATTAATATCTACCTAGTGATCAAATGATAAACATGAAATCTGAATACTATTAGAAAGAAAGAAAGAATTGTTAAGAACCATAGTATGTAGGGGTCATTCAGTCAGTCAGTCAGTCAGTCGGTCAGCTACAAAGTAGGACCAGGCACATATATGCATCGGTATAAGTTGCCATACCTCATTAACACAACAAGATGGACAGTGGATTCATAAAAGCAGTTAATTCAATGGTGATAATATATAAAAGAAAGATTGCAATAAGGATATAGTACAGGAAGAAAGAATTAGTTCGTAGAAAGAAAGATATGAAGTGATTTTAATCTCTTAGTTTAAGGGAAGACAGAGAGTGTATACACCGACGTCATTGTGATCGATTCTGAGCCATGTCACCAAGAGTCTCCAATCACTAGTTACGATAGTCACACGGACCCCAACCAAGTAGTCTGCACCTACCAACATGGCTCAGACTAGAAGTTAGTGACTTCAAGCACTGATGCCGCGTATTGGTTTGGCCGCCCCTAACCCTCTTCCAACCATCCCGAACACCGGTTAGCATTGCACGTCGTGGTAATCGGTGTTCAGGCATACGTAACACGTGACCCAACCATCTCAGTCGATGAAGATTCACAACCTCATCAACTGATTTACCATCATTTCCTAATACCCTGCATCTAACCTCACTATTACTTACCCGGTGATCCCAGCAGACGAGAGCAATATTTCTAAGACAACTGTGGTCAAATACTAGTAGCTTACGAGTGTCTTCTACTCTTAATGGCCATGTTTCTCTACCAGTGGTTTTTAAACCATGATGATAGATGTAGATGGATAACCGCTATTAGTGGTTAGAGATCTTCGGTATTATGGCTTAGAATCCATCAAAATTATGCAGATGAATTCACTCTTTATCTTTCTGTATACCAATATACCTTCAAACATGCCTTCTAGAACCCTATTCCCTAGGTTTAGTTATTCTCATCGTCATTCCTATGACATTATTTAAAATTATTTGTTATACATCTTGTTAGTTTCATCTTATCGTGTTAATTTGGCATGGCTACTTAAAATACAATTGAAAAGCATATGAAACTCAAAATAACTATCTGCAAGTCAACATCAAAGTTAGAATCTTCAATACGAACGTCAAGACAATTCTACTGTATGAAGCTGAAACTTGGAGAACTACTACAACCATCATCAAAAAGTACAAGAATTTGTGAACATTTGTCTACACAAAATACTCAATGTTCGTTGATCGGATAACATCATCAACAGTCTACTGTAAGAGAGAACATACCAGCTCCCAGTTGAAGAGGGAATTAGGAAAAGATGTTGGAAGTGGATAGAACATATATTGAGGAAATCATCAAACTGCATTTTGAGGCAGGTGCTTACTTGGAGTAGTGATGGGAAACGGGAAAGAGGAGGGCCAAAGAACTCATTACATTGGGAAATAGAAGCAGATATGAAAAGGATGAATAACACCGGGAAAAGCTGGAAAGGATTGCCCAGGACAGAGTTGGTTAACGAGTGCTAGTAGGCGGCCAACGCTCATCCATGAGGGGTAATAGGCGCAAGTAAGTAACCCAGGTCAACGCCCATTTTCATTAGGTTTTACTTTAATTACGACTGACTGGTCACCTTTGATTTAATGTTTTCGCAAATGTAATTAAAACCGAGTTACGCATGGATAGTAAAATTATGAAACTGCTCAGTTGTATTTTTCTGTACACCAATCGTCTACAGAACATATCTACAAATCTTAAACAGACACAACAACTCTACCTAAATGATCTTCTAACAACTAATTCCTGCATAAAACGTAGTTCAATTTTAAGCAAGAGAAACAAACAGAAAACATAAAGATGAGTTCTATTTCGATTTATTTATCTATTTATTTGGACACATAAATATTGATACAAAGGGGCACCGAATATATATGCACCACAAAAGTCGCTTGATTTGTGTATGGGCTGTGATAGTCTCCGGGTACCCAGACCGAAGCAGGTGGTTTTCTTAGGGGGACACACCATGAGCCTTTAAATTAGAGGTCACTTTTCGTCCTCTCAATTTCGTGAACAATAGTAATACCACCAGAAGGCAGTGAGTAGGACTTCTCTGGCAGTAACTGTATACGCGTAGTTATGTGAGAGTATTTCGAGAGGGAGACCGGACTCTCCCCACCCTCGGCCGTACCAGGGCATTTGGGGTTATCAGAATTATGTGATATATTTGTGCAATGCATTTCCAACAATGTGATCACATATATCTTTATTTCCGCTTACCTTTTAATTTGTTTAGTTGACTTATTTTTCATATTAAATGTCTTTACAAGTATATGTTCAGTCAGATTGTTCGAAATGTATTACACAAATGTATTACATAATTTGGATAACTTTCATCTTCTCATTGCATTATCGAAATTTATCAAAGGGATTGATGGTTATGTATTTTATTATAATCAGAGAAGGGTTTTTGTGAATATTATAGTAATTTAGTAGTTGAATTCACGAGTAAATTGAATTGGAGAGATCAATATTCACTCTACCCTCGCATTCGTCATCCTGGTGATTCATGCATTAAGAAGACTAATATTCAATCGACCCATGAACTAAACTATTGAATTACTAAGAACACCACAAATCTCCCTCTCTGATTATAATAATCGTATACCCGACAGTGACTATCTCCAAGAGGTATTTCCTGGAGTTCTATTGAGAAGCCATGATACCTTTCTTATCTTCTAAATACAGAGTCTTATTTCGGGATTGGTTTAAATCTGTATCTATTTGAATAACACCATGATAATCTAGCTTCAAATGGCTCATGATCTCAACTATTGAAATTACAACAATCTCCACAAAACCCCTTCTGATACTAATCGACATATGCTCACTAGTGACTGGCTTCAAGAGGTATTTCATGGAGTTCTAGTGAAAAGCAGCGACAAGTGGAGTTCAACCTGATCTGCTGAGAGGCAGTAATTCACTGAAAATAATGATAAATGGTGGCCCAATTTCGTGGATTGGTTGAAGTTAGACAATAACGCCGTTGGATACCTGATCAGTGGTCTAGAGGTTAAGCGCTCGTGTGCGAGACCGATAGGTCCTGGGTTGGAATCTTGCGGGGCAGGATTGTGGAGGAGTTTCATAGTAGGACCATGGTGGTCTAGCTTCAATTGACTCATGAATTCAACTAATAAATTATGTTGACAAATTCCTTCAAACAACCGAACATCAGGATGTAAACGTTGGATATTTCAAAGCTGAAATTACAATTTATATTCCATGGAATTAAATTCAAATGACATAAATAGAATAATTTATTGTTACCATATCCATGTTCATCATATCCAACTTGAACATAGTAATAAAGTTAATCTATGATAGATAAAAATTAAATGAAATGATATGTCCCTATCATTTACAGTTGGGAGGAAAAACCAGACTCACACGTCCTCGTCGTGCCTCATAACTAATGGGACTCAGTCCCATGAACTAACATGAGCGGTAACCCAGATGGTAGAGATTGGACTGATCACCCACTTGACTGATACCCACAAAGAATCACAGGACAATTACTCCAGGATCGAAAAACGACAAAACTTTCACAAAAATGGTGCACGCAATGTACGGGGATGCTATCTACGGGGAAAACTCCAATCGATTGCAAAAACAACTATTCTAGCCCCAGTAGTTGTGCCGTTCTTCGATGTGGCCTATTTATCTTCAAAAGGGCCTACTAGGCTTTACCAACTTGTTTGACTAGAAGGGGGTGGCATCATTTAAAGTTAGATTAGGTATATATTCTAATTAAACTGGAAATTGCACATCATATATAATCATATATATTTATATATATTAAAACTAACCTTGTGCTGATGAAAGTGCACCATCTACAATATAGCATATTTCTTCTGGTTCATTAAAATTATTCAAAGGTGATTGAGACAAGTCTTTTGAACATGTTGACGGTTGAACTGTGGAAATTTCCTGTTTAGGTATATTATTATTTGTGTGTAAATAAGAATCCGTTTCTATAGTATCCAATGCAGATGTAGCTTGTAATGAAGATAAATCATGTTGATTATCCTCTAAAGGTGACTGTAATTCGTCGTCATTATTATTATTATTTTCATCTAATTCCTTCACAAGTCTACAGTTACTATGCACTGGAGAATTCGCCAAAGTTTCCTTGAATTCAAATTACAAAGTTGTATATATAAAAATTAGTTTGGTTCATTTGTAGAACTATACAGCTACATAATGAAATAGCCAAGTCAACAATTAAAGCAAATGTCCAAAGCAAAACGACAAATAAAAGCCCATGATGAAAAAACATCTTTAAATTAACGAAATCTTTTAAAGCCAATCAATTGAATAGTAATTTTATGAAGGCTATTATCACCAGTCAGTCAGTCAGCAACAACGTAGAACTTCGTACGTACGTACATCAGTTTGAGTTGCCATACCACATTACCACACAGATACAATTCTCGATTGAAATGCCATAGTGGTAGAGGTAGTAAGAGTATAAACAGTAATCAGAAAGATTAGGGTTTGAAGATGTTATTCAAGGAGTATAATTCAGTGAAATAAATTTGGAAAGAGAAAAAGAAAAGGGACATGAAGAATTCAGAAGATTAGAAATTTGGAAGAACAAAAAGAGTGGATGCACCTGTGCCATTGCAAATGATTTTGGACCATGTCATTCAGGTCTCTAATCATCGGTTGCTATCGTATCGCGGATCCCAATCAGGTAGTCTACGCTTACCAACATGGCTCAGTCCACTTGTCAGTGATTTCATGGATTTGTGCCATGTTTTGGTCTGGTCGCATCTAGCTTTCTTCCAACCTACTCCTACACCATGAAACAACATATGTCAGGGCAGTCGGTGATTGGGAATACGTAACACATGTCGCAGTCATCTAAACTGATGAAGTTTTACTAACTCGTCAATTGATTTGCCATCCTTAATTAGTACCCATTTCCTAATAACTGCATTAATTACTCGATAGTCCCAGGATATACGAGCAATGTTTTGAAGACACCTATGATCGAATACTAGTAACCTACGAATATCCTCTACTCTTATCGGTCACCCCATACTGTTAATTACCATGTTTCCACAAGTGTTAATAGGTTGATGAGGAAATTCTCGGAATTCTACTAAGAAACCAAAACTAGTAGAGTTAATCCATATCAGATAGAGACATATATCTACCTCTGACAATGAAAGATAATTGCACAATTTCATGAATCGGTTAAAAATTCAACATTAATATCACTGAACCCCTACTCAATGATTTAAAAGTTAAGCATTCACATACATAACCCAAAGTCCTCGGTTCGAATCTCATATATGGAAAATAGGAACTTACAATCAATATATTTTAATTAAAAATATAATCAATAAATTATGGTAAAAACAAATGAACTCCAAACATTACCTGCTCATTATGATCATGCTTTATATCACCATTATTATTATTATTATTCATTATATCATTGGTAATCAATTGATTATTGATATTGATTGATTTCAATGTTTTTATTGATTGATTATATGATTTAGAGAATTCATTGATAAACCAATCATTATTCATCGATATCATTGTATTTGATCCATTTCTATTCTGATCTATATTATGTAATAGATTATATTATTATTATATTATTATTATTATATTATTATTATGATTGAAATACTTTCCAGTTCTTGTTTTAATCATATCAATATGATGATGTAATTCAATGACTGATTGACTTTTATTAAAATTGAATTTTTCTATATTCTCATTATCATTTTCATCATTTAAACTAAATTCACTACTATTTGTATTCATATTCGATTTGATATGATCTTGATCCAATAAATCAATATTGAAATCATTTAATGATGATTGATAATGATCAATAAAATGATTAATTTGATTCATTGAATTATTTAATGATAAATTATGTATTTCATCTTCAGGATCTGGACTAGATATAAATGAACCATGATTGATTGTCATTGAAGAGAATTCATCTGAAATGAAATAGACAATGATTATTTCACTCTTTTGGTCTCTTTCTCTTTCTCAAACTAACAATTAATTTCAATAGTTGAAATCATGATTCAATTGAAGCTAGACTGGGATATGTGTTAAGTATGCCCAACCACTAGTTTCTTAGTCTGAAACACTAAAGTTTATTGTTCTAACTATGTATTGACAATGCTTGTTTCGAGTTCGGATTTGTTAATTGGATTAGGAGAAGTCAAAGAGATAATGTATCTGGGTCATTGTGACTGATTCTGAGCCATTTACGCAACAACTCGACCCAAACTAGGTACTCTACACCTTGTTTACTTGTCTTTCAGTGCAGTTGTCAATAACCTCATACATTAATATGTCCTTGTGATTTGGAAGTCTCTAACCTTCTCCAATGTATCACTACACTTTTCAGGTAGTTGGTGGTCGGGTATATGTTATGTATGTTCCAAGCATCTTACTTGATAAATTATTACTACCTAATCAGTCAATTCACAAACTTTATCTAGTGCTTTATGCCGAAACTTAGCATTGTTCGCTCATCGATTACAATATACATGAGCAATGCTTGAAATACGAATATCCTCTATTCCTAATAGCCATAATTCAATATCTGGAAAGTAGAATAAAGAATACTGGTATTAAAATACATGATAGCTACTCAATAAAATAGGTTTTATATCCAATAAAACAACACTTATGTCCAACATTATCACGATGAACATCATGATAAGGTATTATAAACAATTTAAGAATATCCATTAGAAGGTCAATTAGTCTCCAGTGAATTAAAACTGTACTCACCATATGGTATAGGAGTAGGTTGGAAGAAAGCTAGGGGCGGCCAGACTAAAACATGACACAAATCCATGAAGTACACTGACAAGTGGACTGAGTCATGTTGGTAGGTGTAGATCGCCTGGTTGGGATCCGCGAGACGATAAAAACCGATGGTTAGAGACCCTGAATGACACATTACTCAAAATCGTTTGCAGTGACACACGTGCATCCACTCTTTGTGTTCTCCCAAATTCTAATCTTCTGAATTTTTCATGTCCCTTTTCTTTTTCTCTTTCCAAATTTATTTCACTGGATTATACTCTTTGAATAACATCTTCAAACCCTAATCTTTCCGATTGCTGCTTATACGCTTACTACCTCTACCACTATGGCATTTCAATCGAGAATTGTATCTGTGTGGTAATGTGGTATGGCAACTCGAACTGATGTACGTACGTACGAAGTTCTGTGTTGTTACTGACTGACTGAGACCACCATAGAAAACTTGGAAGTATTGGACGGCTTTTTCGTTCTAGTACGGGACTCCTCAGTTGATTAAGTAAAAAGATTGGTTTAGTAAACAGTTCTCTTCTTTCGATGAGTTCATTCACAAAACTATACAATCGCAAATATGTATACATTTATTGTTTCAGGATAACAATCAGTCAGTCAGTCAGTCAGTCAGTCAGTCAGTCAGTCAGTCAGCTACAACATCGGACCAGACAAATATGTGCATCAGTTCAAGTTGCCCTACCTTATTAGAACAAAAAGATTAACACAGGATTCATAGAAGTAGTTAATTCAGTGATGATGGTGGTGGTGGTGATAATAATAGTGGTAATAAAATCCTGTTAAACATGATAACAATGAAGTAGAATAAACAACTGACAAGTCCCATATAACACGAAACACGAGTCCTGGATTCCACTGCTAGTCACTATCCATCTATGCTTAAAAAGCATTAAAATGTTATGTTTTTAACTAGGGAAACTAATAATAATTTATTAGTTGAATTCATGAGTCAATTGAAGCTAGACCACCATAGAAAACAGGAAAGCACTGAACGGTCATTTCTTCCTATTGTGGAACACTTCAGCAGTGCGCATCCACGATCCCGCCTCGCGAAATTCGAACCCAAGACCTTTAAAAATACTTTTATTATTTAGAACTTGAATATTAACCATGAAGATAGATAAGGAAATTATAATTGGGAAATGAAAGCTCAACATGATACAATAAAATGCTGAATTTGGTATGAAATGTAATCAGGAGGATTATAGAAACAGAAGCAAACTAGTTGAGGGTAAAAGGTCTATAAAGAAGATAAACACGAAGTAGATTATTATAAAGGGAGGAAAATATGAAGGAGAAATAAAATTATGAGACATTAAGATCATAGTAGAAGAAGAGGTTGTTCCACATAGTTCTTGATTTTCCAAATATATAGCTACTGCTTCAATAATGTTAGGAAGATGCACTGACTTTGGCAGTCTATTCCAGTTACAATTTCCCATCTATCTGCATGATAAAATATATATTTACGACCGTAAAGTGTTGAGAATGAATTCACTGAAAACAGAACTTTTCGTTGAACCAATCTTTCTTATTATATTGTCTTAATGGGTATATTCCATTTAGTTAAAAATACAAACAATTTACTTTCCAAGAAATCCACAAGTATAACATTGACAATCAATGACATATTATTCCTTATACATATCATTTCATTCGATTACTTAAGTTCCAATATTCATAGAAGAATATATGGGATTATTTATCAAAGGATGACTATAAAGATCACCATTTCAATCTTTGGTACTATATTTACATGAAGAATAAACATTTCAGTATAGTAAGTGTTAAGTCGGCTTTCCGAGAACTGCAACGGAGCCTCCAGAGGCCCTAAAGGAGCCGAAGAGTCCTAGCCAATCAGAGCATGAAGGGACTTTCTAGAACATCAATGTGGCGTGCTACTATTGGTCAGTGGCATAATATGCCTTTTAGCGGATTGGCCAAAATATGATGCTGATTTATCAAATGTTAACATCTATAAATACCCGTGTTTTTCTGTACAAAAATGAACCTTTGGAGTAAAGCGTTTTCGCTTATTTTGCACCTTTTTCTCTCGAGTTCAGGTCGCTACGTAGTTCTAGCTTGCGAGTTACCAGAATAGCTTAGGAACCAAATAAAGCGTTCAAATTAACAAGACTTATCAGTAAGTTAATAACTAACTTCTTATTTGATCAAACGTGTCCTATTTGTATTGTAATAAACGAGAACACAAATGGAGACAATCGAATGTACTGGACCACAAAATTACAGCCCATCTTAGTAAGATCTAAAAACCATACAGTAAATACTTAACTTGCAAAATGTCAGTCAGTCGTCTTAGACTTCAGTGTTCCTGTATTACCATGCCAATCACTTTTTGTTCCCGTTCTTTCCTTCTAGATCTTCTTGATCTTCTGCTGCCAGACATTCTATTCCTAACTAGTGTTATATACTAAATATGTCGATATAATTAGCGCACATCACAGTATTATTCAAATTCATTGAAACAATTGAGTAGGAAATGGATTCAAATAATTCAACTGAGGTATGATAGATTGTTGAATTGTATCCTTGCGGCGCTAAAAGCCAATAATTTGTCGTGATTAATTATTAATTCCATCTCCAGATAAACAACAATAATTACTTTGAAAATATTTTCTGATATGCTTTTCATCTAAATATGACATTTCATCCACAGTCTCCGACCACTGGTTACGATAGTTACATGGACCCCAACCAAGTAGTCTGCATCTACCAACATGGCTAAGACTAGAATTTAGTGACTTTACAGACTGATGCCACGTTTTGGTTTGGCCGCTTCTAACTTTCTTCCAACCACATCCAACGCTAATCAGCATTGTGCATCGTGGTAATCGGTGTTCATGCATACGTAAAACGTGGCCCAACCATCTTAGTCGATGAAGATTTACAACCTCATCGACTGACTGACCATCATTCCCTAATACCCTGTGCCTAACTTACCCGATGATCCCAACAAATGTGAGCAATATTTCCAAAACATCTCTGATCAAATATTCGCAACTCACGAGTATCTTCTACTTTTGATGGCCACGTTTCTCAGGCGTAAAGTGGAACAGAATGAACTACTGTGCAGTATGTTAACAATAAACAAACTAACTTAACTAGACTATGTAACATGAGTTCCACATTTGAAAATGATGAATAAAGTCGTATGAAATTGTACCAATTAAAAACTTACTAAACCCTTTTATCTTTGATGATTCATTCCAATTTCTGTTAGAATTATTTCTTGTATTGAAGTTATATTTTCTACGAACCGCATAACCATATCCAGAAGATGGAGAAATATGTGGGCTAGAAGAAGGCCATGTCATTGTCATATTGACATCATAGTTCCCATAATCAACATAATTAACAGGATGACAAGATAGACTAGAGTGTGAAATAATTCTTGGAACACCTAAATGATTCGAAGCTATATCTCCAGCATAATCCCATTTTAAAACATCATGGTTATCGGAAATTACATCTAATTGAGCGTAATTATCTCCTTGTTGATTTCTGTCAAAAGATCCCACAGTTTGACTAGAAGAAATAATTTTCTATAGTGTAGAAAATATGTTCAAGATTAGAATATATAATGGCGATGCTGAAACAGCACAAAGTCTATTCCAAAGGTATAAAAGATATAAGACACTAGAGTAACTGTTAGCATCTTGTCATTTTATGCGAAACATCGAATCATTTTTCTCATACTTATTAACTACTTATAAATAAAATAGTAGTAATAGTAGTAAAAAGACATCTAATGGAAATTTCGATAATTAGAATAAACTGTGTCTGAAATTCTTCATACTCATAAATTATCACAAACAATAAAACCAAAATATGACGAATTTGTGACTACTTCATCTGTTTCTTGTTATGATTACATGTTAAATTGTAGACCCGACCGTTGTTGCTACCATGACGTGGTGGTCGGGCTTGCCTATCATGATGAACCAATCGAGCTATAATGGCTGGAACAATCGTTCCTCAAGGTTCTACCATGCCACATTGGTCGGTTCAACAGCGGTAAGAACAAAAGCAACAAACCCAAAGTGCGAACGCGAAGTCGTACTGCTGACTGTACAGAGGTGTGACAGCAGTAAAGTGTTTCCTCCAGACAACCAGCATGACAGCCATGCTGCCTTCTCACAAGGAGGGATGGGGATAGAAAAGGTCGACCCCAAAGATCCACACCTCACATTATCCCACGGATATCCGTCTCCAGCGATAAGGTCTCAACAAGTACGGACCCAACACGAAAATGACTCGCAAAAAGGTCGTGTGTGACCGACCTCAAGCAGTTGTCCCTTGGGCACTGCGGTCACACTTTCAGGTCACTAAGACCACCTCTAATCCAATTTTGTTTTAAGGTGTCTCCAGAAGAACCCTTCCACGGTGTGAGCAACCGGTAAGTGATAACCGCTCTCATACCTCTAACAGCACTCAGGACCACTGTATTCATAAACTGTAGACTATAGATACGCTCCATACAGAGGTTAGATATCAACAATTATGACTGTGTTTGGTTTGGTTTAAAATCGAATTTAGTCTTATTAAAAAAAGCCTGTGCTTTAACCTAGTATTATGTTCTGCAATCCTATGAAACCACTATTGCTCTCCTTAAAGTTGATCAGTAAACTTTGCAGAGGAAGAAAAACAAGATTATGTAGGTAACTTTATCCTCAAAATCCAAATAGTAACGTTTACCGCTCATGAATAGTCATGTGGGTAGTGACTTTGGCTAGACTAATAATTCATCGGATCTCAAATCCCACTCATTTATTGTATATCACTTAACATGCTCGTTTTCTTCAACATACTACACCACGACAATTTCCTCCTCTGTCACTGATTGCTTACCCCAGTTACGTTTTGTCCACCAAATGGTACCTGTTACTGTAATTTGAAATCTCATGCGATTCGTTTGAAAAATGAGAATGGTTTGGTATGTAAAACTCACATTTCTTCACCATTTTCCAACTCTAAATTAACGTTTTCTTTAACCAGGATCCCTTACGTTAGGTTTACTTCATTATTATCGCAGTCAAATTCATTATAGAATCTTTTGGTTATCTATCTTTCTTATATGGTTTTTATTATTTTAAGGACATCGTAGTTATTCTCCTACGCGGTGATTGTTTACCAGTTCAATGTCTCTTGAAGGTCGAAGAAAACTGGTTGTTACCTGGCTTTTTGTGCTTGATTAACTGAACCCGATGAAAATAGAAAGCTATTGGGGTTTATTGAAAATGGCAGTCGGTGCTATCAGTGTTGCTTTGTTGGTTTCATTAATAAGACTAACAATTCGAACTTAACTGGATGTGTATATATATGACTCACAGGAATAACATAGTCAAAATATCTTTCATGGTTGTAAACAACTTACTTCCATTAATGGATATGGTGATGCTTTTTTTGAAATGAATACCATTGGAGTGTGGCATTTTGATTGATTTAACATTAAAATTTCATTATTCATATCCTCTAAAAAGTCGATAGAGGATTTCGCGTTTCTTACACTGCTATTTACTGCTGGCATATAGTGAGAGGTTGTTGGGGTTGTTAAATCGAATAACTTATTAGGAACCAGTGACAAAAATGAAGTCTGTAAATAAAAAAAGACTGCCGGTTTTAATCAGCACAACAAACCTGAGTAAATGAAAATCCTGATACATAATTCTGTCATAGCACTCTCGTAAACTATTCGGGTAAATGAACACACCAAAATCCACAACTGGTCTCATTTATTTGATTATGTCAAGCTTATATTACACCATAGTAATACACATGGGTTTTCTTCTGTGAATATAAATAAATGTATGAAATCACTAATTCCAATAGGAGAATTATTATAGGCACCTATTGAGAATATTAGTCTATACACCAAGGTCCTCAAATACAACACGGAGAACAGCAATCCATTCACTCTCGATGGCGAAATCCTGGAAGATGTAGAATCCTTCACATACCTAGGAAGCATCATCGATGAACAAATAGGTTCAGATGCAGACGTAAAGGCAAGGATTGGCAAAGCAAGGGTCGCATTCCTACAGTTGAAGAACATATGGAACTCAAAACAACTTTCAACCAATATCAAAGTGAGAATCTTCAATACGAACTTCAAGGCAGTTCTACTGTACAGAGCTGAAACTTGGAGAACTACAACAACCATCATCAAGAAGGTTCAAGTATTTAAAAATGATTGTCTACGTCAGAAACTCAACATACATTCGCCGGATACTATCAGCAACAGCCTTTCATGGGAGAGAACAAACCAGTTTCCAGCTGAAGAAGGAATTAGGAAAAGACGATGGAAATGGATAGGACATACATTACGCAAATCATCAAACTGTATCACGAGGCAAGCCCTAACTTGGAATCGTGAAGGGAAGCAGAAAAAAGGAAAGCCGAAGAACACGTTACGTCGGAAAATAGAAGCAGATATGAAAAGGATGAATAACAACTAGAAGGAGCTGGAAAGGATTGCCCAGTACAGGGTTGGATGGAGAATGCTGGTAAGCGGCCTATGCTCGTTCACCGGGAGTAACAGGCGTAAGTAAATAAGTACACCTAAAAGTTGACAACATAAATGTTGATGTGATTCGAATGTGATTTCTGTGTACAAAAGAGCCACATTCAATGACTTATTCTACCATAGCCTTGGCAAATTGTAAATGCGAATTACTGTCTTAAAATTCACCTTTTTTTTGTAAAGCAAACAACTGCTTCTTTCACTCCCATTAACTATCAAGTGCTACTAACTCTGAACTCCGCCTGGAGCCCTTCTGGGGTTACTACCGGTCCCATTGCCCGGATAAAGGAGGAGGAATGGGCTTGGGGTTAGCGACCTCATCACTTAGAAAAGTAATTCGCCAAAAGAACGCTAATCAGAAAAAAAATCCAAAGCTACTAACTCCTCGGCATATTACGTATCACTTGTTCGATACCTGAAATCTTTGATAATTTTTAATTACTTTGGTAAACGATGCAATACCTCTCCATATTCGCAGACTTCCATATTCCAAACTTGAGAAAACCTGACTATCAATGATAATTTCGTTTAGTAATTTTATTTTATTTTATCTAAACACATAAGCATTGATACAAGGAGGCACCAAATAGATATGCATCACATAAATCATTCGATTTAGGTGAGGACTGAGATATTGCCCGGGTTACTAAATCAAAGCGAGTGGTTTTCTTAGAGAGCCACATTCAGAACCTTTGACCTAAAGGTCTGATCCACGAGGCAGTGGAGCAACGTTAGGAGATGCAGTCTCATGGTAGCCGGTGACCAGTGATTGGTTCATACTCCGCTTGTTCCTTTGGGATACTGGAACACATGTATACCATTGGTTTGGAATGAGGGTTTTCCAACTCCCTCAGGTGGACCCTCCGTGTCAACTTACCCGGCTAAAGCACCGGACACTCGCTTTTCATCCTCTTAATTTCGCGAACAACAGTAATGTCACAAGAACGTATTGAGTAGGACTTCCCTGCCAGTGGTTGTATGCACGTGGCCATGTGAGAGCATTTGGAGAGGGATAGTTGACTCTCCCCACCCTCGGCAGTTTCAGGGCATTGGATGGCCCGTTCAACAATTTTCCTCTATTTTATAGTGGACAACTGCAAGCAAAACTAACTACGAGTACTATTGCACAGCCCGAAAAATGATGTCATCAAAAAGAAATTCTTTTGTTGAATTATTTTCATTTATTTATTTATGACATAATGGGTTAACTTCGTAATAATAAAAATCATATCTTTGTGGCAGATGGGAACATTTATCAACTGAAATGGTCGTCGGATATACAAAAATCCGGTAAAATTGATATAACAGATTGTTTAAAATATTTTTTCATTCTCAAGTAGACTGTAATAATACATTAATAAGATAATGAGATTAGTTGCGTTATATAAGATTCAGGATTCCCGACTCAGAATAGAGAACCAGAGTATAGACTAGATAGTACTTTACTCAACACAATTACAAGTAGTTACTCACAGCGAGTCCAGAGTAGAGATCAATAAGAGGAAAAGAAATCACACATATTTAGTGGTCAGTGGGATACTTGCCTGTTTGTCCACTCACAGTGACTAATCTTATTGTACTTTCACTATCACATATCAAGATTAATCTGTTATTAAATTATGTAAAGTCATAAAATAGCAGAATACACCCATTAACCAAACAATAGAGTTCTGTGCTTAGTTGGAATGAGACTGGATTGGTGCTCTATTATTTGGACGCTTAAACTCTGACCATTAAATCACAATTTTATGCTGATATTCCTTTGTTGAAGTCTAAAGAATCAACCATCGGCAAACATATAATACATGTGAATCAAACTATTGTATGATGAATAGTTACCAATAGAACACATTCACACCCCTGAAAAATGTAGAGGAACGTTATTTTCCCATAACAATTAGTAGGAATTGTAAGTAAATAATCATAATTGAACTAATGCTAAGGTTAAAGTCAACCTCTAAAACCTAATAAAGATAGTCATACTGGATCGAATGACAGAGTCTACAAATTTCTAGAGTTCTTTCTAAAATTAGCAAAGCAATCAAGCAAATACTACAATGGAAATTAACTTCCAATGTTCAACGCTTAATTAAAGTTTTAAGGGCTATGGTTCAGCTCATAATGTACTCATCAAACTATTGCTAAGTCAGGCTATGAAGAAGCTGTATTTACTGAATCATAGCGACTACAGCTTATTTCCACTAATCTATGTTCAAAACAACCAAAACAGCGTACATATAAATAATGACCTTTGGTTAGGGTTATAACTGAAACCTCATGTTTTCTCTCAGTGTCTCTGTTTCACTTATCCCATGATCATGATACGCCGTGAAACTCAAAAAGGTGTGTATGGTCTATTCGTATCATATTTATCTCCGATTTGGTGACGAGATTTTGTATTCATCAGAAAATCTAGAAAGAAGTTTGAACTCTTGGTAAGTAAAATCGACTATGGAGGACAGACAGAAACATGCATTGATCTCAGCTGGTATACTGTACAACAGATAAGTAATAATATAAATTTGATTGTCACCAATAAAAAACTGATACCAAAACGTACGTAGATATCGTAACTTATGTAGGAGGTTATGAGTGACTGGATTGGACTATTTTCGTCCAAATCAAAATTATAATCCTAAAAGCAATCACGATAATAACTAAGGCACTCTTAATAACAATAAAATATATACTACTATAGGAAAATTACAATATTAATGACTAAAATACCTCTGATTCACTTGTCAAATTTAGTTGATTTGGGCTAATTTCTGGATTGTGTGGCATGGTAAATCCTTCCGGTGTTTCACGTCTGTTGTGTGAAATTTGTGGAGTGTCTTGTTTAGAATCAGTTACCGCGGATGTTGGATCACTGATTAGAGAACTTGTCATCGGTGTCGAATCAGGTCGAGTAGACAACGGTAAATACAAACTATAGTTTTGACGTACAGTTGGCAGTGGCAAAGACGTATTATGTTGAAAGTCTTCAACTAATTTGCATTCCATCTACTTTAAAACAAATAAAGTATGTATGTCACTATTATGCACATATTAAAGTTATTCAGCAATGAAATTATGCTAAACTAGATAAATGCCTGACAACATCTTTAGAACTCGGGTAATTCAATTTCTAATGATGCAAACTCTGCCATTCCGATAACTTTCTAAATCACTCATACTTCAGAGGAATTAAAGCTTTGACGGAATACTTTGTCAATAAAATTATGCAATCAAGCTTATTCAGGTGTACAAAAGTATTAAATGTAAATGCTTACATCATTATAAATGTTTTGATAATGATTAATTTCCTCGAACTTCACCTGACCGTTGTTGCTACCATGATGTGGTGGTCGGGCTTGCCTATCATGATGAACCAATCGATCTATAATGGCTGGAACAATCGTTCCTCAAGGTTCTACCATGCCACATTGGTCGGTTCAACAGCGGTAAGAACAAAAGCAACAAACCCAAAGTGCGAACGCGAAGTCGTACTGCTGACTGTACAGAGGTGTGACAGCAGTAAAGTGTTTCCTCCAGACAACCAGCATGACAGCCATGCTGCCTTCTCACAAGGAGGGATGGGGATAGAAAAGGTCGACCCCAAAGATCCACACCTCACATTATCCCACGGATATCCGTCTCCAGCGATAAGGTCTCAACAAGTACGGACCCAACACGAAAATGACTCGCAAAAAGGTCGTGTGTGACCGACCTCAAGCAGTTGTCCCTTGGGCACTGCGGTCACACTTTCAGGTCACTAAGACCACCTCTAATCCAATTTTGTTTTAAGGTGTCTCCAGAAGAACCCTTCCACGGTGTGAGCAACCGGTAAGTGATAACCGCTCTCATACCTCTAACAGCACTCAAAACCACTGTATTCATAATCGACCTCCCTCGAACATCGATTTTAGTTTATGTGTTCATCGTTTTCACCAAAACATTAAAGATTTGAAAATTCGTTGATTGAGAACAAGTTATATGATTAGTTTTCCTTTGTCTTAAAATAATTGTGATAACTTCAGGCATTTGAACTCGGTCGAGAGTAATATTACACAGGATTCATTTTCTTTTCATTTCATCGCCTAAATCTCTTTTGACAACACTTTTTAATCAAATGTTACTATTTAAACAACTACATGACGTGAAATTAACTGGTTTTATTGAACCCATAACGATGACGCAAACTTACTAACTTCCGATTAAGGCAATCTAATCTTTAAACTTTTTTCGAATTCATCATGAACATTGAACTGAGTAGTCACATCAACCTAACTAGACGCCACAAATGGCCTAAAGCGTAACTAAATATCAGAAAGCGAGCATTTCAATTTGCAAAACTTTATTACGAGAATATTAAGTAGTGGGTAGAAATGATATTACAAAACGAGCGATGTTGCGAAAAGCAGGGACATATACATTTATTTGAGTCCTTTTCAACCCTCTAGACGACCTATTTTCCGATTGTGCTCATATTGCAGTACATTTTCTTATCTATATTTTTGAGTAACTACCTAAACATGCTAAACAGAAGATGTACTTACATGCCTTTGTAACAAGCACACAAGCCATCGCGAGTCACGATACTTTAAAGCTAGCGAAGAATTATACCACTGGGTGGTGTATTTTTCAACATAACATGCCTTTGAAAAGCGAGATATTATATTGTGATTAGTGGGCTATTTGCACTATTCAATGAAAAAAAAACCACCGACTCTAAACTGGTAGTAAACCTTTGAAATTGAGGAATAAGAGCGTTTAATCAATATGACCAAACAAGGTTCTGAAACTGCTATCACTGTAAATAAGTTTCGAGAACTAGTTCATGTATGAAAAATATAGGCATATAGAGACATACGACCCCAAAGCAATTCAAGTCTGGAACTGAAATTTAAAATTTCCATTTTGGTTGGAGTTATATATATATATATATATATTGGTTTTGGCAGTCTGATTTTTTTAAGCATTATTCGTATGGAGCTCACAACACCAAGTAGCGTCTTTGATTAAAAACACATGTATTACTCGAGCTCCCAATTTTGGGGAAAATTTGACACATTTTGTGGAAGCCGCCATAGTAAATTTTAGGGAAATGGCACAAAAACACCAAAATTCCCCTTCAACCTTGGTCAATGTCATTTGACTTTGGGGACTTCCCCAAAATTTCCCCAAACATTGGTTAATGTCGTTTGATTTCGGGAGTTTACCCAAAATACCTCAAAATTTCCCCAAAGTTCCCAAAAATTAGAAGCTCGGGTAGCTATCCCTACTCACATTCCCATGCAAGTTTTCATGAAACTGACATTTAAATTTTGAAGAAAGATTTTTATTTAAAAATAGCCGTTTATAAAATAAATCTGTCGATATAGTCGTCTCTCATGAGTTTTATCTATAGATAAAACTATAGAGTTATGGTGGACCATAATTGTCTACCCTCACTGAGCAATGCTAAAACGTTATACTTTTTACGTAACTCCTTGCTTAAACAGCCAAAAGTTATCTGTACTTAAAAGCATAATAATCATGAGACCTTGATTTATATGTCGCCGAACCAGTTTCTTTAATCTCAAAATCAGCAGTAAAGATTACTGTGTTACATTATCGAAAAAATTTTTGAAAGTACCAACAATAAAATCAGATCATTTACTCTACAAGGCTTGTTCCCAGAACCAAGTTGATATGACGCTAAACACAAATAAGTGTACGACAAACTTACTAATGTACTGATACGAACAAACAAAACCTTCATTCAGTTTCAGTTTTAAAAATAAATGAGGAAAGGTCTTCCTGTGTTAGTTTTTGTACTATTAATCTCTTAGTTTACCCGAATTTTTTGAAAAAGTCGACAGATGGAGCTTCAACAACGTGCTGAGGTAATAAATTCTACTCGCAGATGTTTCGTTGAGAAAGTCGATTGTCAGCTATCGCTTCCCGTATCTTGACATCGTCAGCATAAAGAAAAACCGACGAGGACGGTCGTTTACATACTAGAGGAACAACACGCCCCAAAACTGTACACTAGGTCACTCTGCCAGTCACAGTTTCCCAGCTAGACAACTTGGAGTTCACCTGCACACTTTGTTGGCGCCCAACTAGGAAGTCTATTATCCACATTAATACAACGCCTTCAACCCCAATATTTCCTAATTCATATAACAGTCAGTCGTGAAGGACCTTGTCAAAAGCTTAGCTGAAGTTAATGTACGCTACTTCCACTCTTTAAGAGAGCTCCAGCTTTCAAGAACCACAAATAATTTAGTGAGACAGGAATAAACCATCCTGAAACCATGCTGTTTTTCTGAAACGATCCTGTTTTTATCGAGACACCTAAACAGCTCCCTACGAATAATAGATAGAGAAATATTAGGACAAACAACTTTGGGGTAATTTTGACTCAGGAACCTCTTCTAGACGGACAACTAGACCCAAATACAAAGTCACCAAACCTCCTGCTCACCGTGAACTTTGACAGAGACGATGCACTTGAGGCTCTCGGACATGGAAACGTCAACAGGACCAGACGAACTACACTATAAAATCCTGAGACATATTGCACAGTATATCGCAGCCCCATTGACTGTGACATTTAATATTTCACTTGACCAAGGTGTGTTACCTATGAACTGGAAGGATGCACTTGTCACTCTCATACGTAAAACATGACCAAGAAAACTTCCATCGAAGTACATACCTGCAAGCCTCACCATTGTTGTAGTTAAAAATATTGAAAATAATAGCCGAAGAGGCCACAGTGACACTTATGGAAACCAACAACCTGTTAAACAGTGAACAACATCGTTTCCGAAAGGGTTTATCTTGCACAAAGAACACCCTTATAGCAAGGGAATATTAGATAAAAGCGCTAGACAACGGAAACTCAGCATATGCTGTCTACATAGACACCAGTAAGGCATCTGACAAGGTGCCAACAAATAAACTGCTATGGAATTTAGAAAATCTTGGTATTGCCGAACCTCTTTTAAAGTGGATTTTCTGGTAGGTAGTAGATAGAATGTAAAATTAAATTCCAGGTGCTCCACCTGGAGATCAGTACTTAGTACAATACTTCAAGGCCCTGTTTTTGGTCCTTTACTTTCTATACTATATGTAAATGATCTCTGAGCTATGGTACAGTCCCCAGTGTTATTATACGCTGACGATGTAAAAATCTGGCAAGAAATAGCGGGAGACGCGGATGTATGCGCACTTCTGGAAGACTTAAATATTGTAATTAACTCGTCTGAGGAGTGGCTGACGCCTATCAAACTGGCAAGGTGTTTGCATGCACTTTGGGGACACAAAAGTTAATAGGTACAGCACAGGGGAAGTGCCTATACCCGTGGTCTGGTCTCATAAAGATCTAGGGTGACAGTGAGTCACGATCTAAGTGCGGCGGCCTATTCCCGGAAGGTCGCAGCTAAGGGGTTTTGAACTCTCTGGGCTTTAAAAAGGACACTCACAAAGATAGATACTACAATGTTCACTACAGTATACACGACCTTAGTGAGAATTAAGCTTGAGAAATGCGTTCAGATTGTTAGCCTCTGTTTAAAAGGCGACTCGGATATCCTGGAAATATTAGGGAGAGTAGCTACCCGTGCAATTCCAGAAATCCAGGGTTTACCATACAAAAAACAGCTTGAAAACCTAAACCTTTTTAGTCTGTCCTATAGTAGGCTAAGAGCTGATCTAATTTTGATGTATAGAATACTAAATAATTTCGGACCTAACATATTCTCTCTTTTTCTTTCCACTAAATCGGGACATATCAAAGGACAAAGCATGCAAGTAGGAAAGCCAAGAATGAACAAAATATCAGTAGCATACAGGTTTTCACACCCATTAATCGATCCTTGTAACCTGTTACCCGAAATATTGATGTCCGCATCTTCAATTGACGCATTCAAGAGAAGACTGGATACTTATAGAAGCACACTAGAAAAGGAATAGGCCTTTCGTCCTTACCATACAAACCTTAATCTGAAGTTAGGAAGCAACAATCAATCCAACTAATAAACTACAAGACAGAGAGAGCTAAATTAATATTCTTCGCACTGATTTGTGGCTTTGATGCAGCAAAAGACCATTTAAATGTGCGAACACTTAATATCCATGCAACCCAACAGACTGTAGCGTGGTGTCGAGTCGAGACTAACTATGAACACCGCTACAAAGGATCGCGTGCCAAATAAATCAGAAGACGAAGGTTGAACGTAACCAAATAAATCCATAAAATCCCCGAGAAGCCAAATATCAGAAGGCAGTTAATGGACCAAGTCGAGCTATATTCGCTGGCGATCTCGTGGTATCGAAAGGATACCGAGATCGTGCCAGGATACAAGCTTGGTTACAGAACGTAACCGAATTCGCGCGAAGTCACAATCAAAGTGTAAGAATAAGAATGGAAGCACAATATAGCTGTCATTAGCACAGTCAAAAAAAGCACATTAAAATAAACACTGGTACAGTTGGTTATAATAATAGTTGTTTTTATTAAACCAATCGTGTTCTCGCCGGTTTTTCTTTATGCTGACGATGTCAAGATACGGGAAGCGATAGCTGACAATCGACTTTCTCAACGAAACATCTGCGAGTAGAATTTATTACCTCAGCACGTTGTTGAAGCTCCATCTGTCGACTTTTTCAAAAAATTCGGGTAAACTAAGAGATTAATAGTACAAAAACTAACACAGGAAGACCTTTCCTCATTTATTTTTAAAACTGAAACTGAATGAAGGTTTTGTTTGTTCGTATCAGTACATTAGTAAGTTTGTCGTACACTTATTTGTGTTTAGCGTCATATCAACTTGGTTCTGGGAACAAGCCTTGTAGAGTAAATGATCTGATTTTATTGTTGGTACTTTCAAAAATTTTTTCGATAATGTAACACAGTAATCTTTACTGCTGATTTTGAGATTAAAGAAACTGGTTCGGCGACATATAAATCAAGGTCTCATGATTATTATGCTTTTAAGTACAGATAACTTTTGGCTGTTTAAGCAAGGAGTTACGTAAAAAGTATAACGTTTTAGCATTGCTCAGTGAGGGTAGACAATTATGGTCCACCATAACTCTATAGTTTTATCTATAGATAAAACTCATGAGAGACGACTATATCGACAGATTTATTTTATAAACGGCTATTTTTAAATAAAAATCTTTCTTCAAAATTTAAATGTCAGTTTCATGAAAACTTGCATGGGAATGTGAGTAGGGATAGCTACCCGAGCTTCTAATTTTTGGGAACTTTGGGGAAATTTTGAGGTATTTTGGGTAAACTCCCGAAATCAAACGACATTAACCAATGTTTGGGGAAATTTTGGGGAAGTCCCCAAAGTCAAATGACATTGACCAAGGTTGAAGGGGAATTTTGGTGTTTTTGTGCCATTTCCCTAAAATTTACTATGGCGGCTTCCACAAAATGTGTCAAATTTTCCCCAAAATTGGGAGCTCGAGTAATACATGTGTTTTTAATCAAAGACGCTACTTGGTGTTGTGAGCTCCATACGAATAATGCTTAAAAAAATCAGACTGCCAAAACCAATATATATATATATATAACTCCAACCAAAATGGAAATTTTAAATTTCAGTTCCAGACTTGAATTGCTTTGGGGTCGTATGTCTCTATATGCCTATATTTTTCATACATGAACTAGTTCTCGAAACTTATTTACAGTGATAGCAGTTTCAGAACCTTGTTTGGTCATATTGATTAAACGCTCTTATTCCTCAATTTCAAAGGTTTACTACCAGTTTAGAGTCGGTGGTTTTTTTTTCATTGAATAGTGCAAATAGCCCACTAATCACAATATAATATCTCGCTTTTCAAAGGCATGTTATGTTGAAAAATACACCACCCAGTGGTATAATTCTTCGCTAGCTTTAAAGTATCGTGACTCGCGATGGCTTGTGTGCTTGTTACAAAGGCATGTAAGTACATCTTCTGTTTAGCATGTTTAGGTAGTTACTCAAAAATATAGATAAGAAAATGTACTGCAATATGAGCACAATCGGAAAATAGGTCGTCTAGAGGGTTGAAAAGGACTCAAATAAATGTATATGTCCCTGCTTTTCGCAACATCGCTCGTTTTGTAATATCATTTCTACCCACTACTTAATATTCTCGTAATAAAGTTTTGCAAATTGAAATGCTCGCTTTCTGATATTTAGTTACGCTTTAGGCCATTTGTGGCGTCTAGTTAGGTTGATGTGACTACTCAGTTCAATGTTCATGATGAATTCGAAAAAAGTTTAAAGATTAGATTGCCTTAATCGGAAGTTAGTAAGTTTGCGTCATCGTTATGGGTTCAATAAAACCAGTTAATTTCACGTCATGTAGTTGTTTAAATAGTAACATTTGATTAAAAAGTGTTGTCAAAAGAGATTTAGGCAATGAAATGAAAAGAAAATGAATCCTGTGTAATATTACTCTCGACCGAGTTCAAATGCCTGAAGTTATCACAATTATTTTAAGACAAAGGAAAACTAATCATATAACTTGTTCTCAATCAACGAATTTTCAAATCTTTAATGTTTTGGTGAAAACGATGAACACATAAACTAAAATCGATGTTCGAGGGAGGTCGATTATGAATACAGTGGTTTTGAGTGCTGTTAGAGGTATGAGAGCGGTTATCACTTACCGGTTGCTCACACCGTGGAAGGGTTCTTCTGGAGACACCTTAAAACAAAATTGGATTAGAGGTGGTCTTAGTGACCTGAAAGTGTGACCGCAGTGCCCAAGGGACAACTGCTTGAGGTCGGTCACACACGACCTTTTTGCGAGTCATTTTCGTGTTGGGTCCGTACTTGTTGAGACCTTATCGCTGGAGACGGATATCCGTGGGATAATGTGAGGTGTGGATCTTTGGGGTCGACCTTTTCTATCCCCATCCCTCCTTGTGAGAAGGCAGCATGGCTGTCATGCTGGTTGTCTGGAGGAAACACTTTACTGCTGTCACACCTCTGTACAGTCAGCAGTACGACTTCGCGTTCGCACTTTGGGTTTGTTGCTTTTGTTCTTACCGCTGTTGAACCGACCAATGTGGCATGGTAGAACCTTGAGGAACGATTGTTCCAGCCATTATAGATCGATTGGTTCATCATGATAGGCAAGCCCGACCACCACATCATGGTAGCAACAACGGTCAGGTGAAGTTCGAGGAAATTAATCATTATCAAAACATTTATAATGATGTAAGCATTTACATTTAATACTTTTGTACACCTGAATAAGCTTGATTGCATAATTTTATTGACAAAGTATTCCGTCAAAGCTTTAATTCCTCTGAAGTATGAGTGATTTAGAAAGTTATCGGAATGGCAGAGTTTGCATCATTAGAAATTGAATTACCCGAGTTCTAAAGATGTTGTCAGGCATTTATCTAGTTTAGCATAATTTCATTGCTGAATAACTTTAATATGTGCATAATAGTGACATACATACTTTATTTGTTTTAAAGTAGATGGAATGCAAATTAGTTGAAGACTTTCAACATAATACGTCTTTGCCACTGCCAACTGTACGTCAAAACTATAGTTTGTATTTACCGTTGTCTACTCGACCTGATTCGACACCGATGACAAGTTCTCTAATCAGTGATCCAACATCCGCGGTAACTGATTCTAAACAAGACACTCCACAAATTTCACACAACAGACGTGAAACACCGGAAGGATTTACCATGCCACACAATCCAGAAATTAGCCCAAATCAACTAAATTTGACAAGTGAATCAGAGGTATTTTAGTCATTAATATTGTAATTTTCCTATAGTAGTATATATTTTATTGTTATTAAGAGTGCCTTAGTTATTATCGTGATTGCTTTTAGGATTATAATTTTGATTTGGACGAAAATAGTCCAATCCAGTCACTCATAACCTCCTACATAAGTTACGATATCTACGTACGTTTTGGTATCAGTTTTTTATTGGTGACAATCAAATTTATATTATTACTTATCTGTTGTACAGTATACCAGCTGAGATCAATGCATGTTTCTGTCTGTCCTCCATAGTCGATTTTACTTACCAAGAGTTCAAACTTCTTTCTAGATTTTCTGATGAATACAAAATCTCGTCACCAAATCGGAGATAAATATGATACGAATAGACCATACACACCTTTTTGAGTTTCACGGCGTATCATGATCATGGGATAAGTGAAACAGAGACACTGAGAGAAAACATGAGGTTTCAGTTATAACCCTAACCAAAGGTCATTATTTATATGTACGCTGTTTTGGTTGTTTTGAACATAGATTAGTGGAAATAAGCTGTAGTCGCTATGATTCAGTAAATACAGCTTCTTCATAGCCTGACTTAGCAATAGTTTGATGAGTACATTATGAGCTGAACCATAGCCCTTAAAACTTTAATTAAGCGTTGAACATTGGAAGTTAATTTCCATTGTAGTATTTGCTTGATTGCTTTGCTAATTTTAGAAAGAACTCTAGAAATTTGTAGACTCTGTCATTCGATCCAGTATGACTATCTTTATTAGGTTTTAGAGGTTGACTTTAACCTTAGCATTAGTTCAATTATGATTATTTACTTACAATTTCTACTAATTGTTATGGGAAAATAACGTTCCTCTACATTTTTCAGGGGTGTGAATGTGTTCTATTGGTAACTATTCATCATACAATAGTTTGATTCACATGTATTATATGTTTGCCGATGGTTGATTCTTTAGACTTCAACAAAGGAATATCAGCATAAAATTGTGATTTAATGGTCAGAGTTTAAGCGTCCAAATAATAGAGCACCAATCCAGTCTCATTCCAACTAAGCACAGAACTCTATTGTTTGGTTAATGGGTGTATTCTGCTATTTTATGACTTTACATAATTTAATAACAGATTAATCTTGATATGTGATAGTGAAAGTACAATAAGATTAGTCACTGTGAGTGGACAAACAGGCAAGTATCCCACTGACCACTAAATATGTGTGATTTCTTTTCCTCTTATTGATCTCTACTCTGGACTCGCTGTGAGTAACTACTTGTAATTGTGTTGAGTAAAGTACTATCTAGTCTATACTCTGGTTCTCTATTCTGAGTCGGGAATCCTGAATCTTATATAACGCAACTAATCTCATTATCTTATTAATGTATTATTACAGTCTACTTGAGAATGAAAAAATATTTTAAACAATCTGTTATATCAATTTTACCGGATTTTTGTATATCCGACGACCATTTCAGTTGATAAATGTTCCCATCTGCCACAAAGATATGATTTTTATTATTACGAAGTTAACCCATTATGTCATAAATAAATAAATGAAAATAATTCAACAAAAGAATTTCTTTTTGATGACATCATTTTTCGGGCTGTGCAATAGTACTCGTAGTTAGTTTTGCTTGCAGTTGTCCACTATAAAATAGAGGAAAATTGTTGAACGGGCCATCCAATGCCCTGAAACTGCCGAGGGTGGGGAGAGTCAACTATCCCTCTCCAAATGCTCTCACATGGCCACGTGCATACAACCACTGGCAGGGAAGTCCTACTCAATACGTTCTTGTGACATTACTGTTGTTCGCGAAATTAAGAGGATGAAAAGCGAGTGTCCGGTGCTTTAGCCGGGTAAGTTGACACGGAGGGTCCACCTGAGGGAGTTGGAAAACCCTCATTCCAAACCAATGGTATACATGTGTTCCAGTATCCCAAAGGAACAAGCGGAGTATGAACCAATCACTGGTCACCGGCTACCATGAGACTGCATCTCCTAACGTTGCTCCACTGCCTCGTGGATCAGACCTTTAGGTCAAAGGTTCTGAATGTGGCTCTCTAAGAAAACCACTCGCTTTGATTTAGTAACCCGGGCAATATCTCAGTCCTCACCTAAATCGAATGATTTATGTGATGCATATCTATTTGGTGCCTCCTTGTATCAATGCTTATGTGTTTAGATAAAATAAAATAAAATTACTAAACGAAATTATCATTGATAGTCAGGTTTTCTCAAGTTTGGAATATGGAAGTCTGCGAATATGGAGAGGTATTGCATCGTTTACCAAAGTAATTAAAAATTATCAAAGATTTCAGGTATCGAACAAGTGATACGTAATATGCCGAGGAGTTAGTAGCTTTGGATTTTTTTTCTGATTAGCGTTCTTTTGGCGAATTACTTTTCTAAGTGATGAGGTCGCTAACCCCAAGCCCATTCCTCCTCCTTTATCCGGGCAATGGGACCGGTAGTAACCCCAGAAGGGCTCCAGGCGGAGTTCAGAGTTAGTAGCACTTGATAGTTAATGGGAGTGAAAGAAGCAGTTGTTTGCTTTACAAAAAAAAGGTGAATTTTAAGACAGTAATTCGCATTTACAATTTGCCAAGGCTATGGTAGAATAAGTCATTGAATGTGGCTCTTTTGTACACAGAAATCACATTCGAATCACATCAACATTTATGTTGTCAACTTTTAGGTGTACTTATTTACTTACGCCTGTTACTCCCGGTGAACGAGCATAGGCCGCTTACCAGCATTCTCCATCCAACCCTGTACTGGGCAATCCTTTCCAGCTCCTTCTAGTTGTTATTCATCCTTTTCATATCTGCTTCTATTTTCCGACGTAACGTGTTCTTCGGCTTTCCTTTTTTCTGCTTCCCTTCACGATTCCAAGTTAGGGCTTGCCTCGTGATACAGTTTGATGATTTGCGTAATGTATGTCCTATCCATTTCCATCGTCTTTTCCTAATTCCTTCTTCAGCTGGAAACTGGTTTGTTCTCTCCCATGAAAGGCTGTTGCTGATAGTATCCGGCGAATGTATGTTGAGTTTCTGACGTAGACAATCATTTTTAAATACTTGAACCTTCTTGATGATGGTTGTTGTAGTTCTCCAAGTTTCAGCTCTGTACAGTAGAACTGCCTTGAAGTTCGTATTGAAGATTCTCACTTTGATATTGGTTGAAAGTTGTTTTGAGTTCCATATGTTCTTCAACTGTAGGAATGCGACCCTTGCTTTGCCAATCCTTGCCTTTACGTCTGCATCTGAACCTATTTGTTCATCGATGATGCTTCCTAGGTATGTGAAGGATTCTACATCTTCCAGGATTTCGCCATCGAGAGTGAATGGATTGCTGTTCTCCGTGTTGTATTTGAGGACCTTGGTGTATAGACTAATATTCTCAATAGGTGCCTATAATAATTCTCCTATTGGAATTAGTGATTTCATACATTTATTTATATTCACAGAAGAAAACCCATGTGTATTACTATGGTGTAATATAAGCTTGACATAATCAAATAAATGAGACCAGTTGTGGATTTTGGTGTGTTCATTTACCCGAATAGTTTACGAGAGTGCTATGACAGAATTATGTATCAGGATTTTCATTTACTCAGGTTTGTTGTGCTGATTAAAACCGGCAGTCTTTTTTTATTTACAGACTTCATTTTTGTCACTGGTTCCTAATAAGTTATTCGATTTAACAACCCCAACAACCTCTCACTATATGCCAGCAGTAAATAGCAGTGTAAGAAACGCGAAATCCTCTATCGACTTTTTAGAGGATATGAATAATGAAATTTTAATGTTAAATCAATCAAAATGCCACACTCCAATGGTATTCATTTCAAAAAAAGCATCACCATATCCATTAATGGAAGTAAGTTGTTTACAACCATGAAAGATATTTTGACTATGTTATTCCTGTGAGTCATATATATACACATCCAGTTAAGTTCGAATTGTTAGTCTTATTAATGAAACCAACAAAGCAACACTGATAGCACCGACTGCCATTTTCAATAAACCCCAATAGCTTTCTATTTTCATCGGGTTCAGTTAATCAAGCACAAAAAGCCAGGTAACAACCAGTTTTCTTCGACCTTCAAGAGACATTGAACTGGTAAACAATCACCGCGTAGGAGAATAACTACGATGTCCTTAAAATAATAAAAACCATATAAGAAAGATAGATAACCAAAAGATTCTATAATGAATTTGACTGCGATAATAATGAAGTAAACCTAACGTAAGGGATCCTGGTTAAAGAAAACGTTAATTTAGAGTTGGAAAATGGTGAAGAAATGTGAGTTTTACATACCAAACCATTCTCATTTTTCAAACGAATCGCATGAGATTTCAAATTACAGTAACAGGTACCATTTGGTGGACAAAACGTAACTGGGGTAAGCAATCAGTGACAGAGGAGGAAATTGTCGTGGTGTAGTATGTTGAAGAAAACGAGCATGTTAAGTGATATACAATAAATGAGTGGGATTTGAGATCCGATGAATTATTAGTCTAGCCAAAGTCACTACCCACATGACTATTCATGAGCGGTAAACGTTACTATTTGGATTTTGAGGATAAAGTTACCTACATAATCTTGTTTTTCTTCCTCTGCAAAGTTTACTGATCAACTTTAAGGAGAGCAATAGTGGTTTCATAGGATTGCAGAACATAATACTAGGTTAAAGCACAGGCTTTTTTTAATAAGACTAAATTCACTTATTATCTAATTTGTGTTTTAGTTGCAGTTGAAACTACTGTTGGGTAATAATGACTTTTTCGATTTTAAACCAAACCAAACACAGTCATAATTGTTGATATCTAACCTCTGTATGGAGCGTATCTATAGTCTACAGTTTATGAATACAGTGGTCCTGAGTGCTGTTAGAGGTATGAGAGCGGTTATCACTTACCGGTTGCTCACACCGTGGAAGGGTTCTTCTGGAGACACCTTAAAACAAAATTGGATTAGAGGTGGTCTTAGTGACCTGAAAGTGTGACCGCAGTGCCCAAGGGACAACTGCTTGAGGTCGGTCACACACGACCTTTTTGCGAGTCATTTTCGTGTTGGGTCCGTACTTGTTGAGACCTTATCGCTGGAGACGGATATCCGTGGGATAATGTGAGGTGTGGATCTTTGGGGTCGACCTTTTCTATCCCCATCCCTCCTTGTGAGAAGGCAGCATGGCTGTCATGCTGGTTGTCTGGAGGAAACACTTTACTGCTGTCACACCTCTGTACAGTCAGCAGTACGACTTCGCGTTCGCACTTTGGGTTTGTTGCTTTTGTTCTTACCGCTGTTGAACCGACCAATGTGGCATGGTAGAACCTTGAGGAACGATTGTTCCAGCCATTATAGCTCGATTGGTTCATCATGATAGGCAAGCCCGACCACCACGTCATGGTAGCAACAACGGTCGGGTCTACAATTTAACATGTAATCATAACAAGAAACAGATGAAGTAGTCACAAATTCGTCATATTTTGGTTTTATTGTTTGTGATAATTTATGAGTATGAAGAATTTCAGACACAGTTTATTCTAATTATCGAAATTTCCATTAGATGTCTTTTTACTACTATTACTACTATTTTATTTATAAGTAGTTAATAAGTATGAGAAAAATGATTCGATGTTTCGCATAAAATGACAAGATGCTAACAGTTACTCTAGTGTCTTATATCTTTTATACCTTTGGAATAGACTTTGTGCTGTTTCAGCATCGCCATTATATATTCTAATCTTGAACATATTTTCTACACTATAGAAAATTATTTCTTCTAGTCAAACTGTGGGATCTTTTGACAGAAATCAACAAGGAGATAATTACGCTCAATTAGATGTAATTTCCGATAACCATGATGTTTTAAAATGGGATTATGCTGGAGATATAGCTTCGAATCATTTAGGTGTTCCAAGAATTATTTCACACTCTAGTCTATCTTGTCATCCTGTTAATTATGTTGATTATGGGAACTATGATGTCAATATGACAATGACATGGCCTTCTTCTAGCCCACATATTTCTCCATCTTCTGGATATGGTTATGCGGTTCGTAGAAAATATAACTTCAATACAAGAAATAATTCTAACAGAAATTGGAATGAATCATCAAAGATAAAAGGGTTTAGTAAGTTTTTAATTGGTACAATTTCATACGACTTTATTCATCATTTTCAAATGTGGAACTCATGTTACATAGTCTAGTTAAGTTAGTTTGTTTATTGTTAACATACTGCACAGTAGTTCATTCTGTTCCACTTTACGCCTGAGAAACGTGGCCATCAAAAGTAGAAGATACTCGTGAGTTGCGAATATTTGATCAGAGATGTTTTGGAAATATTGCTCACATTTGTTGGGATCATCGGGTAAGTTAGGCACAGGGTATTAGGGAATGATGGTCAGTCAGTCGATGAGGTTGTAAATCTTCATCGACTAAGATGGTTGGGCCACGTTTTACGTATGCATGAACACCGATTACCACGATGCACAATGCTGATTAGCGTTGGATGTGGTTGGAAGAAAGTTAGAAGCGGCCAAACCAAAACGTGGCATCAGTCTGTAAAGTCACTAAATTCTAGTCTTAGCCATGTTGGTAGATGCAGACTACTTGGTTGGGGTCCATGTAACTATCGTAACCAGTGGTCGGAGACTGTGGATGAAATGTCATATTTAGATGAAAAGCATATCAGAAAATATTTTCAAAGTAATTATTGTTGTTTATCTGGAGATGGAATTAATAATTAATCACGACAAATTATTGGCTTTTAGCGCCGCAAGGATACAATTCAACAATCTATCATACCTCAGTTGAATTATTTGAATCCATTTCCTACTCAATTGTTTCAATGAATTTGAATAATACTGTGATGTGCGCTAATTATATCGACATATTTAGTATATAACACTAGTTAGGAATAGAATGTCTGGCAGCAGAAGATCAAGAAGATCTAGAAGGAAAGAACGGGAACAAAAAGTGATTGGCATGGTAATACAGGAACACTGAAGTCTAAGACGACTGACTGACATTTTGCAAGTTAAGTATTTACTGTATGGTTTTTAGATCTTACTAAGATGGGCTGTAATTTTGTGGTCCAGTACATTCGATTGTCTCCATTTGTGTTCTCGTTTATTACAATACAAATAGGACACGTTTGATCAAATAAGAAGTTAGTTATTAACTTACTGATAAGTCTTGTTAATTTGAACGCTTTATTTGGTTCCTAAGCTATTCTGGTAACTCGCAAGCTAGAACTACGTAGCGACCTGAACTCGAGAGAAAAAGGTGCAAAATAAGCGAAAACGCTTTACTCCAAAGGTTCATTTTTGTACAGAAAAACACGGGTATTTATAGATGTTAACATTTGATAAATCAGCATCATATTTTGGCCAATCCGCTAAAAGGCATATTATGCCACTGACCAATAGTAGCACGCCACATTGATGTTCTAGAAAGTCCCATCATGCTCTGATTGGCTAGGACTCTTCGGCTCCTTTAGGGCCTCTGGAGGCTCCGTTGCAGTTCTCGGAAAGCCGACTTAACACTTACTATACTGAAATGTTTATTCTTCATGTAAATATAGTACCAAAGATTGAAATGGTGATCTTTATAGTCATCCTTTGATAAATAATCCCATATATTCTTCTATGAATATTGGAACTTAAGTAATCGAATGAAATGATATGTATAAGGAATAATATGTCATTGATTGTCAATGTTATACTTGTGGATTTCTTGGAAAGTAAATTGTTTGTATTTTTAACTAAATGGAATATACCCATTAAGACAATATAATAAGAAAGATTGGTTCAACGAAAAGTTCTGTTTTCAGTGAATTCATTCTCAACACTTTACGGTCGTAAATATATATTTTATCATGCAGATAGATGGGAAATTGTAACTGGAATAGACTGCCAAAGTCAGTGCATCTTCCTAACATTATTGAAGCAGTAGCTATATATTTGGAAAATCAAGAACTATGTGGAACAACCTCTTCTTCTACTATGATCTTAATGTCTCATAATTTTATTTCTCCTTCATATTTTCCTCCCTTTATAATAATCTACTTCGTGTTTTATCTTCTTTATAGACCTTTTACCCTCAACTAGTTTGCTTCTGTTTCTATAATCCTCCTGATTACATTTCATACCAAATTCAGCATTTCATTGTATCATGTTGAGCTTTCATTTCCCAATTATAATTTCCTTATCTATCTTCATGGTTAATATTCAAGTTCTAAATAATAAAAGCATTTTTAAAGGTCTTGGGTTCGAATTTCGCGAGGCGGGATCGTGGATGCGCACTGCTGAAGTGTTCCACAATAGGAAGAAATGACCGTTCAGTGCTTTCCTGTTTTCTATGGTGGTCTAGCTTTAATTGACTCATGAATTCAACTAATAAATTATTATTAGTTTCCCTAGTTAAAAACATAACATTTTAATGCTTTTTAAGCATAGATGGATAGTGACTAGCAGTGGAATCCAGGACTCGTGTTTCGTGTTATATGGGACTTGTCAGTTGTTTATTCTACTTCATTGTTATCATGTTTAACAGGATTTTATTACCACTATTATTATCTCCACCACCACCATCATCACTGAATTAACTACTTCTATGAATCCTGTGTTAATCTTTTTGTTCTAATAAGGTAGGGCAACTTGAACTGATGCACATATTTGTCTGGTCCGATGTTGTAGCTGACTGACTGACTGACTGACTGATTGTTATCCTGAAACAATAAATGTATACATATTTGCGATTGTATAGTTTTGTGAATGAACTCATCGAAAGAAGAGAACTGTTTACTAAACCAATCTTTTTACTTAATCAACTGAGGAGTCCCATACTAGAACGAAAAAGCCGTCCAATACTTCCAAGTTTTCTATGGTGGTCTCAGTCAGTCAGTAACAACACAGAACTTCGTACGTACGTACATCAGTTCGAGTTGCCATACCACATTACCACACAGATACAATTCTCGATTGAAATGCCATAGTGGTAGAGGTAGTAAGAGTATAAGCAGCAATCGGAAAGATTAGGGTTTGAAGATGTTATTCAAAGAGTATAATCCAGTGAAATAAATTTGGAAAGAGAAAAAGAAAAGGGACATGAAAAATTCAGAAGATTAGAATTTGGGAGAACACAAAGAGTGGATGCACGTGTGTCACTGCAAACGATTTTGAGTAATGTGTCATTCAAGGTCTCTAACCATCGGTTTTTATCGTCTCGCGGATCCCAACCAGGCGATCTACACCTACCAACATGACTCAGTCCACTTGTCAGTGTACTTCATGGATTTGTGTCATGTTTTAGTCTGGCCGCCCCTAGCTTTCTTCCAACCTACTCCTATACCATATGGTGAGTACAGTTTTAATTCACTGGAGACTAATTGACCTTCTAATGGATATTCTTAAATTGTTTATAATACCTTATCATGATGTTCATCGTGATAATGTTGGACATAAGTGTTGTTTTATTGGATATAAAACCTATTTTATTGAGTAGCTATCATGTATTTTAATACCAGTATTCTTTATTCTACTTTCCAGATATTGAATTATGGCTATTAGGAATAGAGGATATTCGTATTTCAAGCATTGCTCATGTATATTGTAATCGATGAGCGAACAATGCTAAGTTTCGGCATAAAGCACTAGATAAAGTTTGTGAATTGACTGATTAGGTAGTAATAATTTATCAAGTAAGATGCTTGGAACATACATAACATATACCCGACCACCAACTACCTGAAAAGTGTAGTGATACATTGGAGAAGGTTAGAGACTTCCAAATCACAAGGACATATTAATGTATGAGGTTATTGACAACTGCACTGAAAGACAAGTAAACAAGGTGTAGAGTACCTAGTTTGGGTCGAGTTGTTGCGTAAATGGCTCAGAATCAGTCACAATGACCCAGATACATTATCTCTTTGACTTCTCCTAATCCAATTAACAAATCCGAACTCAAAACAAACATTGTCAATACATAGTTAGAACAATAAACTTTAGTGTTTCAGACTAAGAAACCAGTGGTTGGGCATACTTAACACATATCCCAGTCTAGCTTCAATTGAATCATGATTTCAACTATTGAAATTAATTGTTAGTTTGAGAAAGAGAAAGAGACCAAAAGAGTGAAATAATCATTGTCTATTTCATTTCAGATGAATTCTCTTCAATGACAATCAATCATGGTTCATTTATATCTAGTCCAGATCCTGAAGATGAAATACATAATTTATCATTAAATAATTCAATGAATCAAATTAATCATTTTATTGATCATTATCAATCATCATTAAATGATTTCAATATTGATTTATTGGATCAAGATCATATCAAATCGAATATGAATACAAATAGTAGTGAATTTAGTTTAAATGATGAAAATGATAATGAGAATATAGAAAAATTCAATTTTAATAAAAGTCAATCAGTCATTGAATTACATCATCATATTGATATGATTAAAACAAGAACTGGAAAGTATTTCAATCATAATAATAATAATAATAATAATAATCTATTACATAATATAGATCAGAATAGAAATGGATCAAATACAATGATATCGATGAATAATGATTGGTTTATCAATCAATTCTCTAAATCATATAATCAATCAATAAAAACATTGAAATCAATCAATATCAATAATCGATTGATTACCAATGATATAATGAATAATAATAATAATAATAATGGTGATATAAAGCATGATCATAATGAGCAGGTAATGTTTGGAGTTCATTTGTTTTTACCATAATTTATTGATTATATTTTTAATTAAAATATATTGATTGTAGGTTTCCTATTTTCCATATATGAGATTCGAACTGAGGACTTTGGGTTATGTATGTGAATGCTTAACTTTTAAATCATTGAGTAGGGGTTCAGTGATATTAATGTTGAATTTTTAACCGATTCATGAAATTGTGCAATTATCTTTCATTGTCAGAGGTAGATATATGTCTCTATCTGATATGGATTAACTCTACTAGTTTTGGTTTCTTAGTAGAATTCCGAGAATTTCCTCATCAACCTATTCACACTTGTGGAAACATGGTAATTAACAGTATGGGGTGACCGATAAGAGTAGAGGATATTCGTAGGTTACTAGTATTCGATCATAGGTGTCTTCGAAACATTGCTCGTATATCCTGGGACTATCGAGTAATGAATGCAGTTATTAGGAAATGGGTACTAATTAAGGATGGCAAATCAATTGACGAGTTAGTAAAACTTCATCAGTTTAGATGACTGCGACATGTGTTACGTATTCCCAATCACCGACTGCCCTGACATATGTTGTTTCATGGTGTAGGAGTAGGTTGGAAGAAAGCTAGATGCGACCAGACCAAAACATGGCACAAATCCATGAAATCACTGACAAGTGGACTGAGCCATGTTGGTAAGCGTAGACTACCTGATTGGGATCCGCGATACGATAGCAACCGATGATTAGAGACCCTGAATGACATGGTCCAAAATCATTTGCAATGGCACAGGTGCATCCACTCTTTTTGTTCTTCCAAATTTCTAATCTTCTGAATTCTTCATGTCCCTTTTCTTTTTCTCTTTCCAAATTTATTTCACTGAATTATACTCCTTGAATAACATCTTCAAACCCTAATCTTTCTGATTACTGTTTATACTCTTACTACCTCTACCACTATGGCATTTCAATCGAGAATTGTATCTGTGTGGTAATGTGGTATGGCAACTCAAACTGATGTACGTACGTACGAAGTTCTACGTTGTTGCTGACTGACTGACTGGTGATAATAGCCTTCATAAAATTACTATTCAATTGATTGGCTTTAAAAGATTTCGTTAATTTAAAGATGTTTTTTCATCATGGGCTTTTATTTGTCGTTTTGCTTTGGACATTTGCTTTAATTGTTGACTTGGCTATTTCATTATGTAGCTGTATAGTTCTACAAATGAACCAAACTAATTTTTATATATACAACTTTGTAATTTGAATTCAAGGAAACTTTGGCGAATTCTTCAGTGCATAGTAACTGTAGACTTGTGAAGGAATTAGATGGAAATAATAATAATAATGACGACGAATTACAGTCACCTTTAGAGGATAATCAACATGATTTATCTTCATTACAAGCTACATCTGCATTGGATACTATAGAAACGGATTCTTATTTACACACAAATAATAATATACCTAAACAGGAAATTTCCACAGTTCAACCGTCAACATGTTCAAAAGACTTGTCTCAATCACCTTTGAATAATTTTAATGAACCAGAAGAAATATGCTATATTGTAGATGGTGCACTTTCATCAGCACAAGGTTAGTTTTAATATATATAAATATATATGATGTGCAATTTTCAGTTTAATTAGAATATATACCTAATCTAACTTTAAATGATGCCACCCCCTTCTAGTCAAACAAGTTGGTAAAGCCTAGTAGGCCCTTTTGAAGATAAATAGGCCACATCGAAGAACGGCACAACTACTGGGGCTAGAATAGCTGTTTTTGCAATCGATTGGAGTTTTCCCCGTAGATAGCATCCCCGTACATTGCGTGCACCATTTTTGTGAAAGTTTTGTCGTTTTTCGATCCTGGAGTAATTGTCCTGTGATTCTTTGTGGGTATCAGTCAAGTGGGTGATCAGTCCAATCTCTACCATCTGGGTTACCGCTCACGTTAGTTCATGGGACTGAGTCCCATTAGTTATGAGGCACGACGAGGACGTGTGAGTCTGGTTTTTCCTCCCAACTGTAAATGATAGGGACATATCATTCCATTTAATTTTTATCTATCATAGATTAACTTTATTACTATGTTCAAGTTGGATATGATGAACATGGATATGGTAACAATAAATTATTCTATTTATGTCATTTGAATTTAATTCCATGGAATATAAATTGTAATTTCAGCTTTGAAATATCCAACGTTTACATCCTGATGTTCGGTTGTTTGAAGGAATTTGTCAACATAATTTATTAGTTGAATTCATGAGTCAATTGAAGCTAGACCACCATGGTCCTACTATGAAACTCCTCCACAATCCTGCCCCGCAAGATTCCAACCCAGGACCTATCGGTCTCGCACACGAGCGCTTAACCTCTAGACCACTGATCAGGTATCCAACGGCGTTATTGTCTAACTTCAACCAATCCACGAAATTGGGCCACCGTTCATCATTATCTTCAGTGAATTACTGCCTCACAGCAGATCAGGTTGAACTCCACTTGTCGCTGCTTTTCACTAGAACTCCATGAAATACCTCTTGAAGCCAGTCACTAGTGAGCATATGTCGATTAGTATCAGAAGGGGTTTTGTGGAGATTGTTGTAATTTCAATAGTTGAGATCATGAGCCATTTGAAGCTAGATTATCATGGTGTTATTCAAATAGATACAGATTTAAACCAATCCCGAAATAAGACTCTGTATTTGGAAGATAAGAAAGGTATCATGGCTTCTCAATAGAACTCCAGGAAATACCTCTTGGAGATAGTCACTGTCGGGTATACGATTATTATAATCAGAGAGGGAGATTTGTGGTGTTCTTAGTAATTCAATAGTTTAGTTCATGGGTCGATTGAATATTAGTCTTCTTAATGCATGAATCACCAGGATGACGAATGCGAGGGTAGAGTGAATATTGATCTCTCCAATTCAATTTACTCGTGAATTCAACTACTAAATTACTATAATATTCACAAAAACCCTTCTCTGATTATAATAAAATACATAACCATCAATCCCTTTGATAAATTTCGATAATGCAATGAGAAGATGAAAGTTATCCAAATTATGTAATACATTTGTGTAATACATTTCGAACAATCTGACTGAACATATACTTGTAAAGACATTTAATATGAAAAATAAGTCAACTAAACAAATTAAAAGGTAAGCGGAAATAAAGATATATGTGATCACATTGTTGGAAATGCATTGCACAAATATATCACATAATTCTGATAACCCCAAATGCCCTGGTACGGCCGAGGGTGGGGAGAGTCCGGTCTCCCTCTCGAAATACTCTCACATAACTACGCGTATACAGTTACTGCCAGAGAAGTCCTACTCACTGCCTTCTGGCGGTATTACTATTGTTCACGAAATTGAGAGGACGAAAAGTGACCTCTAATTTAAAGGCTCATGGTGTGTCCCCCTAAGAAAACCACCTGCTTCGGTCTGGGTACCCGGAGACTATCACAGCCCATACACAAATCAAGCGACTTTTGTGGTGCATATATATTCGGTGCCCCTTTGTATCAATATTTATGTGTCCAAATAAATAGATAAATAAATCGAAATAGAACTCATCTTTATGTTTTCTGTTTGTTTCTCTTGCTTAAAATTGAACTACGTTTTATGCAGGAATTAGTTGTTAGAAGATCATTTAGGTAGAGTTGTTGTGTCTGTTTAAGATTTGTAGATATGTTCTGTAGACGATTGGTGTACAGAAAAATACAACTGAGCAGTTTCATAATTTTACTATCCATGCGTAACTCGGTTTTAATTACATTTGCGAAAACATTAAATCAAAGGTGACCAGTCAGTCGTAATTAAAGTAAAACCTGATGAAAATGTGCGTTGACCCGAGTTACTTACTTGCGCCTATTACCTCTCATGGATCAGCGTTGGCCGCCTACTAGCACTCGTTAACCAACTCTGTCCTGGGCAATCCTTTCCAGCTTTTCCCGGTGTTATTCATCCTTTTCATATCTGCTTCTATTTCCCAATGTAATGAGTTCTTTGGCCCTCCTCTTTCCCGTTTCCCATCACTACTCCAAGTAAGCACCTGCCTCAAAATGCAGTTTGATGATTTCCTCAATATATGTTCTATCCACTTCCAACATCTTTTCCTAATTCCCTCTTCAACTGGGAGCTGGTATGTTCTCTCTTACAGTAGACTGTTGATGATGTTATCCGATCAACGAACATTGAGTATTTTGTGTAGACAAATGTTCACAAATTCTTGTACTTTTTGATGATGGTTGTAGTAGTTCTCCAAGTTTCAGCTTCATACAGTAGAATTGTCTTGACGTTCGTATTGAAGATTCTAACTTTGATGTTGACTTGCAGATAGTTATTTTGAGTTTCATATGCTTTTCAATTGTATTTTAAGTAGCCATGCCAAATTAACACGATAAGATGAAACTAACAAGATGTATAACAAATAATTTTAAATAATGTCATAGGAATGACGATGAGAATAACTAAACCTGGGGAATAGGGTTCTAGAAGGTATGTTTGAAGGTATATTGGTATACAGAAAGATAAAGAGTGAATTCATCTGCATAATTTTGATGGATTCTAAGCCATAATACCGAAGATCTCTAACCACTAATAGCGGTTATCCATCTACATCTATCATCATGATTTAAAAACCACTGGCAGCGAAACATGGCCATTAAGAGTAGAAGACACTCGTAAGCTACTAGTATTTGACCACAGTTGTCTTAGAAATATTGCTCTCGTCTGCTGGGATCACCGGGTAAGTAATAGTGAGGTTAGATGCAGGGTATTAGGAAATGATGGTAAATCAGTTGATGAGGTTGTGAATCTTCATCGACTGAGATGGTTGGGTCACGTTTTACGTATGCCTGAACACCGATTACCACGACGTGCAATGCTAACCGGTGTTCGGGATGGTTGGAAGAGGCTTAGGGGCGGCCAAACCAAAACGTGGCATCAGTGCTTGAAGTCACTAACTTCTAGTCTGAGCCATGTTGGTAGGTGCAGACTACTTGGTTGGGTTCCGTGTGACTATCGTAACCAATGGTTGGAGACTCTTGGTGACATGGCTCAGAATTGACCACAGTGGCGTTGGTGTATACACTCTGTGTCTTCCCTTAAACTAAGAGATTAAAATCACTTCATATCTTTCTTTCTACGAACTAATTCTTTCTTCCTGTACTATATCCTTATTGCAATCTTTCTTTTATATATTATCACCATTGAATTAACTGCTTTTATGAATCCACTGTCCATCTTGTTGTGTTAATGAGGTATGGCAACTTATACCGATGCATATATGTGCCTGGTCCTACTTTGTAGCTGACCGACTGACTGACTGAATGACCCCTACATACTATGGTTCTTAACAATTCTTTCTTTCTTTCTAATAGTATTCAGATTTCATGTTTATCATTTGATCACTAGGTAGATATTAATTATAAATTTCATCAATCAATCAATCAATAGTGCTCATCAGTTTTTTGTTGTTGACTGCCTTTTGAAGTATATTAGACCTCATTTTATAGTTAGTCATGGTTTATTTTTTTTCATTATAGATACAAATAATTACTCAGCTATTACAACAGTAACACCATTAAATGAAAATATATATTATCAAAATGGTTTTGATGCAGAATCGGAAGGTTGTAGAAGTAGTGTTATAATGGATGAAAATTGTGGTAATTTGTTGTTTTTTGTTTCTTATAAAATGCACTTTGTTTTTAATGAGAAACTATTTATTTATGTGTATTATTTATATAATAGTTGAATTTATGTGGAACCTAGAAGCACTGGAAGAGCATTCCTTCCTAGTATGGGACTCCTCAGCAATGCATATCCACGACCCTACTCGTGAAATCCGAACCTAGGACCCTCGAATGCTAAACCCTATGGGACACTGAGCCGGCATTTGACGCTGATACTGTCTAACTTCAACCAATCCATAGAATTGCACCACAGTCCATCATTGTCTTCAGTGAGTTATTATCTTACAATAGACCCGGTTGAACTCCACTGGTCACAGCTAATCACTAGAATTCCAGGAAATACCTCTTGAAGCCGTCCAATGTTTCCAGGTTTTCCGTGATAGTTTAGCTTTAATTGGTTCATGAATTCAAGTATTAAATTACTATAATATCCACAAAACCCCTTTCTGGGTATTATATATTGTTAAATACATACCTTTGACTTACTGTGGAAAGCTTGTTAGAGACACAAGATCACGTTCGGATTACATAAAATTGAGTTTAATCAGATTTAAGAATTGTTGTTCCGATCATACATTAGTCTCTATACAGGATCCTTTCAAGAGTATTAACTCAAAATTCACGTGATGTGTGAAGTTTCTAATTTGTCTGGAAAATTGCATTACTGTAGACAACACCACTAGCAATAGAATTTACCGACCTGGAATCATAAGATGTCTATGTGTCATAAACTCTCTTAATGGCACAACCGAAAACAAATTCCGTTTTGTAATAAATTGAAATAGATTAAAAGGATAACGTGTACTATTATTAAGTTTATCGAAGCGTCCAAGTCACCCAATTGAGATACGTTCATGATCGAAGTTCGCAAAACAACGATTTGTCTAAAATAACGGTTCTTTATTGAATAATATACAAAATTTATTTACAAACCTCAACTTGTGAGGTGTCTGTGGCGTTTAATGCGTCTTTTTGTATGAAATAAAAAAAGTCTGCGATAATGCAAAAGACAGCTGATAGCTGTGTCTAAACTTGGTAACAGTTTATCAACGAGCAAAACCTGAACCAAGAGCATACATTATGAAAACCATTGGGTTTAAACAAATGCACAGAACTGTAGATAACTTATAGAGTGATTGATATAAAGTAGTTATCATAATGAGTACAATAAATGTTGTAAGTATATGTAAATATTTCAGAATATTACACGACAAAGTTGCGTTACAACATAAGTTTAAAAATTTCTGGAAATACAACTATTTACTGATTGTAAATAAGTAGTCTAAAACAATACGCATAGAATGGAAGGGAAGTGAGTAAGGACAGAATGTAAAACCGATTAAACAACTATAGACTGGAGTCCATCGCAAGCTTGTCTGAAACACCTTATAGCAATTAACGAAAGTAATCCATTATTATTCACTGGGAACATAGAAACTGTTCAGAATAAACAATGTCTCAATGATTAACATACAGAATAGAAACTAAATAATGAAAAAGTGAAAAATGGTATAATGAGTAATGAAACAGAGTAAAACTTTATATAAAAAAAAAATGTAACAGATTAACAGTCCATTGCAATACATAAATGCAATATGTTACTAGTTTACATAGTAATTCATAAAAACACAAATTATCAGTATAGGGTTGTGGAGATTATTAAGTTTTTGATTGAGATAATTAGATCATAATCTCCACAACTCTATACTGATAATTACGATGTGCTCACTAGTGATTAGCTTCGTGAGGAAATTCTTGTAGTTCTATTGAGAAGCCTTGACCAGTGGAGCTAATCCGTGTCGGGTAGAGACATATCTACCTCACTACAATGGGAGATGGTCACGCAATTTCGTGGAATGTTTGAGGTTAGACATTAATATCGTTGGATGCCGAATCAGTGGTCTAGAGGTTAAGCGTCCGAGTGCGAGTCTGAAGGCCCTGGGTTCGAATCTCGCTGGCAGGATCGTGGATGCTCATTGCTGAGGAGTCCCACAATAGGACGAAACGGCCGTCCAGTGCTTCCAGGTTTTCCATAGTGGTCTAGCATCAACTGACTCATGATCTTAACCATTGATATAAATATTTGTTGTAACACTCGGTTTTCCCCGTCTACACTAGTGGGATCCTAATTTATCTTAGACGAATATCTACTCTAGACTCCCTCCCAGTGTCTATTCTAAAGGACGTCAATACAACTCAGATCAAGAGTACGTAATTAGCCTGACTAGAGCGTAAATATATTTCCTCATCGAAACCCGACACAATCCAACAACAATGAACAATAAATCATAATAAATAATGAAAGGGAAATATATAACTCATCTAACACCTGACAGATGATCTGCATGTCTGACTAAACAAATAAGCAATCACCATCATCCTCGCCCACACATCAATATTGGTACAAGGAAGCGCCAAATATAAGTGCTCACAATTCGTCATCCGATCTGCTTATGGAGTTAAATACTGTCAGGGTGACCAAACCGAAGCAGGTGGTTTTCTTAGAGGAGACATACCCGGAGCCTTCGACCTAGAGGTCTGATCCAAAAGACAGTGGGGCGACGTCAGGAGATTCAGTCCCATAGTAGCTGGTGACCGACGATTGGTTTATACGCTAATTGTTCCCTCAGGATGTGCACCATTTGTTTAGAATGTGAGTTTTCTAACTCCCCTAGATGGTTTTTTCATACACTTAGTTCTCCTAGATGGATCCTCCATATCCACCAACCCGGCTAAAGCTTTAGACACTCGCGTTTCATCTTCTCATTTTCATAACCAGCACCCCTACCGTGAGAAGGCAATGAGTAGGACTTCCGTGGTAGTGGCTGCATACATGTAGCTATATGAGAGCATTTAGAGGGGGGAGTAAACTTTCATCACTGTCGACGGTACCAGGGAATTAGGGCGCTTGTTATTTCTAAGGGTTCATTTATTAGAATATGTAACTGTTCGAAATTAGTACCACAACTTTACTGTTTCAGTTTATTTAAGGTTCCTATCTTGTTAACTAATTAGTCTTGTATATGATTAGTACTAGCATTTATCAGCAGTAGGTAGTTTCAACACTTCTAATCAATGGTTCTGAAATATTGATCATAGAATAATTGCATTCTGTTACATTATTTGTCTCTAGCAGTCATATCCCTTAGCCGTGTTTGATAACAGTGTGTACAGTAAACTTAGATTCTAATATACATCTAGATAATTATTGTGTATTTGATGGAACACAGTAAATAACTCGAGAAGCTTTATTCAAGTCAACTGGATGTTCTGTATCAATCAAGTGAGTATGAAGAGAACTTTTAATTGGCTTTAAATGCACTTTCTTCAACTAAGCAGTATGGCATCCGCAGATGTGATGACAGATTTTTCTAATTCTGCTCTTTATATAACTGGCTTCACAAGAGCAGTAAATTTGATAGTTACACTTACATTTGACAAATGCAAACAGTCCGCCTATGTTTATGGTTGTAATGATTGGACGAGTTTATGATAATCCATGTAGTTGGGTTGTAGTGAACGTTTTCTGTAATCGATTTCCCAACTCCTGTCTTCATATTTCATGACATATGTCGTTTTTAAACTGTAGTTTTAATAGTAGAGAATTCTTCTGAACATTCACTATCATCAGTCTTATGTCTATTCATTTTGTATGTTTTTCGATGATTTTTTTATCTACTGGGCTTAGTTAGATAGAAACAAGCCTGAGAAACTCTGGGATACAGGTACATCCAACTGACGAGTCCAAAATGGGACGAAACGCGTGTTAAACTGGATTCCACTGCTAACCACCATTCATCATTACTTATAAAGCTTAGGACTTGAGGTAATATCGTGGCAGTTCGCACAGGATGTACATATACCAATAAGAGACTGATCAATTACAGTCCTAAACAACAGTGGGAAGATATAAGCAAACAATACCTGGGGAACTCAGTTGTTATCTCATTTATTTCAACTACCTGTGAATTCTATAAATTTATATTTAAGTAAATTTTATATATCATTTTAGAGAAAGAAATTACCCCTAATTATTATGATGCCCATAATGAACTTGAACATTTATTGATTAAAAATACTGATATAAAAATCGATGAAATTTCCAAATCATTTACACCATCTATTCAAAATGATAAAGTGTCAATGATAACAACAACACCAACAACAGCAAACGGGATAAGTATTTGTAAAAGTGTAAGTTTTCAATTTATTGATTTCTTTTCTCTTTGTTTTCAGCAGTTTTTTTTTACCTGTTACCCTACCCCCTCCCAAATGGAGCATAGATCGCCGATCAGCATTCTCCAACTCACTCTGTCCTAAGCCTTTCTTTTTAAGTTTCCTTTTAGTTCTATTCATATGTTGTTCATTCCTGAAAAACTCTTCTTCTTAGGCTTAAAATAGGTTTATGAATCAGTCTGAGAAATTAGAACTAGAACCTAGGACTAGAAGTTAAAGTCAGTAACTACATTTACTATTTTCATCACAAGTTGACATCAGCTATATAATCCAAGAGTTCTTTTTAGCCATATGGGTGAATGAATTTTGCGTCAAAAGTCAAGATACTTCATCAACGATTAGTGCTCTGTCTTTTGTCGATATATTCAGACTTTTTATTCGAACTGCGAGTAATGGTCCTAATTTATGTCTGTAGATCTTGATTACCATGGTCAGGGTTTGAGAGTTGTAATAAAGCATATGAATTTACTCCCTACCTTCCCTTAAATCTTGAGTCCATACTTTATAACTCAATCTCATTCGTCTCTTTTGAACTATATCACGTATGTTTAGTTTCCACTAGGGTAGGGACCAATATCTCTCATTCTCTGCTCTTCATCTTTTTGATTTCCGCTGTCTCTCGTGTGTTAATATGCATTGCTGTACCGTTCACCCATACAGATTTGTCTCGAATTCTACGTAGATAGTGGATGATTACTTATTTACCCCTGTTACTCCTAGTGGAGCATAGGTCGCCGACCAACATTCTCCGACGCAGTCTGTCCTGGGCCTTCTTTTCTAGTTCTATCCATTTGTTGTTCATTCCTCTCATATCTGTCTCCATTTTGTCGGCGTAATGTGTTCTTTGGTCTTCCTCTTCTCATTTGGCCTTAAGGATTCCATGTGAGGGCTTGCCTTGGGACGTAGTTGGGTGCTTTCCTCAATGTGAGTCCTATCTACTTCCAGTGCTTCTTCCTCCACTGGGATCTTGTTTGTTCTCTCCTACAGTAGATTGTTGCTGATAGTGTCCGGCCAACGGATCCGAAGTAAACGACTGTTAATCAACACTTGTATCTTCTGGATGATGACTTTCGTAGATCTCCAAGCTTTCTGCGTAGTTATTTATGGGCATAATAAAATAGTTAACTCGTTGAGACTATATAGAGTTGAAGGTCTCATATGAAACTGGAGGTTCGCCATTGTTATTGTGGACGGCTCGGCATTACTTTGGTAAGCTTTGCTGACTGTTCATACGGAAAATTGGTTTAATGTTTAGCCGATTTCATTCATACTGGTGGTTTCTTTTCAGTGTTCCCGAGGGCGATTGTCATTGGGACATTGTAAGGCATGCCGCCATTGCTAACATTAACGAGTTTGACTGTCGTGTAAGCGGAATAGGTCAACTTTGGCCTGTTCGTGCTGTGCATAATTGATTCACGCGATCATTGATCGGAATAACTATACACGTGGTGTGAGTGTGTATATGAATGGTGCGAATGGTTCACCAGGGTGCTTGGTACCTGTGTGGTTGCGTCACAGGATTGAACTGTACTATTCAGATTGTAGCGTTAAAGCCTTTACGGTGTCTGGTTCTCCTGTTAAACGGGGTTGAGCTGTATTTTTTGGGTTGTCACGTGAAAGTCCGGATGGTGTCTGGTTCACCTGTAAACCAATGTAAACTTACCCTGGCTCACAAGGGTATATTATATACTGTGAACTTATATAACGTTGAGACTATTAATCGACAACTTTCGAGAGATGCTAAAGTAACCCTGAGAATGTTCACCTATTATCTAGGACTAAGTGACAATTATAAAGCAGTGTGAACAAGTAGAATTTTTGATTTACAGTTAATCGTTACTGTTGGGAACTAGATTTGGTGTTTTCATCACAAACTAACATTAGCTAAAATATGAAGACGCTATTCACTAAATGAATGAATGAATTTTGCGCCAAACATTCAAGACTTGTTATCTTATATCTAATTGGTTTGTTTATAAATTATAGTCTTGCCTCTTATTCATTCACTTACAAATCACCATTCGTTAATGTTGTATTATGATTTGTTTAAATCACTTATTATCCTGTTTTGATTAATTGAATTCTAGTTTATTGTATGAATACTTCTCTTTAAAGAATTACTTCATTATAAGTAACATACATTCAGAAAGATATCTGAAAATAGTTAGTTAAATGGACTAATTGCTTCTTTTGTCAATATAACATTTCACTAGTTGTTAGCTGTTATATCCAGAGCTCAGATTCTTAATGTACCGCGTATGACTTCAGCAATCGAATGACAGAACCCTCCTTAGTTGTAAATGAGAAGTTTTATTTTATTATTTATTTTAACACATAGTTATTCGTCCAAGGAGGCACCAAATACATATGCGTCACACAGACCTCATTTGATATGTGTGAGGGCTGTGATACTGCCCGGGTGCCCAAACCGAAGCAGGTGGTTATCTTAGGGGGCCACTCCCCGAGCCTTCGACCTAAAGGTCTGATCCACAGGGCAGTGGAGCATCGTGAAGAGATGCAGTCCCATGGAAGCCGGTGACCAATGACTGGTTCATACACCATTTGTTCCCTCAGGATACTGGAGCCCATGTGCAGCATTGGTTTGAAATCCAGTTAAAGCGCCGGACATTCGCTTTTCGTCCTCTCATTTTCGTAAACAACACCCCGCCACGAGAAGGCAGTGAGTAGGAAGAACTTCCGTTGCAGAGGCTATATACGGGTGGCCTTGTGAGAGCATTTCGAGAGGGAGAGGAAACTCTTCTCACTCTCGGCCGTACCAGGGCATTTGGGGCGTAAATGAGAGGAGAGGAAGATAAATGAAAAGAATGCTATTCTAAAACAGTATCAATATGGTACAAAACAGTCAGGTATTTATAGTTTTTAATAAAAATGAAATCATCATCATTGTCATCTAATCCGCATAAAGAGGATTCTTAGCATTCGTCCAATAGTGTAGCTCGACATAGGGATTCTAGAATATTCTTCCAAACGATGATTGAATGGAATATCTTTGATTCTTTATGAGCTTCTTCGAGCTTCCTTGAGTTTATTCGGGGACTGCCCTCACATTAGCATTAATTATATTGTAGTGAATAGAAAATGGAATGTTCACCAGCAATAGATTGATATGAAGAGAACAGGTAAAAAAACGGAGAGAAATTGGAATAACAATAGAATCAAAAGAATGATACATTATGTAAAGGACAACTGAATTTTTAACCTTAATCATCAACTATAAATCATAATTCTAATTCCTTACCCTGGTTTATAAACCTTATTTGGTCCTAGTTACTACGTGGACACTCTCAAGGTTAGCTTACTGTCGCTCAAAGGTCGTTCATATATTTTAGTCTCACTAAAGTAGTTTCAAGCAATCTTGAATACTAACAGATTAGATTCAACATCACGATGTTAAATTAATCTGTATTCACCATAATTATTTATCTAGACGGGAAGACGTATTCTTATACGCCATGACGATATTCATTATGTGCTGTTGTCATGGCTATGAAGTAGTTCATTTCATACAATCAAGATTCATCTGACATTCACTTCGATTGAGATAGATTTTAAATGTTATAATTGTTTCATTATAATTCTATCCATTTCTATCTTATTGTTTCTTTAAAGACTCAGAATGATATGTTAACTACTGAATGTAAATGGTTATCTCATAATATGAATATAACATTATCTAACGTTTATCCTACAATCTTCTCTAATGGAATACAATTAGTTACTCAATATACTACTCATAATTCACCATATATAAATTATACTGCTTCTAAAATCAATTCAAACAATCTACCTGAATATATTCCTTCACAATATAGCAATTTATCTATGACTGGATATCATTCTAATAATGTAATACGTAAGTTGAATAAAACGATTCAATTTAACATGAATTGAAAATTCTGCATATTATTTCTGCTCAATATAAACTCTACTTTATGTACACATATAGGAAAATATATGAATTTAAGTGTTTTTAGGACCTACATTTTAGTAGTATAAGGTTATGGAGATTGTTGAGTTTAGAGTGATATCATGAATGAATCAATGAAAATTGCCAACAAATGCCCTGGTATGACCAAGGGTGGGGAAAGTCCGCCTTTCCCTCACGAATTGCTATCACATGACCAGGCGTATACAGCCACCGACAGGGAAGTCATACTCACTGCCTTCTCGTGGCGGGGATGTTGTTAACAAAAATCAGAGGATGGAAAGCGAGTGTCCAGCGCTTTAACCGGGTTGGTGGACATGGAGGATCCACCTGGGAGAGTTCAGTCAGTTAGTCAGTTACACCATAGGACCAGACACATATATGCATTGGTACAAGTTGCCACACCTCACTCATTAGCACAAAAAGTGAGCACCGAATTCATAAAAGTAGTTAATTTAATGGTGATAATATATAAAAGAAAGATTACACATAAGGATATTGTACAGGAAGAAAGAATTAGTTCGTAGAGATATATAAAGCGATTTTAATCTCATAGTTTAAAGGAAGACAGAGAGTGTATACACCTACACTATTGTGATCGATTCTCACCCATGTCACACACATTCTTCAACCATTGGTTACACTTGGGCGAGTTGGAAAATCCTCATTCCAAATCAATGATGCATATGGAAACCAGGATCCTGAGGGAACCAATGGTGTATAAACCAATTGTTGGTTACCGGCTACCACGTGACTGTATCTCCTTGCGTTGCTCCACTGCCAAGTGGATTAAATCTTTAGATCCCATAAGAAAACCACATGCTTAGGTTTGGGCACCCGGGCAGTATCCTAGCCCTAACATAAGTCGTATGGTTTATGTGACGCGTATCTATTTGGTGCCTCTTTGTACCAATGTTTATGTGTTTAAATAAATAATCAATAAAGTAGTGATCATAGAAATCAAATGTTTTAGATTAGTAAGTATTCCGATTGTCAAAATTGACGTAGTGTGACTACTATAAGTGATGTGATCTATAATTAATTTCACTAGTACAGGCGTGTTCATCAGTTATTCTTTGGTTTAATTTTTACTACCCAACTATTTGATTTATTTTATATTTTCATATGCAATTTTCTGTTTCTCCTCCCCCCCCCCCCACATTTTCTTCTTTTTCCTCATCTTTATTTCCGTCTTTATGAGGTAGGCTAATTGATATGGTAACTAACTCACTAGGTCCTATGTTGTTTATAATGTCTTTTTTTCTGAACAGAAACTATATATTTAAGCAAAGATGGTAGTGGCTAGCAGTGGAATTCAGCACGCGCTATCCATCTTTGCTTAAAAAGCTTGTGACTTAAGGCAGTATCGAGGCAATCCGCACAAGATGCACATATGCCAATAAGAGATTGATTAATTGCAATCCTAAATAACAATGGGAAGATACAAGTAAAGCAACACCAAGTGAATAGAAGCTGAATATTAATTTAGAAAACGTGTAATGAATCAGTACTACCTGACACTGTCTTGGCTTAACCATTCAAAGAGAAATGTCATTACGAATCCCAAGTAGTTTGGATGTCGAGAAAAAATGTAAACAATTGATTTATAGAGTAAAGAATGATAACAAAGCAGGATTATCATTGTGTTGTATGTGGCTGAGGCCTAAATTTTTGTCAGTTGGGTTATACTACTTTTTGATCACTATTAGTACAATTACTAAAAAATATGTATCAAAAGGGGTTTTGTGGAGATTTTAGTAATTTCATTAGTTGAAATCATGAGTCAATTGAAGCTAGACCACCATGGAAATTCTGAAAGCTCTGGACGGCCGTTTCGTCCTAGCATGGGACTCCTCAGCAGTGTGTATTCACGATCCCACCCCCCGCGAGATTCGAACCCAAGGCCTGGCAGTCTCGCGCACGTGACTTCCAGGTTTTCGATGAACTCTTGTTAATTTCACCTAGAAACAGATAGAAATAATCTTTGATAGATTGTTTCTCTTGTATGACAAAAGAAATTGAAAACCGCTTGTTTATATTGAATAACTACTCAATTCCATAATGAGTAGCCTCTTACCATTGACTGTTAGATTTGAATTATGTTTATCTTCAAATGAGGCTGTTGATATTTCTACATCATACTCAAATGCTTAATTTCATGATAGAAAGAATCTTTCCTTTCTTTCTATCATTAAACGTTGTTTATTTCTTCTTCAGAAAACATGCCAACCTGTGTCACTGTTTTCAGTCAGACTGACACAACTTCAATGAAACAAGAACATTGTCTTTCATTAAGTTCTGTTGAAAATAAAGTTCCCCGAAATAAATTTAATGAAACCGAGATAGTCAGTAGAGAAAATACTGGTATACATAGAATGTTCCATATACCTAAAACTTCTACGGTAAGTTAAAGATAAAAATAAGTGATCTTTATTTATTAATAATGTTTTACAAAGTATTCGTTGGTTGATTATATCCTTTCACTATTCTAGGATCTCGCTTTTTCCTTCATGAGTGTTAAGATCTATTACCTGTGGTCAGATATTTTCCTTGGAAGTTCTCTACGATAAATTGCACTCTCTCTTTGTTACTGTCATTGGTGGGTGAGTAGTAATAAATAACATTCAATGCGATCGCTACCTTCTTTTATTTTAAAGGATGCTTTATTGATCCCAAAGCTACAAGATTCTCGTTCGTTAAGAACAATCTGCATTTCTTTGGAAAGTATCCATGCAAACTTTCCTGTACTTTGTGACCAGAGTACAGCAGCAACTCCAATCTTTTTTTGTTCATTTTGTATCTTGTGGGTTTCGTTTACTGGTCTTCAGTGCTATTCGAATGATCCTTCCGGCCACGTAACCTGTCCAGACACTCACTGTACCTAAATAATTTGTTGCTTTAGTTGTTAAAAGGGACAACTGCCTTGTTATACAAAAGAATCTTGGCTTTCATTATGGGTGCCATAACTCTTCTACGTAAATATCGTTCAACTCTAAGGACTGATTTTAAATGATTTAAATGAACTTTTATGTTTTACGTCTTTTTAGCAGAGCTATTTTTATGGGGTCGAGTTGGTAACCCCCATATCCAACCATCCTTTCCTAGGTTTGAGACCGGGAATAATCTTAGAATGGCTCCAGTTGAAGTTTCAGTATATCTTAAAAATACCTTTTCATAATAAAAAATAATTTTATCTTTGTGTGTAATACTTGTATTTCAGAGTCAAACGATTGATTTATCTTCTTTGAATGTGAATAAACAGATCAAAGATTTATCTTCAATATACTACCATCATCATATTAGATCAACTGTTACATCATCATGTAATACAGGAATTACTACTTGTCCATTATTAACTCAAAATATGAAAGTTCAACATCATGAAAATAACAAAGCCAAATGAATATTTAACATGTAAAAATTATTTATCTAAAAATGATTTTGAATCAAATTCAATTATATTAAGTCCTATCTGTACTAGTCAACCTATAACAGATTATAATGATCGAATAGTTCAAAATGATGTTAATGTATACAAAGTGAATTGTGTTCCTACACATTCATGTAATCATTCAAAAGACAATGTTAAGAAGTTCGATACTAAGTTAGGTAAGATCTACAGCTTCATCATATTCTGAAATATGGTTGATATATTAACATTAATTATTCGTTTTTTGGTAAGACTTTAATTTATAGACGAGCCAATCAGAGGCGTTAAAGAGGTTTCAAGGTCGCGGCGCCAACTTCAGTGCTTAGTGCTGACGTGCGATCGGTTCATAGGGAATTTTGTACAAAACGTGATAATTGAGCAGCTATAACAAATAAAATGGCGAGACTATAATTTGCGGACGAATCAATCAGGTATAAGATAATAGATCTCGGATTTTGGGCACGAAAGCCTTTCACCCATTTGGCTAAATAGATTTCTGGCATGATAGCTGATGTCAGTTCGTGATGAAAAGTATTTTGCATAGGCGATTGTTATTAAACACTTGTAACAACTCCAGGCGGAGTTGTGTAGTACATAAAGGGAATGATAATGAAAACAATATTTTAAATCTTAAAGAAATAACCATAACTATGAAGAGTAAAACAAAACAAAAATTGATACTGATGTAATTTAAACTATTTCATTGTTTTTAATCTATCCATTTTCAGTTCAGACCATAGATTTTAACGATCAAAATGAATGTACATGTTATCACACTTATAGAATTCAACCAGGAATAAATGAGTCGACATTAAATCCTGAATGGATTGAACAACTACTTACCTATAATACAAAACTTGACAATAATCAGAAATCTTCTCAAGAATATAAGAAACATAAAATTACACAATCTGTTTATATGACACCAAGATCAACTCTTATAGCTCAATTGAGATATATACTATTAAAGCAAAAACTTAAATTATTACATACACGAGATGCTTATTATTTAAGAAAGCGTATTGTAAATCATCTTGAAAAGTTTTTAGATCAAATAATTTCATCAAATACATTAGTAAGTGAAAAGTTAAATATATAAATGTTATTGTCTATGTTTATTTGTAATGTTATATTATAGGATATACCTTTTTGGGCCAGGGTAATTCTATAATGGTTTTCAGGAGAACCAGATATCATTCAGACTTTCACGTGATAATCCAAATAGTACAACTCAATCCCGTTTAACAGGAGAGCCAGACACCAGCCAGGTTTAAACTTTATAACCCAAACAGTACAGCTCAATCTCTCGTCCCAAATGCCCTGGTACGGCCGAGCGTGAGGAAAGTCCGCTTTCCCTTTCAAAATTCTTTCACATGGCCACGCGTATATAGCGTCTGCCAGGGAAATCCTACTCACTGAGTTCTCGTGCGCGGGGGTGTTGTTTATGAAATTGAGAGGACGAAAAGCGAATATCCGGCGCTTTAACCTGATCCCAAACCAATGGTGCACATGGGCTCCAGTATCCCGAAGGACAAATGGCTTATGAACCAATCGTTGGTCACCGGCTACCATGGAACTGCATCTACTGACGTTGCTCCATTGCCTTGTGGATCAGACATTTAGGTAGAAGTCCCCGGGTGTGGTCCCCTAAGAAAACTACCTGTTTCGGTTTGGGCACCCAGGCAGTATCCCAGCCCTAACATAAATCGAATGGTTTATGTGGCGCATATGTATCTAGTGCCGCTTGAACCAATATTTATGTGTTCAAATAATAATAATAATAATAATAATAATAATAATAATAATAATAATACAGCTCAATCTCGCTTCACAGGAAAACCAGACACCATGTAGGCTTTATCACTACAATCTGAATAGTACAGCTCAATCCTGTGGCGAAACCACACAGGTATCGAGTAACCTGGTGGACCATTCGCACCATTCATATACACATCCCCGTCACATGTATAATTATTTCAATCATTGATTGAGGCCAAAGTTGACCTATTCCGTTTACATGACAGTCAAACGCATTAATGTTAGCAATGGTAACACGTCTGACAATGTTCCAATGACAATGGCACTTGAAAACCCTGAAAAGCACATGAACAGTCAGCAAAACTTGCCAAAGTAATGCTGAACCATCCACAGTATCAATGGCGAACCTCCAGTCTCATAAGAGACCTTCAACTTTACATAGCAACCTAGCCTATTTGAAATGTAGTCAATATATTTTCATAAGAACTCAAACCTTATGATTTATATACATAACAAAGAGAATTTTCTCTTCATTGAAGTATACATCTCGGTTGCATTTGAAGGATTAATTCAATGAATCACTCACAATTCAATGAATATATTATCAAGCTGTAAAATCGTATATATATATATATGAAAATTGTTTTGTTAAAGTACTAGTTTCGTCAGTAAATGTGGACACGAATAACCAAGATGACGTAATGAAAAGATTATAACAATAAGTTACGTAATACGAATAATAACAATAGACTTCGTGAGTTTGTAAGAAATTATTACATAGTTAGCGCCATGATCCTTGAAATCTCTCAAACACTTCTCATTGGCTTGTTCATAAATCATAGTCTCACCGTTCATGCCAGTAGGGGACTTCATTAATAAGTTGTTTGATCAGTTTTGAAGACTGAATAGAATGATATTTACAATTATCCACTAAATACTAGGTTTGTCTGATTCAAGCTGAAGCTACCTTGTATGGCTCAGGGTATGAAATTTGACAATTTACTTGACTTCATACGTTTAATATTTTAAAGGAAAGTGAATTTATTAGTATAGGATTAGTAAGATTGTTGAGTTTTTAATTGAAATCATGAAAGAGTCAATGTTAGACCACTATTGGAAACTTGAAAGCATTGAATGGCTATTTCATTCTATTATCGAACTCCTCAGCAGTACGCATCTACGATCTCACCCCGTGAGATCATTCATTGTTCAATGCTTCTCGGTATTAAACAGGTGATTTATAATTGTTCTTTATTACTTTTTTGTCATTTTATTTCACCGCTATTGAAAACACATTTCATCTGTAGAATATTGTTTGTCTCACGTTTCGTGACTTAATGTAAGCTACTTCTTCAGAGTCGATAAACAACCAAATTAAATAAATACATATTTAAATAGAGCAAAGAAAACATCTATATTGTTGTTTCTAATTACTAACCAGTTTATTCCCGTGGATAAGTAACCTTAATTACTTTTCATGAATGAGGTAACATATTTCTCATAAGTTGTTTAAAATGTTTTGAAAAATCAATAGTTTTACAATTCAACATTTAAGGGGAACTTAATCCTTCGTTTTATGTTAATGGTAACTTTATATTTCTGTGGCCTAAATTATTTTCTCTGATCAAAACAACAAAGACATATGATCACAAGTGACTAGCTTCAAGAGGTATTTTCTGGAGTTCTGGTGAGAAGCAGTGACAAGTAGAGTTCAACCGGGTCCGTTGTGAGATAGTAACTAACTGAAGGCAATGGTAGATGTGTCGCTAAATTTCGTCGATTAGTTGAAGTTTGATATTAACACCGTTGGATGCCGGTCATCTCAGTGATTTAGAGGTTAAGCGTCCGATAAATCCTAGGTTTGAATCCCGCGACTTTGGATCGTGGATACACACTGTTGATGAGTATTAGTCCCACAACCGGACCAAACGGCTATCCAATGCTTTCAAGTTTTCCATGATAGTCTAGCATCAGTTGACTCATGAACTCAATAATTCACATTTAGTTTACATATCAGTTTTTCTCGCTCAATGTTATATTAGTTTTTATGTAGTATATTATACTCATCGTTATAGCAGAATTTGCATTTTGGTAATCATATTAACTGAATCATTCAACGACTACATAGTTGTACTTCCCGTTTATAATGTGTTCCTATGATTTTTTATTGTTTTAGCCTTTATCAAATTCTGTACCGGATGATTGGGATACAGATACTGAGTCTTTATTATCGGATTTATTTGAAAAAGATAACGATCCTATATCGAATGAGTTAAATACTGGAAATAGTCCAAAATTAAAACCATCAACACAACAGTGTAAATTATTAACTGATGAACATGGAGAAAATGAACAAATCAATAAGAAAATGTTAAACAAACGATCATCGTCTTCATATGATAGAGAAATATGTAATAGAAAAGCTCACTTTGAGGAAGCTCAAAAAGATGTTCAACAGGCTGACAACACAAGTAAATAGAACATTTTCATATTAAAGTACCTTACTACATTTTATTATTTGTCTGTTTATTTATTTATTTAAACACATAAACATTGGAACAAGGAGGTACCAAATAGATATGCGCCACACAAATCATTCGACTTGTGTGAGGGCTAGGATACTGCCTGGCTCCCCGAACTAAAACAAGTGGTTCTCTTAGGGGGCCACACCCCAAGCCTTTGACCTAAAAGTTTGATCCTCAAGGCAGTGGAGCAATGTTAGGAGATGCAGTCACATGGTAGTCGGTGACCAACAATTCGTTCATATGCCATTTGTTCAATCAGGATATTAGAGCCCATGTGCACCATTAATATGGAATGAGGGTTTTCCTACTCCCTTAGGTGGATCCTTTGAGCCTACCAACCCGATTAAAGCAACGGACATTCACTCTTCGTTCGCTCAATTTCTTAAACAATCCCCCCGCCGCGAGAAGGCAGTGAGTAGAACTTGTGTGGCAGTAGTTGTATACACGTGGTCGTGTGATAGCATTTGGAGAGGGGAGCTGCCTCTCCTATCTCTCGGCCGTACCAGGGCATTTGTCTGGTATATATCATTACTGTACATTTATTTCGAAGGAATATTAGTAAAACATTGAATATTTACAACTAGAGTTGATTGATGAATAAACAATTTACCGAAAACTAACTAAGGAATTCGTATTATCTGTTTAGTGTGTCAATGATTTCGTTGATGGCTATTATATTTTATTGCTTGTCAAAAATATATACCAACAACAGTGTGAAGATCAAGATCTTTTTGAATCTAAATTAATGTTTGGAAAACTTAATAACAAAATAATTATGATTATGGGAGTTGTGAAGATTGTTGCATTTTAATTGAGATCATGAACTGATCAATGTCAGACGACGATTGAAAATCTGGAAGCATTCCATGACCGTTTCGTTCTAGGAGTCCCATACTAGTTCAGTGTGTGCTACTGATGTCGACAGATATAAGTAGTGTGGTGTGGGCTACTTATATTGACATAAGTAGTATATAACGCTAGTCAGGAATGTAATGTTTGGCAGCAGAAGATTGAGAAGATGAAGAAGGAAATAAAGGGAACGGAACACAATTGGTATGAAAATGCATGAACAATGAAATCCGAAACAATGGACTGATATTTGCAAAGGAACAGTCAAATTTGAGACAGTGGATTGACATTTTGCAAATGAAGTATTTACTGTATGGATGTCAGATTTTACTGAGATTTTCTATGATTTATGTGTTCAAATACATTCATCTGTCTTCATTCGTTCAATTCAGCACGACCAACCGTTGTTATGTTGTGATCTAATGTCCAACTCACTCCTCTGTTGGACAGGATAGTCAGTATGCCAGCTAACATGAATTAGAATTTAGGATACGATAAAAAGTTATACAAATAGTTTAATTAAATAGATTTTTATAGTTCAAATTTTGCACTTACAGTTGTTTCTTCTTAAATCATCTTAGAAACATCACTACATTTATAATCGGTTCTATTGTTTTGATGGCCTCAAAATACCCTGGTATGACCGAGAATGTGGAGAGTCAGCTCTCCCTATATAACTTTGTGTTCAAATACATTGGATTTTCCCCATTTGTGTTCTTATTCACTACACTAGGACGAAATTTCTGTCCAGTACTTCCAAGTTTTTAATGGGGGTTTGATATTGATCAATTCATGATCTCAATTAAAACAAAATCATTTGTTAGATAGTTAGGAATAAGGGACTGAAAACTACAAAACTGTAATAGTTATTCTTTGTTGAATTAATTTGTATATTTTTAGAGATATTCATCAAAACCAACTGTTCTATGAAATTTTTACAAAATCCTAATTGTTAACTCTGTTTTTTTATAATTTTTATGAGTTACTACTTATTGGTAATTGTACGAGTTCTTAAAACTAGCGCTGTTAGGATTTGTTTACAATGTTTATCATGTCCATTTAGTTACTGAGTCCTGATAGACTCAATGGCGTTTGAATCGAGTGGTACTGAGTTTGAGTCCCAGAGAGAACATCAACTCTGAGATGCAGGTACATCTAACTGACGAGTGCCAAATAGGTCGAGACGCGAGTCGGACTGGATTCCACTACTAGCCACTATCCATCTTTGCTTAGAATGCTTGTGAATGAAGGCAATATCGAGGCAATCTGCACAGGATGCACCTACTCCAATAAAAGACTGATCAATTACAGTCTTAATCATCAATGAGAAGATTCGAGTAGAACAACACCAAGTGAATTCAGTTATTATAATAGCATAAAAAGTTGACTGTTATTTTAATTTCAGTAGTTAAGATCATGAGCCATTTGGAGCTATACTATCATGGAAAACTTGGATGTACTGGATGGCGGTTTCGTTCTATTTCGGGACCCCTCAGCAGTGAGCATTTACGACCCCACCTCACGGGATTCGAACCCAAGACCTAACAGTCCCGTGCGCAAGCGCTTATCCTCTAGACCACTGAGATGACCGGCATCCAGTGATGTTAATGTCTAACTTCAACTAATACACGAAATTGAGCGACACATCTATCATTGCCTTCAGTGAGTTACTATCTCACAACAGACCTGGTTGAAATTCACTGGTCACTGCTCACTAGAACTGTAGAAAATACCTCTTGAAGCTAGTCACTAGTGAGCATATGTTGATTAGTATCAGAAATGTGGTTTTGTGGAGATAGTAGTAATTTCAATAGTTGTGATAAGTCAATTGATAGATTAATATTTTCTTTTGGAATAGACAACAAACAAAAACTGTCAAGTATTTCAATTGTAGATGAGACTGAATGTAAAGATAATGATAAACAATTCACTGATATTAAGAAACAAGCAGAGAATCAATTAAGTAAAATGGTTATGAATGTACATGTCAATCAACCTTCATCTTTATCAATATGTAAGAATTTGAACGAAACTTTATCAAGGTTCATTCATCGTGATCATCATGTTAAAGGTGAAAAATCATTCAAAGATCATTGTTCCTTAAATACAAACATTCGATTATATCCATCCTCAGATGATATAGTGAATGGCGTATGTGCAGCATTAGGTAAGTTGTTTTACTGTTTAATGTATTTGTTACGTCCTTGATCTGTCTACCCACTTTTGATGCTGAGGATAACTTGTCTAATCTAGAGACTAACAGTTTGACCCCATAGGCTGACCAGCTTAAACTTGAGGTCAGTATGCGTGAGTTCGAATTGGGATAAAGAAAAGAAAACTATTCTACACTTGATTGGCTGACAAGCATGTGAGTGAAAGAAGATAAGTCAACTAGAACACTAGTCGATGTATTCTCAATTCCGATCTGATTTCCCGATTTCCCGATATCAGATCAGTGTAAAAAGATACATGAATAAATAGATGATTAACCCACCACAATGTCCCAAACTGGGAATTAACGCAAAAAATGAAGTACAAACTAATACGTTTAAATTACAATAGCTTTCAAAATAAAAAGGGTTATAGCAGTGAATCATACATCAAACGAAAGCTTATGATCTGTAGAATAGATTAGGGACAAAAATAAATGTCAGTGTTTTACAAGCTTTGAATTAAATGAAATAACGTCCCGAAAAATAGTTTTCGTAGTTTGTCAAGGTTTCTTGTTTCTCTGTTCATATCAGTATTCAAAGAATATAAAAGTTTATTATGACGTTTTAATATCAGTGTAGGTATTTGTGTTATCACGAAATGATCAATATGTGTACAACAGGGATATAGTATTAAATAGACAAATGTTAAAACAGAAAAAAGAATAAAGAATGATAGTGTAAATATAAATTCAAGCTAGATCACCCTGGAAAACCTGAAAGCACTGAAAAGCCATTTTGTCCTATTACAGCACTCCTCATCAGTGCGTATCGAGTGATCTAAAGATTAAATATTCGCATGCGATACCGAAGGTTTTGGATTCGAATCCCTCGTGCGGGATCATGAACGCGTACTGCTGAGAAGTTCGATATTAGGATGAAATGGTCGTCCAGTGCTTTCATAAATGAAATCATATTAACCGTTAAATAAACTGAATAATAATATAACATAAGTAATAGCATATCATCTTAATGTATTCAACAGTTTAAAAAAAACAAAAAAATAATTAGAGAATTATTAAATTAACCACAACTGCCCTGGTACAGCCGAGATTGGGGAGTGTTCGCTCTCCCTCTAGAAATACTCTCACATGGCCACGCGTATATAGCCTCTGCCGGGGAAGTCCTACTCATTGCCTTCTCGTGACAGGGGTGTTGTTTACGAAATTGAGAGGACGAAAGTGAAACTCTAGCGCTTTAACCGGGTTGATGGACATGGAGAGTTCACCTAGGGGAGTTGGAAAACCCTCATTCCAAACCAATGGTACACATTGGATCCAGTATCCTGCGGGAACAAATGGCGTATAAACCAATCGTTGGTTACCGGGTACCATGGGACTGCATCTCCTAACGTTGCTCCACTGCCTCGTGGATCAGACCTTTAGGTCAAAGGCTCCGAATGTGGCTCCCTATGAGAACCACCCACTTCGATTCGATAACCCGGGGCAATATCTCAGCCCTCACACATATATGTATATGTATACGTATATGTATTTGGTGCCGCTTTGTACCAATATCTATGTGTTAAAATAAATAAATAAACTATTAATTAAGGAATATTGCTGACACTTTTGAGAATACACCTAAATTGAATGAACAGAAGATAAACTATATAAAAATGTTATATTTTTAGACTTTACAAAACTACTGAAATGAGATTTGCTTTAGGGATGATGATATAAAAGTAAAGAATATATATGTATTTACTTTTCATTAAAATTGATTCATCATTATTTGATTATTGATATGAATAAAACAGATAGAGAAACAAAGTGGTGGAAACTATAATTAAATAGGATATTCATTCATTGAATAAGACTGATATGTTCCTTTATATAGGTTGAATAACATATACAATCACATTATTATATCCATTATTGAAATGTAAAATGTTTTTCAGAAATGAATATCTTTACTAGCATTTATTTATTTAAACACATAAACAATGGTATAAGGAGGTTGGCAATTCTATCGAAACGTTCAAGTAACCCCGATTGAGATACGCGCAAAATCGAAGTTCCAAAACAACGATTTGTCTACAAAAGCGGTTCTATTATTATATAAACACAAAGTTTAATTACAAACCTCAACTTGTGAGGTGTCTAGGCGTTTAACGCGTCGTTCAAGAATGAAAATAACAAAGGCTTCCTGTAAGAGTAACATAAAGAATGATTATAACATATGATAGTACAAAGACAGCCGATGGCTGTGTCGAAATCGGACAACAGTTTATGAACAATCGAAACTCGAACCAAGAGCAAACAATATGGAAACTGTTGTGTTTAAACAAATCCGCAACTGTGGATAACCGTTACAGTAATTAAAGTACAGTAATTACAATGACAAATACAATGATAAGTACAATAAACATTATAAGTATATGGGAACGTTTCCGAATGTTACAGTACAACTTGCGTTACAATGTAAATGTGGAAATTGTTAAGTATACAACTTCTTACTGAATATGAATAAGTAGTATAAAACAATAAACAAAGAAGTGGAAGGAGAGCGAGTAGGAACAATGTAAGACAAACTTAACAGAGGTACTAAATAGATATGCTTCACATAAATCATTCGACTTGTGTGAGGGCTAGGATTCTACCCGGGTGCCCAAAGCTATGTAGGTGGTTTTCTTAGGAGGCCACATCTGCAGCCTTAGACGTAAAAGTCTAATCCAATAATAAGGGAGTGGAGCAACATCAGCAAATGCAGTCCCATGGTAGCCGGTGACCAACAATTGGTTCATATACCATTTATTTCCATAGGATTCTTCAGCCTATGTGCACCATTGGTTTGGAATGAGGGTTTTCCAACTCCCCTACGTGAATCCTCCGTATACCCCAATCCAGTTAAAGAGTCGGACATTCACTTTTCATCCTCTCAATTTCGTAAACAATAATAATGTCAAGAGAAGGCAATGAGTAAGACTTCCCTGTCAGTGGTTGTATGCATGTGGCCACTTGAGAGCATTTCTAGAGGGAGAGCTGGCTTACCCCACTCTCGGCTGTATCAAGGCATTTGGGGGTGACAAGTGAAACTTAAAAATTAAATTAACTCTCATCACCAATTGGTAGAATATAAACATCTAATTAGCTTAGATTCTACAGTTATTACTTAAAACATCAAATGAATGTAAAACAGAGCGAATAAATATTTATTGAATATAAAAAAGGCCTAGACGATATGTGGTTTAGATGAAATTAGACAATAACATCGTTAGATGCCGGCCGGCTCAGTGGTCTAAAGTTTAAGGTTTCGTGCTTGAAACTGATAGGTCCTGGGTTCTAAGCTCTAAATAATAGTTTGAAGAACTCCATAACAGAATCTTAATATCTTGGAGTTCAAAGAAACTCTTTTTTCATAGATAAAATAAATCTATATTTGAGTCTACTCTTATCCGATGAGCATATGTTTCAAATAGATTCACAAAAGCAAGTAAACACTTGTTAATTATTCAATGAATTGAAGACAAATTATAGTAAGCTAAACTGACGAAGATCAACCAATCTATCTGTACAGAGAAGGCAACATGTACGTAAAAAGCTTAAACGAGTATTTATAAGTTAGTCAGTCAGAGACAACGCAGAACTCCATACGTACGTACGTACATCAGTTCGAGTTGCCATGCCAGATAAGCACACAGGTACAATTGTTTATTCATATCCCATAATGGTAAAGGTAGTAAGAGTATAATCAGTAATGGGAAACATTAGGATTTAAAGATGTTATTCAAGAAGTATAATAATCCAGTGAAATAAATTTGGAAAGAGAAATAATAAGGGACAAGAAGAATTCAAAAGATTAGAAATTCGGGAGAACACAGAGTGGATGCATCTGCGCCATTTCAAACGACTTTGAGCTATGTCATTCAAAGCTCTGTAACTATCAGTTGCTATCATCTCGTGGATCCCAATCCGATAGTCTACACCTGCCAATATGGTTCAACCCACTTGTCAATGACTTCATGGATTTATTCCATGTTTTAGTCTGGCCGCCCCTAGCTTTCTTTCAACCTACTATCAATCTCACTATTATAACTTGTGATCCGAATACTTACTTGTTTTGTCTGGTCGTCGCTTACTCGGAACGAGGGACCTCCGGAATTCCCGCAACTCGAAAGTAAGAACACAAAGACTGGTTAAGTGACGATTTATTAACCCAAAAACACGACGACGACCTAGTCGAAAGCACACATTTATATATTGATTGTACACCCATTTTGATTAATAATTAGAATGTAATTCACATATATGAAACATACTTAGAGTTATAACATATCACAGACTGAGCATAGTTCATGTCAATGGAATACAAGAGTATCGTATATTATACAGAATAAAAGATCATACCGGGAAAACAAAACAACTACTACACTGAGTAATCAGTACATTGAATCAAAACGGAAATAATATTGAATAAAACCCATAAAGAGTAAATCAATCGAATTTTGACTTTTCTTACCATCATCTCACTCACTAATCATTTGATATGTTTGGTTTCACTCTAAACATTAATAAGATTACAATTGATTGATCACTAGGTGGTGATCAATGTCATGTGTATCAAATCATTCTTAGTGCAGATCGAATCCTATTAACTAATTTGCAATGTGGCCACTAGTCTAGGTGACTCGAAATTGCGTGCACCATGTTGAGATTAGATGTTGGTTGGAGGTAGTCAACAGAAAACCCTGAACCTAGGTTTCGTGCTACTTGCCACTCATCAGCAAGGTGTACCTGAAATCTTGAGGGGACTGGTTCTCCCTGACGGATTCGATTCCGTGTCACCGGGCTTCACAGTCAGAGATGTTAATACTGAGTTAACTGGGCCGTGAGTGACCTCCTGTAGGAGTGAGATGTATTCACAATTGATTGATCATTGGGTGGTGATCAATGTTATATATGTCAGATTCTTCTTAGTGCAGATCGAATGCTATCGACCAAGTACCATATAGCACGAAAACCGGGTCCAAGGTTTCCTGTTGACTGCCTCCAACAACCATTATTAAGATCGAAATATAGTCTATTTAACTCTTGAACTTCTTCATATTTGTATTCATACTATCAATAAATACTTCATTCACCTAACTTTTCTCTTATATTTCTTATAAACAACCACATTATCAGGTGGTATATCTTGGTTTCAACCTTTCAATGATAATTATATAAATAAAGAAAAACATCAACCAATAAGAAACCATTCAGTGATCAGACATACCAAATTAAATGATCATTTTGATTTGAAACATAATCCAAAATCATTCAAGGAATTTCATTTGAATAGTAAACGTTTACATATTTTAAACAAACCTAACAATGTACATACTTCTAAGATCTCATATAGTATGGCAACTAATAACAAAGATCTAAAAACTGATCATAATGAAGTGAATGATATTTGTTCATGTCAATGTTATATGGAAGAATCTCCTGATATAATAAATGATAAAATCAAGGTAAAATTGATATTATGTTAACTCAATTGTTTCATTGTGCACATGATTTTGATATATATATATATATATATATATATATATATATATATATATATATATATATATATATATATATATATATATATATCCCGAACGTACGTGTTACCTTGATGTGATAGTCTGACTTGCCAATCGTGATGAACTAATCAGGTTATATTGGCTAGAATAATCGTTCCTAAAGGTCCTACCATCAAATCAATTGATGGAGTGGTGAATCTTCATCGACTAAGATGGTTGGGTCACGTGTGACGTATGTCTGAACACCGATTACCACGATGCGCAATGCTGACTAGTGTTGGAGACTGTTGGAAGAAAGTTAGGGGTAGCCAAACTGAAACGTGGCATCCGTCCTTAAAGTCACTAGCTTCTAGTATTAATCATATTGATAAATGCAGACTACTTGGTTAGGGTCCATGTGACTATCGTAACCAATGGTTGGAGACTGTGGGTGACGGCTCAGAATCGATCACAATGGCGTCAGTGTATACACTCTCTATCTTCCCTCAAACTGTGGGATTAAAATCGCTTCATATCTTTCTTTCTATGAAATATTTCTTTCTTCTATATATTACCACCACTGAAGTAACTACTTCTATGAATGCGGTGTTGATCTTGTTGTGCTGATGAGTGAGGTGTGACAACTTGGACCGATGCATATATGTGCCTGGTCCTACGTTGTAGCTGACTGACTGATTTATCATACTAAGTAGGTCCGTTGATGAGTTGTAAGAATAAGAGTAGCAAATACAAAACTCTAAGGCGAAGTTGTACTGCTGATTGTACAGAGGTATGACAGCAGTAAGGCGGTTCCCTCAGACAACCAGCATAACAACGAGCAAAAGAAAATAATTGAACTTGAGTTTTGACTATTCAGACTTTTTTCTTCAGTTATTCAAGTAAAAAGGAAAAATATTTATAGAATACTGGTATACAGTAAAAATTATCTCACTTATTAAATAACTAATGGAATATTTGATCTACTAGAACTCCATGTATATATACATTGAATCAGCCACTCGCTGGTCTTGAGTGCTGTTAGAGGTATGAGAGCGGTTATCACTTACCGGTTGCCCACACCGTAGAAGGGTTCTTCTGAAGGTACCTGAAAAGGAAATCGGGTTAGAGGTGGTCTTAGTGACCTGAAAGTGTGACCGCAATGCCCAAGGGACAACTATTTGAGGTTGGTCACACACGAACATTTTGCGAGTAATTTTCGTGTTAGGTCCGCACTTGTTGAGACCTTACCGCCAGAGACGGATATCCGTGAGATAAGGTGAGGTGTGCATTTTTAGGGTTAACATTTTTAACTCCAAACTTCCTTTGTGAGAAAACAGCATCGCTGTCATGCTGGTTGTCTGAAGTAAACACCTTACTGCTGTCACACCTCTGTACAGTCAGCAATACAACTTCACTCTCGGACCTTGAGTTTGCTACTTTTAGTCTTACCGCTCTTCAACCGACCTACCTGGCATGGCAAATCCTTGAAGAACGACTGTTCCAACCAGATAAGTTCGATTGGTTGATTGCGATAGGCCATCCCGATCATCACTTCAAAATAGCAGCAACAGTAGATGAACCTAAATAAATTTTATTAAAAGATAGTGACATTTATATTGTAACTCATTGATTAACTATTTTTCTGCAGAATCTACTATTTCACAGTTCATCAGCAAAAATTGCCAAATAGTCTAAAGATAAAATAAAAAAGTAATTTTCAGTTGTATAATTTCCCTCATTGAATACAGGTAAAGTGATACTTTTATCAGTATAGTGCTGTGGAGATTGTTGAGTTTTTATTTAGATCATGAATTGATCCCTTGTGCAGAATCGTGGATGCGCACTATTGAAGAGTCCCATTCTGGGACGAAACGGTCATCCAGTGCTTCCGAGTATTCAATGGTGGTCTAACATTGATACTTTTATGTTTAAATGTGATTTGTTGTGTAATTTTTTGTTTTATAGTAGAAGATCACATAATCTCAACGAAATTACCGGTTGTTTTGTTTTATTTCAGAACAAACTGTAACATCGAAATCACTGGTAGATATACAATGTACTGAACTTCACCATATGGAGAATACAACACCACTACTACATACCGTGGACAAGTCGGCACACGAAGAGAAATCTAATAGCTTGTCAAATCCAAAAATAACTTATGAAATTAGCGATAATCTTGATGGTTGTACAGATATTCAGGATATATTTCGAAAAAAAATGTCATCATGGATATCACGAAGTGAAGAACGTCAAAGACGTCTACGTTTTATTATTCAGGAACGTCGTTATCGAAAAGAAGGAGATATGAAACGAACTGAAGTCTTACATTCAGTTGTATCAAATAATTTTTCAAAACGACCATCTATATCTCACTTGGATCAGTCATATAAAAATCACTACGGTAATAGAATTCATTCAAATGGTGATAGTGGAATTTGTTGCATTGATCGTTCAGATTGTTCAATTGTTCAATCTGTACTAACAAACAGAAATAATAGTAATAATTATATTAAAACAGCTAATTCTGACAAGGTTCTTAAACGTAATTTCATGAAAAGTAAGTCTGTAATGATTGAATTTCATTTCTATGTGATAAAATGTTTTGCTTAAGTCATTTTGCAGTTATCTATGATAGGATTCATAGTGGATAAATGCGATGGCGTTTGAAGTGAACGGTACTGAGTTCGAGTTCCAGAGTGAACATCAACTTTGAGATGCAGGTACACCCAGCTGACGAGTCCCAAATAGGTCGAAACGCGCGTCGAACTAGATTCCACCACTAGTCACTACCCATCTTTGCTTCAAAATACCTAAGTAGTATTGATGATATCTCCGTTAAAATAAAAAGCTGACAATAAATCAATACACCATTTGACATCTACCAAATTAGATGTACAATGGTATGTTTAAACTTCTGGATTAACATTTATTTTCGAATGTTTACACCTTAGATTTGTTTTAATTCACCAGTTATGTCTATTAACCACATGAATTTATGCAAAAGATGCCCATACGACGATCACTGGAAAACCCAAGGAGCAACGTCCCACTATGGTTCGAATATTTCCCTCCTTCATCATTGAATTCCCACTGAGTCGTGGTAATTGAAACTTCCAACGATCAACTTCAATCCTGTCCCTGCCTGCATTGTTATAGAAGATAAACACTATGTTTTCGGCTATGTGATCGATTGCCTGAATTAACGTTGAGTGAGAGATAGATCGTGAAAACCGTATCAGTGAATGGATGTAAAGAGGGCACATAGTTAGGCAGCAGAAAAGCATACTATCTACTCAGTAAACCTGTTGACTTGGAAGTTTTACGGGACGAAATCTGTTCAACAAAATAACTTTGAAGAGACGAAAACTTATTAAGATTATAGCCATGATTTTTATGGGTTCACATGAACATGTGACCGAATTGTTCTTATCGACTTTTCCTCTTTCCCTCTCTATCTCACTTTTTTCTAAAGAAGCTTTCCATCGAATAAATGTACTCTTTGTTCTTACATGGTCACTTTTGTTTTATTAGTAGATCAGTTTAAATGTTACCTTGTAATTGCATTTTGACTAAATTTAGTTAACTTATTGGTCTTCACAAATTTTGATTTTATTCTATTGGTAACTCTTTTTGAAAACAATCATTTAGATCCCAGTCGAAAGTCGCAACTTGGTGTTAGATATGATCGGAAACAGTTAGTACAAGAAGAACATCGACCTAGGTAAGTATTTGTCAATGATCTTACTAGCAACACATAATGCATATATTTTATCAATGTAGGAACGGCTTCCGAGAACTACGACGGAGCCTTCAGAGGCCTTAGAAGATCCGAAAAGTCCCATCTAATCAGAACTCAATGAAGCTTTCTAGAATGTCAACGTGGTATACTATCATTGATCAGTAGAGTAACATGCCTCTTTGCGGATTGGTTGAATTATAATGTTGATTTAACAAACGCCAATATCTATAAGTACCCATGATTTTCTGTATATTTTGATTCTTTCCCAACAACCACTTTCTTCAGTCTTCTTCTATCATCTCATTTGCGACTTGGGAGGGTTCTAGAGTTCGAGTTATACGTGGTATATTAAGAATCTAAGCTCTAGATATAACACAAAGCCTAAATACAATAAAAACTTTTCTTTGAAATTGATCACAGTCGTCAAATTAATGTTATAAGCCACATCTTGAACTTACAGATTCATGCACAGGGTCCTAATTCTGGTAGAATCAAGAAATGCAAAAAGACAAACTACCGACCTATTGAATTACATCGCAAGTCAGGTATAAATAAAATAATCACATCATTCTCTATTGACATTAGTAAATAAACCCTTTCGTGAAGATTTCATTATTTCCATTGAATTAACTCATTATTATGAACATGGTAACTACTGCTTAGTTTGTTATTCCTTATTGAGCACCCAAATGCCCTGGTACGGCCAAGAGTGAGGAGAGTCATCTTTCCCTCTCGAACTGCTCTCACATGGCGACGCGTGTACAGCCACTGACAGTGAACTAAAACTCACTGCCATCTCGCAGCTGGGGTGTTTTTTACGAAATTGAGATGACAAAAGACGAATGTCCAAAGCCTTAACTGGGTTGATGGATAAGGAGGATCCACCTAGGGGAGGTGGAAAACCCTCATTCCAAATCAATGGTGCACATGGAATCTAGAATCCTGAAGGAACAAATGGCGTATGAACCAATCGTTGGTGATCGGCTACCATGAGACTGCATCTCCTTACGTTGCTCCACTGCCTTGTGGATCAAACATTTAGGTTGACGTCTCCGAGTTTTCCCCCCTATGTAAACCACCTGTTTCGGTTTGGGTACCCGGGAAGTGTCCCAGACCTCACATAAATCGAATGATTTATGTGGTACATATCTATTTGGTGCCTGCTTGTACCAATGTTTAAATAAATAAATAAGGATTACTCATTGAGCAAGACATTTCGTAAATAGTTGAATCAAATGTGGATGTTTACAGTTGTTACTATTATGATTACATCATTATTCTGTTATGATCTATTCTATACTTGTGATATACTTATTGCTAAGGCTTTAAAATAACATTAACTAGTTACTTACTTATAGTTGCTAGCAAAATATGGATAATATGTGAATAGTTAACCATCATTGAACTTAATGAATGATAGAATTCTAAGGAACACCAAACTTTTTCTTTATTATAATCAGAGGTTTTTTGTAAATACTCTAGTAATTTTTAATAGTTGAATTCGTAAGTCAATTGAAACTAGATCACCATGGAAAACATGGAAGCAGTGGATGGCCGTTTCATCCTAGTACAGGACTCCTCAACAGTGCGCATTCACGACCCCACTTCGCGAGATTAGAACCGAGTGTGGTGTGCTACTTATATTGACATAAGTAGTATATGATGTTGGTCGTGAACAGAACGTCTGGCAGTAGAGAGACAAGAGGATCGAACAGTAAAGAATGGAAACACAATGCAATTTGTATGAAAATGCAAGAACAATGAAGTATGAGTCATTTTGAGACAATTGGTGGACATTTTGCAAATTAAGCATTTGCTTTATGATTGTTAGATTTTATTAACAAGTCCTGTAATATTGTGTTAAGTGCATTCGATTGTCTCCACCCGTGTTCTGTTCACTACACCAGAACCTATCAGTTTCGCGCGTGATTGCTGAACCTCTAGACCGCTGAGCCGGTATTTAACGGTGTTAATTTCTAAATCCAACCTATCCAAGAAGTTGCGCCACAGTCCACTATTGTCATCAGTAAGTTACCATCTAAAAGATGTCAGTTTGTAGGTTAGATTGACAGACTGTTTTTTTCGTCCCTATCAGAGTATATGAATTATTTTCTGCTCTTTTCTTCTTATTTAATATAGATTATATCATAATTCTATACAGAACCAAGTTAATCAACAAAAAATTAAATTGGCCCAATTACGTGTTAATCGACTCCGAATGAAAATATACAGTGAAGTAAGTAATTCTATTTGTTTATTAATTACACTTTAGATTCTATAATTATTTACAATTCATTGATCACTAGGTGATGATCAATATCATGTATGTCAGGTCATTCTTAGTGCCGATCGAATCCTATTGACTAATTTGCAATGTGGCCACTAGTCTAGGTGACTCGAAATTGCGTCAAGATGGTGATTGGAGGTAGTTAACAGGAAACCCTGGACCCGGGTTTCATGGTACCAGGCACCCATCAGCAAGGTATACCTGTAACCTTGAGGGAATTGATGCTTCCTGATGGATTCGATTCCGTGTCATCCAGCTCCACATTCAGAGATGTTACTATTGAGCTATCCGGGCCGCGACTGACCTCTTGTAGGAGTGAGATGTAATCACAATTGATTGATCACTGGGTGGTGATCAATGTTATGTATGTCAGATTCTTCTTAGTGCAGATCGAATCCTACTGACCAAGTTACAGTACGGTCACTAGTCTAGGTGACTCGACATTGAGTGCACTATGTCAGGGAGCATCAATTTCCCCAGGATTACACGTACACTTTAGTGACGAGTGCCAAGTAGCACGGAACCCGGTTTTAGGGTTTACTGTTGACTACCGCCAACCACCATCTTATATAATTATTTATCTGTCTATTGAGTTTTTTTAATTATGTGTATGTTTGTTGAAACTTTTTTTATTTTAGAAAATTCTACGTTCTGTACTTCATGGTAATTCATCGTCAATAATATTTAAAGAAATTTGATAGAATCGCAATTTTGACATGTTGGAGAAGATTTATAACTCAGATGGATGATTTTGATGGAGTATCTTTGTTTTTCTGAGATAGATGATTTGATTGTGGAGTATCATTGTTCTTCTAAACATCAACAACAAACTTCAAGTACAAGTGAAGTGTTCGAATTGTGTTGATGATTATCGTTGAAAAGAACGATGAAATCTTCATGACCAAATCATCCACCAGCTCAAAGAACAATACTCTATCATAATCGCGATTGAATGTCCTAATATATATATATATATACATTATATTTGAAGTAATGCTTGAAATGATTAGTAATGAGAAACAACTTTTACTGTAATTTAATGTTAACATTTTATTAGTTTTGTCTTGTTAACTTTTATTTTTAATGGTTTCAGGATGATTTTAACTTTATTAACATAAAATGCCATTCACCATTTCATTCATCCCTGTGTCATAATTATGATTTATAAGCTGCTTGAATTAGTTACAATATAACTTACAAACTTCTTTTTTTTAAATAAACTTGGTTCATCAACTTTCGATTGTATTTTCACACGTATCGTACTATTCCGTGTGAAATTTATTACCTTGTTTTCAATATAAATTGATTGTACTATTTAATGTGTTGAGTCTTGTATTCGCTGACAACTAATGATTATTTATTATAATATTGATACAATGAGACACCAAATACATATGCGCCACACAGATCTCATTTGATATGTGTGAAGGTTGTGATACTACCCGGGTGCCAAACCGAAGCAGGCGGTTTTCTTAGAGGGCCACAACCGGAGCCTTCGACCTAAAGGTCTGATCCACAAGGTGGTGGAGCATCGTGAGGAGATGCAGTCCCATGGTAGCCGGTAACCAACGGTTGGTTTATACGCCATTTGTTCCTTCAAGATACTGGGGCCCATGTGCACCATTGGCTTGCAATCAAGACTTTCCAACCCCACTAGATGGATCCTCCATATCCACCGACCCGGTTATAGCATCGGGTATTCGCTTTTCGTCCTCTCAATTTTGTAAATAAAACACCCGCTACGAGAAGGCAGTGAGTAGGATTTCCCTGGCAGAAGCTATGTACACACGTGGCCATTTGAGAGCACTTTAAGAGGGAGAGCGGACTCTCCCACTCTCGGCCGCACCAGGGCATTTGGGGGCACTACTTACTTACGCCTGTTACTCCTCGTGGAGGAGCATAGGCCGCCCACCAGCACCGTCCGCCTGTAGCTCTTCTAGAGTTACTGCCGGTCTCAAGTCAGAGTAAAGGAGGGGGTTGGGCATAGGGTTAGCGACCCCATCCCGTAGAAAACTCACCAAAAAAACGCTAACCAGAAAAAATAATTCAAACCAGTCTATAAAAATTAGGACCAGTTTAATCTTATACATAACTTTTTTCCTTGAGGTATATTCACGTTTTATTAAAAGCCTTGTTTCGATCTGAAAGCAGGTCGGATGAGGTGAAGTGTCGTAGAATATTAGGCCATAGAACAAAACATGGTACTAATAAACTAAATTTAGTTCCTACATGCAGGTGTATAGAACAAATACACCATATTCAATCAATACTGCTCTGTATAATTTGAAACGAAACTTAAGGGTATGTTATTGAAGTGAGGAGAATATGTAATAGTAAAAATAACATAGATTTATACATCATCATAATCTGTATTTACTGCACCTTTGAACTCATTTGTTTTATCAACAGTTAGAATGTGAATAGGAAAACGCCAATTAAAGGCATGAGTAATAAATGAGTCAATTTTGTTCAGTGATATAGATCGACGGAGATCAGAGAAAAAACGATAATATTGGTGGGAATTGTGACTAAAATTGTAAAGAAAGAAACAAATTAAACTCATGGATTTCGGTTTTCAAAGTAAACTGAAAAATAAATTGTGTAAAACGTTCGAATGGTATGGTATGATATTCAAATAGTCGGGGGGGGGGGTATTGTTAAGCTTTACAATTATTACCTTTCAAAAACTGACAGGAGTTGAAATATGATCGAAAAGTTCACAACCACCTTTACTATACAACAGAAAATCCGTTAATTTGTCTTATCTATGGACTTTTTAATGAGAATAATCTATCATCTATTGTCATTAGACAAGATTTCAACATTCTAATATTGTATACAGTAATACTGAGCAGACTTTGTTTTGTATGAAAATAAACCAATCTAATGTTCTGATCTATTTTATTGCGACCAAGCTACTCTAACTGCTTATTCTTTGGATGTTACTATTTCACTCGACAAGTCCCCAAATCAAAACACAGTTGAACAGGAACGTAATTATATATATATATATATATATATATATATATATATATATATATATATATATATATATATATATATATATATAATTTTATACAAGAAGGCTCCCGTCCTACTTAATTACTCGCTAGCGCATTGGCTAAGAAATGGTCAGACAGTGCGCTCCAACACAATCCTGCACAGAGCGTGCTTCAATTCAATCTGTCCTGTTGACACCTAGATGTCAGTCGTTTTATTTGTTTGGGGTTAAAGGTACTAGAGTATTAGAACAACGATGCCATTAGCGTTCGCTGTTCCAAAGTTAGATAAAATTACCAGTCAGACGGCTGTTAAGCTTGCCAGATACAACTAAGTAAAATAGACGTTTAGTCGGGAGTGTATGTGGTCTGAAGTCTGTTTTAATTCAGAGTCCTGTTGGCGATTGTATCAAAATTAAAACTGAAACTATATATTTCAATATCACGGCATACCGATTATCAGGTCGGATTAAATGAAGTTGTGTAGTACTATTGATACTTGCTGGTCTTAAATGTATGCCGAAGATTACAGCTTCAACGCCCCTGAATGTCTTAGTACGGTCGGCGGTGAGCTCATGCTCTCTCTTGAAATGCCCTTATGTGGCCATATGTTTATAACTTTTGACAAGGAAGTCCTAATTACTGTTTTCTAGCGGCTGAAGTGTTTTACGAGAGGAGGACCTAATTGTAGGATTTGAGAGATCCAGACTTAAAACTGACTGTATACATTATCTCCATGCTTCGTGAGGACGAACAGTGTCACTAGTTACCATGGCACTAAAGGTCCTGACGTTGCACAACGGACTATACCTCCATGTCGAGGGTTCAGGGAGTGACCTCTTAAGAAAACCAACTACTTTTGCCTCAGCGACTAACCAGCACCCCAGACACTGCACAAACTCCTCTGTTTTAACTTTATTTACTTCTTTATTTCCAGTTTATGTACACTTCTACTCCTTCGACAATCAACAATTTGTCTATAGCGAGGGTTTTGTCTTGTTTAAACGGTCTCGTCTTTGAATAGTTGACTTATGGGTGTTGTGATAGGATACGATACTTGATACAACTCTTTCGTAATTACGTATGCCATTTGTACTGGTCTGTTTCAACGTCAGAACTTTGATACACATTGAACAACAAACACTTTTAGCTCTGTCTTCGAGAATTCGTTGTTTGCGGGTCTAATAACGGTGACCATCTAATGTAGATGCGTAGACCAGTCTGTTTCCAACTAACATTAACTTCTTGCATAGTTATAGACGACATGATACCTGGTGTCCTGTTTGTGATTCAACCCTCGACCAAGATTGATCACATCGCAACTGGCTTCTGTGGAGTTTGTACAACACCGTACCCTGAATACTGAGTAGAATTGATTGCTAATCCGTCAGGTTTTCTTGAAAACATCAAGTTCCAACGTTATATGCAAAGTTAGTGAATTGACAGGAACAATTATTCAAAGTTAACTGCAACAGACAATTCACACTCACGAAATATGTAAATAATCAATGGCGTAAACGATTATTAAATAAAAAAAGAAAAAAAGAGAACTCACATCATTAGTAACATAGGAGCCAACATTTCTTGAGCAATATGCAAATGAGATATGTATATCCGTGTGTGGTGTAAACATGTGAAACAATTACATCCAGGTTGAATCGGTAAGTGCCACTCCTCTGCATCCAAATTATAGGACTCTTCAAAGGGAAACTCTAAGAATTTTGGATCCGAAACCATGCTAGAGAGGTTATTTTCATCCCAGTCTTTGTAAATCCAACCAATCCCACTGCGACTGAGTCGGTATGGCAAACTACCATCAAATATGTCACATCCTGAACTAGCTGCCAGGGCAATATCACATGGTTGCCATATTTGAGTAATAAAACGTGGGAGATGAGGTGGAATGTGAGCGAATACTTTGGGCAAAGTAGTGGTTAGGAATTCGTGTAAACCTTTGTTTTCATCGCTATAGTTTTTGACTTCAACTGAAGATACAGGCAAATCTCGAAGTACACCATCAATTACTACACCTGAATATGATGGAAATTGGCGGAATTCACACATATATTGATACATATCGTTTAGGAAAAGTATAAAAAATTTTCCGAGATAAATAAATTTTAGTCAGTGATACATAACCACAAATTCCAAAACCCTAGCCTATTTCACTTTTTATTCATACATTACGTCTATTTGGCATTGCTGACCCGTTTTTACCAATTTTTATGATTGACTGCTAACGTTTCTTAATATTTTCTATATGGGATGTAGTAGGGATACAACTATTTACTGCTCAAACTCCAGAAAACAAGTGAGACATGAGAAACTTCATTTTATCTGGGTGCCACTGCTTCCAATGATATCAATCACTTCATGTAATATCAGTTTCAATTCACTGAATTGCAAACATCGTTATCAGTTAAGAACAAGGAAGTTAGAATTCTATGTTTTCGTATCAGGATATGGACAGTATTTATGTGATGATACGACTTTACTGCTTTACTAAAGTAAATAATGAATTCGGAACTGTGATAATACTCGGTAGTGAAAAGTTGGGATATATAGTATTTGAAACCTCATATTATTATAGAGTTAGAAAGTACAACTGTTATGAATGTATTGAAGGAAGTCCGGAAAGCCATACAAATTTTGAAACTTTTGTAAGTACCGATTTCCGTCTCTATTTACTGAACGTATAT